GGACCGACTACAATCCTGATGAATACTGCTGGAGAGTGTGCTTCCATGAACCGCACAGATGTCCTCCTGGCTGGGTAAGAAGAGAAAATACCTTGATTCTACTGTGAAAGAACAGAAAAATTGCTAACACTTCACACGTGCAGCATCACAAGCATTATGAGGTAAGACTTGACTTTACCACCATTTATTATATCCCTGGAAAACTGCTGACATTGCTTACCAGCATTGCTGGACTTGCTGCAAGGGCCATCATCATCATCATGATCATGAGGACGACCTGTATGGATGGTCTTGAAAGTGACGACTACTCGATTTCATTCTCACTGGCAAGAAGAGTGTATAATGTGATTTCTGCGGGGCACTAGGGATATTCTGGTCCTCCAAGATCAACTAAGGTAATTGGTTAAGTCTGCAGTTTATTCACACTAGGTAGTGATGAAATGAAGGCCCTAGTATAATTTACAAGAGGAATGCAAAGTAATGCTTTACAGTCCTTTTTGATCATACTTCTTTACATAAACCTCTGATGACTTCATATGCATGCAGACGGCCAATACAGAGCTCCATGGTGGAAGGCAGCTGCAAGGGTAAACAGACCCACCGTACTTTTATTGTAACCTTAAAAAGTCCTAATATATTTATGTGTTGTGCATGATTCCATGAACTATCACAATATATGGCATGAGGGGCGAAATGCATTTAGTTGGCAACCATCCTTAAGCAGTGTGAGTGAGCCTAAGACAGCATAAAATTGCCTTATAATAGGATCAATGTGAATGAGCTGGTGGATTCACATCCTTATAATATTAGGAGCTACCTATCCAAGTTACTCTTTAACAGCAAATCTCTGCTCTTTATGCTCGTAAATGAAGAATACCATAGCCCGTCAGTTGATGGCAGCATGAGTGGGCGTCAAAAAAGTCCAGATGGCTTTCCTAGCTCTTCTGTGCATATCTGACAATAATAGTGTCTATCTTGACTCCCATGTCATGTACTGGGAATTTCTCACTTATATAGCGAGCGGGGTTCAACTGCCAAGACTGGGACAAGCCCTAAGAATGGCAGTTGATCAGCGACTTATCTTGACAATCTGCCACATAATCAACAACTCTCCGTTCCCATCTAGAATTCTGGATAGTTATCAAGCTCTCCTGCCGGCTACTAAAATGGCCCTGACCCGCGACCATCTGGCGTCCCTACCCGCCAGCTTCTTCAAAGCCGTTGATGACCAAGATATCGAGGCTATAGTCTCCCACTTCGCGCCGCATGCCACTTTCACCGTGCAAACCGACCACGTCACCGTCACTGGTGTCGACGAGATCCGCAACATGTTTTCTGCCTTCATTCAGTCATCCCGAACGATGCACCACGAGATCACCAACATCGTCGTCGATGAAGTCAATCGCAGGGTTTCCACCGAGCAGACCTACGTTGGAGAGCTGCTGGATGGTACCCAGAATGACATGCGGAATTGCAACTTTTTTGATGTCGATGGTGATGGCAAGTTTACTAGGGTGATGGTTTGGATGGCGGGCGCGAATCCCCTGAAGAATCCTTCAGGGCAAAATGCAGCCTAATGCGGGGTTCTTGCATGAATTGACTATTTATGTACACACTTTTTCAGTCTGAATATGTACAAGTCGTGGTGCTGATTGCTAGAATGCCAATAACCAAATGCTCCGGGCTATTGAATACATGATATAATTTCGACTCATGTCAAGACTTTGAGTCAAAGATAAATATGACAGAAAGGATGGGCATAAACAGGCGTGCTGCCCGGAGTGTGTGGGTTGACTCCGCTGCTAAAGCGACTGGAATGATAGCCACTCGGACACCTTCCGAGATGAGGAGGATTTCATTCGTCCAGGATTCCGGTCTTCAGATCACGAGTAAGCATCCGCCGATAACACCATCCGCTAGAGTGAAAAATGCACATTGTTACTCCACATGGGCCAAATGCTAAAATCCGAATTGCCCAATCAGCATCCATATTCGGAGATACAAGCACAAATCTTGATAGTAGCTAGAAATCTGGCCATATCCGAATTCACACAAGAACAGGCTTAGTATGTGAAATTCTCCAGTGCTGAGACTGGTAGCGCTGGTTGTGGTAGACAGCCACTCGATCACGCCTTACGGGCTAAAACGAGACGCAAGGGGCGCTTAAATACTTCAACTTTCAGCATGTCTCGTGTCACTTTTTCCTGTCGAATCACTTCTACTCTGGTAGATAACTGTCAAAATGGGCCGGTTGACGGTTTTCAATCGAAAACGAAGAGTCAGCCATGGCGCTGACGACACTTCGAGTATCTCCCCGGCCAGCAGTAATGAACCCAAAACAGTCCCTGCAACTGCAACGCCCGTGGATGATGCGGAAAAAATCCAGCCAGTCAGCGAAACAGCTGCCATTGAGCAAGAAACAGAACAGGATCCAGAGATTGCAGCACTTCCGCTCGAGGTCCGCCAACTGGTCAGCCTCACAGATGATCCTACTCTGCCCACCATCACCTTTCGCTATTTCCTCCTCTGCGTCATCTTTGTCGTCCCGGGAGCTTTTCTGTCGCAGATGAGCCATTACCGCACAACACAAGCACCGTATTCCGTTTTCTTCGTGCAGATCGCCTGTCACTATGTCGGCCACTTTCTTGCCCGGTGGCTTCCTGCCTGGACGATCCGGATCCCACTTACGAAATGGGCATTCAGTCTCAATCCTGCGCCGTGGAGTATCAAGGAGCATGTGCTCGTCACCTTGACAGCGGCATCGGGAGCGTCCTACAATCTGGGTTACACTCCGATCTCTCTGGCCGAGTTGTTTTATGGAGAAAGAGTGAACCCTGCCGTGGCGATCTTCTTCATGTTTGCGATTGTCTGGATTGGATATGCCTTTGCTGCTATTGCACGTCAGATATTACTGTACGATCCTTCTTTCATCTGGCCCCAAGCACTGATGCAAAGCACACTGTTCGAGACATTCCGCAAGCAGGACAGCTCTTCTCCTTTAGCCAGACGTCAGATGAAGGTCTTTTTCTTTTCACTCCTGGGAATGACGCTTTGGCAGTTTCTCCCCGAGTATGTCTTTCCCTTCACATCGTCGCTTGCCTTTCTCTGCTGGGTTGCGCCCCGTAACCCCGTCGCCAACTTCATTGGATCGGGCCTGGGCGGAATGGGGTTCTTGAACCTCTCCCTGGATTGGTCTAACATTAACTGGAATGGCTCATCGATTCTGCTTACTCCATGGTGGACGCAGGTGGTGTTGTTCCTGGCATTCGCGTTCAACTGCTGGGTGCTTATCCCTGCGGCAAAATGGGGAAACCTGGGCTCATACAAGCACGGGCTTATGTCGAATTCTTTACTCACGGCCAATGGCACCAAGTATCCCACCCTGAAGCTCCTGACGTCCGACTTCCGGCTGAACCAAACGGCCTACGAAGAAATAGGCCCCATGCACATGGGTCTCCAGAACGTCTGGGCGACCTTCTTCAGCTATGCCCAGGTCACGGCGTCGGTGGCATGGATCGCCACATTTGGCTACATTCAAGTCAAAAGAAACCTACTCAAGATGCTCAGGTCCCGGAATAAATCGTCCCAAACCAAAGGCGAAGGCATCAACCACCAGTACCACGACCGCCTCAACGTCCTCCAGCGATCCTACAAGGAAGTTCCGCTCTGGTGGTACGTGGCGCTCTTCATGGCCGGCTTCATCATCCTCCTCGTCTCCATCGGCTCTGGCCACCTCTGGATCCCCATCTGGACCGTCTTCGCCGGCCTCGGCAGCGCCGCCGCTCTCGTCCTCCCCTTCGCCTTCCTCTATGCCATCTCCAACTACCAGCTCGCCGTCGGCAACTTCAACGAGCTCATCTACGGCTACATGGTGCACACCAAGGCTGGCGAAAACCACCGACACCCCTGCGGGCCGTCCACCTATGGCGCCATTGCCGGCGACGCCTGGTACCGCGCGCAGTACATGCTCCAGGACCAGAAAATCGGACACTACATGCACATTCCCCCGCGMACCGTCTTCTTCTCGCAGGTCTTCGGTACCCTCCTCGGCATCCCGATAAACTACGCCGTCATGCGCTGGGTCCTGTCCACAAAGCGCGACGTCCTCACCGGCGCCAAGTCCGATCCGCTCCACCAGTGGACCGGCCAGTCGCTGATCTCCTCGAATACCCTCGGCGTGCAGTACGCCGTCATCGGGCCCAGCGAGGTCTTCAAGGAAAGCGAGATGAGGCCTCTCCCCTGGTCGTTTCTGTTGGGGGCGGTGCTCCCGCCGGTGCTGTATGTGTTGCATCGACTCCTGCCGCGCTGGCGCATCGATCTCTGGAACGTGAGTATCTTCTTCTCTGGGCTGGCGGTGTTTTACGGAAATTTGAGCACGGGGTACACGTCTGCTATTATCGGGGGGTATGTGGTTATGTACTGGGCGTATCGCAAGCGGTTCGAGGTGTGGAAGCGGTACGGCTATATGATTGCGGCGGCGTTCGATGCCGGGTTTAACCTGAATATGCTGCTGATTTTCTTGTTCTTTGGCTCGGGGAAGCAGATCTCTATGCCGCATTGGTGGGGGAATAATGCGGATTCGGTGGAGAGGTGTTTTGCATTGTAGGTCGTGTATTAGCAATCAACTCATTAAGCATATGGTCAGACTGCTGGCCGGAAGAGAGACTTGGTGTATATCTGTGTAGCAATTAACGTAGAAGGCAATCGGAGACTTGGCATTATCAATCCTCCACTACCACTTCCGTTCAAAGCCAGTAATGATATCGGGGTCATATAGACCCCTGCGGAGCGAACGTCCTTGGCACCATTCCTGATATCACTGACAACCATAGCCAGCTATTCTAGACTGTTCCTGATGAGTCAGTAATGTACCCTTGGCTGCATTAGGGGAGTGGAAGAATCTCCTTAGTTTAAGTATCAGGAAGAATTGAAATCTTCCCACTGTGTTTACACTTTCTTTGCCGTTATTCGTTCCCAATCTTCAGAGTGATTGGGCCTAAATGTCTGAACTCATCCTCGATAATAAAACCTGTCCACTGAAGGTTCCCGGCTTCCACGATATCCCCATAGATGTCGAGCTTCCACAGGATCAATTCGCAGCGGGGATCCAAGCCTGGCGAGCTACGATACTTACTGCAAAAGAGCTAGCCATGCTGGATTTGATCAATACCGTTACCGAAAGACACGACTGGCATGTGGGGATTTTTCATCAGGAAGAAATCGCTCGCTGGCGAGACGCAGCGCTCTCATCCTCGTCGGTAATCAATGAACAGACGTGGAGCTGGTGCTTGAAAGAGTTGCAAGACAAGGCAAGAGACTTTGAAAAGCGAGGCCACATGCTAGTATTTGACACCGGCAGTGGTGTCTGTAAATCTGATACGGCGATCTCTTCCAATTTACAATCAGAGCTACAAGGCGCCGCTTCCTAACCAAGGACGTGGAAGAGCGAATACAACACCAATATATTCAGAAGTCACCAGTCTTAAATCTTGTTGATCCGTCTCTGTTTTCTCTTGTCTACGGGAGAACAAGGGTGTTGACTGGAGGGCAGTCCTGTGGGATGGACCAAACTGCTTGGTCGTCGTGCATCCAAGAGGGCCAAATTGCCCCCGAACAACCACAGTTTCCACGAGAGAACTCACGTTTGCATTGGCTCAGTCATGAATGCATTTGGTCCACCAAATTTCAGTGGCTGCCATGTGAAGTGGAATTCACCGGTCCTCCTGGGTCCACCGACGTTCGAATTACCTCTTACATCAACAATCTCCATCCGACAAACCGGAACTTGTATTCCGCAATCGAGGGAGTTCTTGCAAGCTGTATCAAGCAGTGGAATGAGATACTCATTCGAGAGAAGTGGATTGAACCGTCTGAATACAGGATCAGCCATTGCAAACCCTGTCCTCGCGAGCCGATTCGAATACGGACTTACGGTGTCGACTGGAAAGCGCGATTTCCTGAGTGGGCTAAAAATCTGCCCGAAGACTCCAAGGAAAACCAGGTATCTGCTGAGGAATACGAAAGGATGTGCGCTCAAGTGAAGGCGTACCTTCAGGAACCCGAATCCAAAGATAAAGTACACTGGTTTCGGGTTCATACGCAAAAGATCCCAGAGGATTGGAAAATACGATGGGGGTTGCGTCGTACAGCCTTAACAAAATATGCACACATGTTCTTCTTTGAGCACTCTGATCCCGGCACTGCGTATTCATACGAGGACTGGAAAGCAGGAAGGACCAGCGAAGCAATTGTTGGCCCCGTAGACCAGGGGAATGGGGGTCCAGTATTTGAGACGGAGCAATTCCTTCTGTCTAACCCGTGGCTGGAACCCTACCGATGGGCCTATGAGCCAAAAGGTCAAAAGGACGATGACCATCAATTCTACACGGTTGCCCTGCAGGGCGAGTTTCGAGGAAAGGGTCTTCAGGTTGTGGTCAAGCTCCACAGTATCGAGCTAGAGCCTGATATCCCATCCTTTTCTGGCGAGGACTGGCATACTGAAGGGAATGCAAACGAGCATATAGTTGCCAACGCCATCTACGCGTTTGACTCTGGCAATATCTCCGAGCCGCAGATTTCCTTTCGTCAGCGGCTCTCACACGCTGGCCAAAGATATGTCTACGACAAATTAGGTGCCGGCAACGATCCAGATGACGACGAAAGTGACACTGAGGACGAGGAGGATAATGACGATGAGGACGCCTTGATATTTGAGCGGGATCCGGAAGAGAAGTATGCGTGCTGGGATGTCAAGTATATCGCAAGGCTTTTTGGATTTAAAACAATTCAGAATGCGCCCGCCTGGCAGGAGCTAGGGAAAGTGAGAATGCCTCCAGGTCGCTTGATTGCTTTCCCCAATGCCTTTCAGCACCGAAGGGGTCCGCTAGAGCTTCAGGATATGTCTAAGCCGGGACACTGTCGTTTCCTTACCCTTTGTCTTGTCGATCCTACCTACCGCATCTGCTCGACGCGAAATGTTCCCCCACAACAACCGAATTGGACTGATGGCTCTGAACCGCAGATGGATTTGGAAGAATCTCTGAAGCTGAAAGAAGAATTGAAGAAGATACATGTCCGCAAGGACGAGGCTACCTTTGAGCTTGCTAGAAACATTGTATTCTCGGGATTTCAATGAATGTACAGATTCAACTTGTCATACACGCAAGGCACATCACTAGTGAATCGAATTACTACAAAGCAGGGATTGTTTGAAATTAATATAAATGAAAACATACAGCAATATTCGAAATCAGTTATACTTCAATGCTCACTTAAACGAATTCCCGAACCCTAATCTGAATCCACTAAATATGATATGGTTGGCAATCTTCCGCTTCCTTGACCACTTTCTAGAATAGGCATTGTATTTTACATAACGTGTGTGAGACCTCAGAGATTGTACCTAGTTTACAGGATACTGCTATACGCACCCTACATCCGTGCCCCTCCTTCCCTCTTGTTCCTGCCTAGGAACAACCACGCCGCCTCATCCATAACTCTTGAGCGTCACTTCACGCAACATGGCTCTGAGACTCCCTATCGCAAAGGCCCATCCCATCCGTGATATGATAGAGAGCCATTCCCTTATCACGTCTCAGATGACCGAAGAATCTGAATACAGCAAACTTACGATATCAATATTCGCAGAGACTTACGGCAATTTGGAAGCGCCCACGCACCCCTAGGCCAGAACAAACCGTAACACCGATATGATGGAAGCCCTCTGCGACCACCTGTCTGAAAAACCCGGTCTCTATCTGGATGAGATACCTGTCTTCCTTTGCGATGAGTTCCAGACCTAGTTCTCAGAAGAGCCATTGTCGCTAGGGGTTTGTCGAAAAGGACTGCGCGCCAACGAGCTAGTGAGCAAAATGTCGATTTGCGAGAGTGGTATATGCATAGTTTATCTGAGTTTCAACTGTATCATCTGGTCTACATTGAGATGAACCTGGATATGATAAAAGGTTTGGGCTCAGGCGGACAGGAAAGTGCTAGAGGCCATTTTCGGCACGCAGGCATGACGATAGAAGTGTATCGTACACTGCGCCCGGAAGGCAGTATCATAATGGAACACATGCTCTGCACATGGTTCTACCTAGATTCGAACTCGCTCTGGCCAACGTTTTTCGTCAATGACTTCATAAAATATAAATCATGACGTCAGTAAAAGTTAAGAAAACAGATAGCTTAAAAGATAATATTACTTTTCATTCTGTATTACTCGATATATTGTCTCTTTCCACTTTTTGACGAATATCAAACTGCTCTTTGACAACCCCCTTTCCCATTACAAAAGCCCTTTTTACTCGATCTTAAACAAGCGCAGCAGAAAAGGAAAAGATATTGTTTCTCAATTATGACGATCGAGGTGACCTTGCGATTCTGGATCGGCGATTAAGAGGAGACCTACTTCCAGTAAAAGCTTAATGAGGGTGACTGGTTTCAGAAACAATACTTCTAGGGAAGGAGACCTGGATGCAATCGGGAGTCTAGGTTGGCTCTATGATATAATCCTTGTCGTCATATTATATGCAACAAACTTTGGTGGGCGGTTTGTGCACTAGATGATTTTGAAGAAAATAGAGTAGAACTCTACTTACAGCCTCTTTGCTTGTTGAGAAGTGCGCTTTTGATTTGGAAATGGGCTATCAGAGTGACCCCGGCTGTGAACTGGAATATAGACTTTCTTGTCCGCACATGAATAACTTAACCAAGACGAGACCTAGGAGGAAATCTAGAAGGGCCGATCTGAAGTGTCCTTTCTATATAAGGATTTAATTGACAACTTAGAATATAAGTTAGTGAGTTGTTATATGCATATCCTCGATGATATCACTCTAAATTTAACTCCCGTATCTTCATTGTTCCTGTCAATGGAATATAAAATGTCGAATGGCAGGTCTCCTGGACGAAGAAGTCCTTCAAACTCGCCTGAAGGTTCTTCCCCACGCCATCCCTCTGAGGATGAACTAGAGACAGGACTAGGTGGTGTCTCTCAACTTGAGCACACGGAAGGTTTACTGGCGGCATTGTCTTCAGCGGCAATAAGTTCAGGGCCTCAACCAGCTGCCGTTCAGAGTGAAAATGCTCCCCCTCAGTTACCCATCGGGACCAATCACAACCTGGGAGGTTGGCTATACGTGGGCGACTATGTCCAGGTGGACGGGCTAACGGTGCGTCCCGCGACGTTCATCGTTACAACTATAAGGGATTCACCATCTCCTCCAAGCGACCTCGGTTATCTTCCGTCAAAGACCTCGTTTCTGAATATTGCGCCACATACACTCTTTCCTCTGCCATACGAAAATTTTAAACCCCGTTCTTATGCTCTTCTGGACCAATCTATGCCTCCTGACTACTGGGAATTAATGGGGCCTCCTAAATCACTCCCTGTTCCGTGTCTAGAAAACAATGCGGACATACAAGACACACTCGTTACTGAGGCTAATGTAACGATAAAACGAGAAGACCATAATGTGCTAACCCATAGGTCATGGAAACACTTCTTCATTGGTAACGAAGTTGGGAGCATCTACTTCGATATCGACCTGTTTAAAATCAATGTTCAGCCTATTTTGGGGGACATGAACCAGCAAGATTGCGACACACTGATGGACCATTTGACACTCTTACGACACCTCTGGAAAGACAACAAAACTACTTGGATCTCCGAAGATGGTGGTGAAGAAGCACATCATATTAGTCGGGGCACTACACTTGTCCTCATCGCAATTGCACGACGCCAAGAAAGTGTGGCGGCAAAACTTATTGGGACTCGACCATACCCTACTGTTCATCAATTAAGAAAGTATAAGAAAATATTCAACTTCAACCTGGTGGTGAAAAGCTTGATCTATTTATTACCTAGGCTGAGGTCGAAGAAAGCCTCAGAGGAAGATCGCACTTTCAGCATCTGCGCCGGAATGGATCTCTGTCTTACATTATTCGAGATTGGCCAAGATATCGATATTCAAAAAGCGGCGGATCGCTTAATAACTGCAAATGCTAATTTTCAGCTGCCTTCATCAGACTTTCAAGTTCGATGGCGAAGTGTTAATTCGGCAACGCTTATGGGCATTTTCTTTGCCGCGGCTACTTACTTCGCTACGAAAACACAGGCAAGAAGAGACAAAAAAGTCAAAATGGCAACCAACGTTCTTCGTGATTTCTTAGCGGTGGCTCTAACTATCCCTGTTGTAACAGGTGTTGCTGCTCCGGTAGCGCTTCTTGCACCAATATTTAACGTCTTTGCCAAGCCGGCATTATCTGCGCTTTTTGAAAAGTCTTTTGAGAATGAGTACTGGGAAGCAAAATACAAGGCAGCAATCTTAAACTTCGAACATGAATTACGTGGTCAGATGGAGGTTCCAGTTGAACTTGTGAATGAATTTACGGTCGTTCTCAGAGACGTTCAAAACTTGGCCATCATCGGGCAGCCTCTGTACGCGGAGAGTTGCGCAAGGCAAGAGGGCAGAGTACAGCCATCAATTTTTACTAAACTCAAGGGTGCATTGCATAGGCAAAATTTGTGATGTCTTAATGGAAATTCAAGAATGTTATTCCTGTACTTCTCCGATCCATACATATCCTTCACTAGAGTTGCTTGCGGGCTCGACCCCCTTCTTCCCCCTGTCACGGAAGGCTATTCTTATGCTATAGAGCTAACCCTGATAGGCAAAGTTACTTTTATTTCCCTAACTTGTGTTACCTATTGCGACTTTCATTCGTTACCAATTTCTGTCGAAAAATGGGATACCGCTGGCGCTAACGTAAGCCTTCCAAGAGCTGCGATTAGATTTAGAGACAACTCAAAAAGTCCGTATCACCTCCACTATATCTCTCAGCGTGGAGAGCTCGAACCATAAGAACAGAACTCGCAGTGCGCCCCAGCCCCCTGATACTTTCGCGGCCCGTATGCCACGCGATCAACCTGTAGCCCTTCCCCGTCAAATATACTTGAGGATGGGGAAGGCTGGCGGGCGATCTTGACCGATCCCAAGAACGACCACGGCATTTTGACTGTTGTATGAAAAATTCTACAGTGCGCGAATCTACGGTCAATTACTGTATTATAACAATGACTCATCAGTCGTTCTGGATTAGTTATCTGTAAGGCCTTTAGAGATTATAGTATCTAGCTAGTTAATAGTGGTAAGATAGTAGATAATCTTACTACCAAAGCAGAAGCATGGGAATGAATTCCAGATATCTATACACCTGATCTTAATAAGTATCTTAACCAGACTACTCCCTCTACAGTCTACACCTCCCTCTCAGCCACTATCTTCTTCTAATATTAATATCTCACCTCTAAAGACGATCCAGGCACTTAAGAAGAATTAGGTAAAGCTATCTAAATATATAGATCTCCTTACACTAAAGCTGCAGCAGAATCTTGAATAGATATTTCACTATAATTAAATTACCACTGAGAACCTAGCTATAGTAAATAATACTATTATATAGATTAGGGCTGTGTAAGCCCCTCTACAGCACTAGTAAACTAAGCAGCAGGTTAAGCCTCTTAGCTAGACTGGTATACTCAAATTATGAGATATAACTTAGTCTATTGCTAAGAGGAGGGGTAAAGATACTATTATAGAGAAGAAATAACTATAAAAGCAGTAGGAGAAGATGCATAGTAAAATACCACTACTAGAACCTAGGAAGAAGAGTAATATATTAATTAAAGCAGCAAGAGCAGCTAAAGCAAATAGTAATAATTATTTTTTAGATAGCCAGCTAATGCATTATGAATAGTTTAAATATTATGAAATTAGTAGTTATAGTGTGGTTAGCAGTTACGTGTGGACCGTGTGGTGCACCCACACCGGGAAGCAGGGTGGGAGCACCTGGCACGGCTATGACTGATTTCGAATACTGCTGTGCTTGATGACCTCTCAAGATAGAAACAGAGACAACATAAATAGCAATTTCAGCAGGACTCAGATAAGCCTGCGTTGATTCGGACAAAAGGAGCTTGGCTCATCTTCCTAGGTACTAAGTAGTGGCCCAAGAAGATGGACTGCATCGAGAGACACCATATACGATACGGAGTAAATATTGAGCACAGACTAAAGCATCCAAATTGATGAACCCCGGAAGGATGCCTGAATAACCCCCGGATTCCCCGCATCCCCACATTTCCCCCACCGGCCCTCAGGAACAATACTCTCTTTTTTGGCAGGAACCCCACCGCCGGGACGATCATCTTATTTCAATGGCTTTGTACGACGCCACAATTGCAGGAAACATATGCTCGCTCCGCTCGGAGATTCGCTCAGATTAGGTTCCTGGGGTATTTCTTCACACTATGACGCCGGAGGAATGACACCTACCCCACTCCAGCGGGTCTCTCTGTGGCACCGCTGAGGTATAAAAGGCCTTTCAAGACGCTTCTTCAGCTCGATTGAACTACACAGCTTCGCAATCATTCAAGTCAAGAGCAGCTACCATGAAGACGACCACTCTCGCCTCCCTGCTGTTAGCCGGGACGGCCCTTGGCAGCCCTGCCCAACAGAAAAGAGATACCGTCACGGCCCAGGTGAACTTTGCCAATAACACGGGCAACCCGCAGCATCTCGCTTCGGGTCTGCTGTACGGTCTCCCTGATACCGCGAATCAGATTCCCGTATGACTTATTTCTCCTCACTACGAACGTGACTGACAATACATAGACCAACTTCTACAGCGACATGGGATACAACTACGAGCGGGCTGGTGGAGCCCAGGTTCCGGCGCCTGGAAGGGGCTGGATCTGGGGACTGACCGAGTACAATGTACTAAACTGTCTTAAAATAAGAAGGACTTTTTTCTGACAACGACAGAACCGCTTTGCCTCCGCGCTCTCCAACTACAAAACCGCCCGCCAGCACGGCGCGAAATTCATCTTCCTGATCCACGATCTGTGGGGCGCCGACGGAACACAGAATTCCTCTGCCCCCTACCCCGGTGACAACGGCGACTGGACCAACTGGGACAACTACCTGACCCATCTCATCAGCGATATCAAGGCCAACGGCATGACCAGCGGCCTGATCATCGATATCTGGAACGAGCCCGACCTCACCTATTTCTGGAACCGGGATCAAACGCAGTACCTGCAGATGTGGGGGCGCACGTGGCACAGACTCCGGTATGTCTTGCGTTTTTAAGGTCAATAAACACAAAACTGACTGCTAGTAGTTCCGAGCTCGCTGGCGTACTGCTCTCCGGCCCCGCGTCCGCAAACATGCCCCTGTCCAGCAACAGCTGGTGGAAGAACTGGGCCTCCTTCGTCGCCAGCAACCAGAGCATCCCCGACCAATACGCCTGGCACATGGAAGGCGGCGGCGGGGACATGCTCTCCGCGCAGGCGGGGCTAGTTTACTGGCAGAAGACGTACGGGCTGCCCGGGCGCCAGATCAACATCAACGAGTACGCCGTGTTTAACGAGCAGGTCCCCGCCGGCTCGGCGTGGTGGATCAGCCAGCTGGAGCGGATCAATGCGATCGGCCTGCGCGGCAACTGGCTGAGCGGGTGGAAGCTGCATGATTTCATGGCCAGTCTGCTGAGCAAGCCCAACGCGGAAAGCAGTAGCTACGATCCCAAGGCCACGGGCTACTTTCCCAACGGTGACTACCAGGTGTACAAGTACTATAATCTGAACATGACCGGCCACCGGGTGGGTACGCTTCCGTCGTCGGACCTCAAGCTCGATGCGTATGCGACAGTCGGGAATGATGGGGTTGCGCGGGTGCTGGTTGGTGTGCGCATCACCACGGGCACGTGGGAGTTGCAGTTGAATAAGTTGTCCGCGTTGGGGTTGCCGACTAGTGGGACGCTGAACGTGCATACCTGGGGTTTCCCTGTCGCGTCGGATGTGCATTATGGTGAAGTTGATGGGCCCAAGGATCTTGGTTGGTATGGACATGCGTACTCGGGGGATTCGGTGACGTTCCCGGTTTACCAGACGGATACCACGACGGCGTATGCCTTTGAGTTTAAGATCTGAGGTATCAGCGTGTATTCTCATATAACCTAAGGAGAGCATCTAATCTACTTTTAAGCACGGCCTAGTGTTATCTGTCCATAAAATAATCACTGAAGCCTGGAGGTCTACAAGAGAGATGATGGCAGCACGTGACTTCTCAACGGAGAGGAGAGAGAGACTGTTCCTGCTGGAATTCTTCGTCCATCTTCGACTCTCCATTATAATCATGACTCTAACCCATTCAGTTGTCAGTAACTAGAATTGCATCCGTACAGTCTTCAAGCGATAAGAGATCTGTATGCCTTTTGACCAAAGAAGAAACCTGAATACAAAAATGACCCCTGGACACCCTTCAGCCTCGTCGTTTGGCGGTCAGCGTCTATATCAGGGATATCATGGCATGACGGAGTGGCCTATAATCGGGTCATGGTTTATTGGTCAGCGAAGCAGGGATACTCCTGGAAGGGTCAAAGGCTCAGCCTTGCGGATTGGTGGGAACGCATAAACCATCATGTCGTCTCCAATCGCAATTTCAGCAAATCTTCAATACCATCAGCTGGCCATCACGCAAACGCGAATGTCCTAGGTTGTTTAAAGTACTCAGAGTTATGAATTTAGAAAACACCGGCATGAGTTCGCCATGGAACGCCTAATAGCAAACGCGTCGAAGCTCAGACCTGAGATACGCCTTGTGCAGGCACTAGCCAACTTCAAAGCAGTGCTGTCGGCCGATCGGAGAGCAAGATTCGACGAATCCATCGCAGCCTTCAAAAACCATCCCCCAGATGCGAACGATGTAAATCGCCTGACCGCTGAAATCAACCGTGATATCCAACAGACAACGAGGCGATGTTATGGACCGCGTTTTGTGCACGTCCTACAAGCCGTACAACAGTACGCATCTATAGGCGATGTCTTGATAGGAGGGTCGCAGAATCTGGTTGCTTCTGGAGTCTGGGCTGCAGTCAGGCTGACATTAACGATGGTGACTCAAAGCGCTTCATACCTGGAGAAATTGTCAACGTTGTTCATGAACGCGGGAAGAAGTGCTCCCCGATATCAGGATATGGCCTTGCTTTACCCTCGCTCGAAGCGACTACGGAATGCACTATGCGAGTATTTTATTGTCATTTTGAATATTTGCAAGCATGCTGTGAAGTTTCTGCAAAAGTCCGCACTATCGCAGTTCTCATCCGCTCTATCGGACTCTCCTTTAGTATCTTTCGAGAAGGAGCTTCAGCAGTGGTCAATTGTCATTGTGGAAGAAGTTGCTTTACTTTCAAGTCAAAGCCTCCAAGAGGAGGCGAAGGAGAGTTCTCGATTTCGGCAGATAATGGTCAAATTTTCCGATGCCAGCAATCAGCGCCAGCAATTGGCTCTCAAAATTCGACTCCTTGATACTTGTACCACATATGACTATCAGACATCTTGGAAGCAGGCTCGGAAACAGGGAGCAACAACCTGGTTCGCGAGCACAAGTGAGTACCAACAGTGGAAAGAAACGCCTTCCTCGTGTTCTCTGCTGTGCACCGGAAAATTGGGCTCTGGCAAGACAACATTGCTGGCGAATATGGTTGATGATCTATTTTGCTCTACTCTGAGGGGAACAACTGCGTATTTTTTCTGTCGATTCGATGTCTCTGAGTCTCTGACTGCGAGGGCCATCATCGGATGCCTTGCGCGACAACTGTTAGGGCAACAGCCTATTGACCTCACGAAAATGGATAATTTCTGCGACAATTCACTTGCCAGCCCTGATGAGCAAATGATTCTCAATATTGTACGAGAGCTGCTTCCTGTGGATCCAATTTACAGTTTGATTGTGGATGGGCTTGATGAGTGCCCCGAAACGGAGCGACAAACGACGTTAGAGATACTCCAGCAGTTGCAAAAGCACTTCAAGGTTCGTATGTGCCTGTCATTTAGGCAGGACGCGGGGGATGATGCCAAAGTCACAGCTGGCATTCTTAATGGGAAGTGGACACTACTTATCCCCGAGAACAACCCCGACATCGAGGCTTATATTGACGCCGAGCTCCATGAGCGCCTCGAGTCAGACAGGTTGTGCATCGGAGATCCAGCTATCATCCTCCCGATCCAGCATGCCCTTGTCACCGGGGCCCAAGGAATGTATGTTTCTCCCTGCAGCACTTCCTCAACTCACTGAAATCAATGACTACGTAGTCTGACAAGTTTAGGTTTCTCTGGGCCACACTGCTACTCGACTGCATTTGCATGGAGCAGACAGATGAGGCAATTCTCCAGGCCCTTGAAAGCCTTCCCCAAAGCCTTTCTGAAACATTTACACGGGTTCTACAGCAAGCCGGTGCCTCAAATATCCGCCATCGCCACAGGTTGGTGCAGTTGGTTATGGCTGCCCGACGACCCCTATCAGTGGAGGAACTATGTGAAGCTCTCGGTGTCATTCCCGGTGACACGGCATGGGAGCCTGGGCGACAAATCAATAATATTCGTGCGGCTCTCGCAAGTTGCAAGTGCCTGATCATTACAGACGAAGAGGAGCAGACTGTTCGGTTTGCCCACCATAGTGTCAAGCAGTTCTTTATTGCTCAGGGCGATGAGCCTGAAAATCCGAATCCCGTCAACCCAGACGAAGCAAATAAAGAAATGGGTCGGGTCATTCTAACGTACCTCAACTACGGGATTTTCGACCGTCAAGTATCTCGCACAGTCTTGCCAAAAATCCCCGCTGCGGATGCCCTAGCTCGTATTGTGAGCACCGTCTTCGCAGATTCCGTCAACACAAAAAGAATCGCTCTGGAACTGCTCAAGACACGAAAAAATGGCAAACACGACATAGGCCGAACCTTGGCTGAGACGGCCATGGCGCAGCGAAAATCTCCAACGGAGACCCATCCCTTTTTGGCTTATGCCAAGGACTATTATAGGTATCATATTCTCGGGGTTTGGAACTGTGAGGAGGAAATGGGACGGCTTTGGCAGTGCCTATTGGAGGGAAAGTCTCTTGACGTAAGTACAACTCCAGTTCAACTTTCTGAGCGAACACGCTGACAAGAGCCAGCTGCGCATTACCAGTTGGCTGCAATATGAGTTGCAGCGACGGCGAGTGACTGGCCTTGATGGAGAGTTTGTTCCCTGCGACGTTCTGAGCCAGCTGGTCACATATGATGTTATCCTCAAAGTCCTTGAGGAAACCGGGTTTTACGGATATGGCGCATCGACATTCGCAGATGATATCTTCAGTTACGGCCAGCGATGGTTTGCGATTCTTGTCGATATAGGGATCAATGATTATATTGGGGCCCTCTCTCAGTCTTCGATGATTCAGTCTCCAATAAGTGACCGCGATCTCCCCATTTCGAGGGTACAATTTCTCGAGAAATACAAATCGACAATATCACAGATCACTGTGTCGTCTGCGGTTCAACCTGGGTCTAACAAGCCGAGCACCTCACGATCTGTCGGCTCGATGGAGGCAGATAGATGGGAGAAATCGGCTGAGTTGTTCTGTCTCCGACAGCACCTGTACCTCGTCCCCGTACTTAAAGGGGGTCAACACTATGACTCAGAGAACGGGATCATGCCCTTCTTGCCTATTGAAAACACATTCTACAGTTACGATGACGAATCCCTATTTGTTATTGTCCATCCTGCACATTATGATTTTCCTCCAACTTACCGCGGTGCGGAAAACGATGATTGTAATTACCAGGTCGCGCTCAGGCCCTGGCACATGGATGAGCCTCCGCCTTTTTTGGTATATCATGGACACTCTTGGCGCGTCCCATGGCATCTGCTCCAAGCGGTTGCATCATATTGTCCTCGACCCGAGCCGATCCGTTTGATTTTCCCCATACTTGGCCCGAACCTTGATGACGTTTGGCGGCAAAGCTTGGTTACGGACTCGACTCGACGATTTCTGAGATTCTGCCTGTCCCAAATGACTGGCATCGCCGCGGCTCTCGCCTATGTCATTCCTGCTGCTCTCGCCTATGTCATTCAAAAAGATCCGGAAGAGCGGTATATCTCACTATGCCAGATTACGCCACGCAGCATTCAGTGGTGCAGGCACTCACGCTCCACATTCCAGTGGGGAACCTTGCGGTTAGATCTACGGACCCTGATAGCTGATCAAAGTAGAGTCCCTAGTCGGCAATCTGAAGAGGCGTATCGTGCCCCATATGAGGCGGAGGGGGATGATGCCCCGAAATATGACTGTGTCTGGAGCCTGGGATGCATATATTTTGAATTCCTTATTTGGGCTGTGATGGGATCGACAAATCTCCAAAAGTTCCGTGAGGCTAGGGGAGGAGCGAATGCACCATTCTATTCAACAACATTCTCTGGCCGTTGCCAAGAATTCAAATTGTCCCCAGAAGTTAGCCGCTGGGCGGGCATGCTGCTCAATGAGCCCGAACTACCGCCGGAGGTTCCTCGTTTCAGCGAATACTTGCTACAGCATGTGCTTGTAGTGGACCCATCAGCCAGGGTATCGGCTCGTCAGCTCGCGTCTGATTTGGAAGACCTTCAGAAGCTGCAAGAAGCTGCAAGCAATGAGCAACTTGGGACTGAGGCTGGTAAAATTTAGGGGATGAACGATGTGGCAGTATATCTTGACTCATTGCATGCAGCTCTAGTTTCTCCTACAAGACCTTCTTTACAAAATATGTACGCTGGAAGGCACCAGAAGGAAATAACGAGCGCATTGATTACGCTTCCTCTAAGAGATAATAGTGTAGTAGCAGATATACAACATGAAGTACAGACTCCTCACTTCTTCCTGTTCTCCTCATATTAGGTCAGGACGCGTAGTTATAACCTATCAGGGGGCAGATCGTCCGGCACAAGCAGCACAATGCTGAACATGCGTCCATTGCGGAGCGAGTAGGCGTAACATTAGCATTTCCCTCCTTCTTATACCATAGGGCATGGGTACATCTCCTTTCTTCCAGAAATCACGTGCTGCTATTAACTAATCTGTAAGCTTGCTGAGTAATCATTTCTATGTTAGTCAATTAAACTGTGGAGAGTTTGAGTTCAATGAGCTTCCAGACTATTTTCAGAGGAGCTTATTCTATGATACAACTGTAATATTGTTAAACACATAGTGGCAGGTACAATAAATTAGATGATGATATGTGAAGTGTAGACGATATGGTGTGTGATTAATACGGTGACTTCATGTTTAGCATAATGCCTCTATGGTCTCCCAGATATTATATAGTTTATATACAAAAGAAATATGACCAGTAAGGCCGAGTCTTCGTCCCCATATATACATTTTATTCCTCAATCCTCGACGGCCGCTCACACCCTATGGGCGACCTCAACACACGCAGGCTCCGGCTCTTTGACCGTAGACGGAAACGACCCCTTCGTCGAGCCGGTGCGCGAAAAATCCAAATCCTCACCATCGACGAACCCCGCCCCATCACGAATGATACTCGCCTGGCTCTCCCGGTGTTCCCTCGTCGTCTCCAGATGCGACCGATTATTCGTCCTCCGCGACATCTCCATCGCATCGGATGGATCCGTGGGCGCAGAATTCGAATGCGACATGAGCGACATGTGGACCAGTTTGCCCAAGATGGCGTACTCGAGCTTCAGCTTGACGCTGTAGACCATCGCCTTGAAGGACACGTGGATGTGGAAGAGCCCCGCGTACTGGAAGCTGACGATGGCGGCGTCCATGAGGATGAAGAGGACGTTGATGATGACCAGCTGGACCAGGGTGGAGCGGTACTGCCGTCTCGGGCGCAGCCTGAGGAGTCGAAGCGCGGCCTTGGTGTAGATGATTGAGAGGATGATTTCCTGGATGGAGAAGCCGATGAGCTGGACGCGCTCGAAGATCTCGAACGCGGGCGTGAACCATCCGGTCCGGGGGGACTGGGCGCCCATCTCGAAGACCCAGCCGATGGTGTGGAGGATGATCCCGTCGATGATGATCATGGCCAGGGAGGCGCGCAGGACCTTGCGGGAGTAGACGACGAGATGTAACCGTGACCAGAGGACGAGGGATTGTCCGGTTACCATGGCGCACCATCCTACGTCTGCGAGCGAGACGGCGAAATAGCCGGGGTAGATGTTGAAGATGAGGAGGATGTAGCCGAGACCGAAGGGGATGATGCCGATCGAGGAGACGAGCAGGGCCCAGAAGTAGAAGCCGCCATATTTTTTGAAGGTGGTGAAGCAAAGGACGATCAGCTCGATGGCATTGTACCAAGAGATAGCAATGAGGCAGGCGATGGCGAAGTCTTCAGCTAGACTAGTATTGGTGCTCCGGATGGAGGACATTGGGTCATGGTTCCTCCGGCTGGTGGAGGAGGGAGTTGGTGGTGCATCAATGACAAGAAAGGCAGCTATTAAGGATCGGTTGGGATATAAGGCAAACGATGGGCCTCCTACCCTGGTCGTATTAGGGAGAGGGAGGCGTTTTCATCGTTTTATGAACAGGGCAGACAATAACAAAAAGACACTTTGCACTAGCCAGGGTTCATGCGACAGAGTTGGAGCTACCGAGGTGGCAGATAAGCCCTTCGCTTATGGCTTCGCTAATATCGCCGATATCATTCGAGGCACGTTTGACCGGGCGAACAATTCCAGAAGCTCTCGCTACCAACCATGGACTATTTATTCGACCACAAAGCTGTGATCGGCGGGATCCTGACCTGTTTGATTGACTTTTGCCGTCCATGGATCGATGCAGTCTGATCGCGTGCGTGACTGCCCTGAGTGTGTACAGTAAGCAGACAGGTGATCTGGCACGCCTACATTGGATGATAGGATGATAGGACACGGCTTTTAAGCCCAAGATCCGATCTCGGGGCCGGACTGACGCTGGATCCACTACGGGCTTATCTTTCTCAAATTTAGATTTGTTAATTGGTGATCATATAAGATACCGGTACAGTCCGATAGGAGCAGCTTCCACGACAACCCATGTTCACTGTCTATCACCTGTAAAAGATCCACAAGTCTTACTGCCAGCCCCAGACGGGAGTCAACATGAAGCCGAACACGCTCGCCACCATCGAACCAGTTCAGCCTCAAACGCCAGATGTAACCATGGCTTCAGCCTGAGAGCCCTTGGTTAATTATAGCCACTCCACCCAACTCCAACTAGCAGGTGAGGGCAGCGGCCTGATTGGCTGCATCTTCCGGGGTGACCGGGTCGCCGCCGGTGAGCTTGTTACAAAGTTAAACTCTATGCCCTTCTAGCCAATCAGCTGACAGAGTCTCCATATGACCTGCAGCCACATGGTGCGCCGTCCAACGGGAGAACGTTCGCGAATCCACTCTAATCGTGTTCATAGCCAATCGTGGGAAGCGACACATCAGCCTGCTCCACTATATACGGACAGAAAATCTCTCAAGCTGGCAGGGCACAGAATGAGGCACAGATGGACAGCATGTGATAGAATAATAAATACGAATTAGATTCTAGCATGCACTCAGGGGTTAGCTTTGACATCGATACTTTTCGGTATATAGAGCCGATACTGTATATCCACTTGACCATGGTCTAGACGTTTCTGCCTCCAGGTTATCCCAAACTAGTCTGCGGAGTAAAGCAACGACTACAACTGATCAAGCCACTGCTACCGAAAGGAAAGGAATACCTGGCTTGCTCGACGCGGCGGTAGGATGTTGGTTCTCTGCCCTCAGGTCGAAAAATCGTCTGTGCTCCAGCACAGCCTGTCTGGAGTTCGAGAGCCGTGTCTTCGGTGCCCCGTCTGAATCATGAAAGCAGATGTGTACGCCTGACTGATTCGGAGAACGAAACGACTCTCTATCAGTCTCGATTCTCCTTGTTTCTATATCACTTGACAAGCTAGGTAAACAGGAAGAACCCCAGTATATCAACAAATCCCACAGTATTCTTGCTCCGCTGTACAGCCAATGGTGACTTATGGAACGACAGGTCCGATCGAGATATCCGCCACGATCAAGTGGTGCTTGACCCAGTTGCTTCTGAGAAGTGGAGACTTCCCCGGATAATGCGATGGAGCTGGTCCAGGACCACTCCACATCCTGGTTCAAGGAGACTGGGACATGCTCCAAATGATCCCTGGTGTTGAATTCCTTGCTCCTTAAAGGAGTACAACATGGTTGGACGTCTGCCCTTGAAGCCCTTGGCGGCAATGCACCGTGGCTGTCGGCCGAGGTTTCAGACGCGACGGAGTCCAGGATTGTCTAGTGCATATAAGGGATTGGGACTGGATATTCAAACTATCGGATATTTAAACTATCCGATAACACAGGAATATTAAGGTACAGCTGCCCTTCGAAGAGGTTATGCCTAACCCAGGATGAGTTGCGGACGAACCGTCGGTCTGTCCAACTAGAACTTCATACTTACAATATTTCGATCAAGAGGGATATCCCTTTTTTTGAGATGCCATTGAGGAGTAAAACTGGATATACTTTGGGTTTTATGCCATGTGAGGACTACTCTCAATATTTGCGTCCTACGTATCGACAATGACGCGTCCAAGAACAAAAAGCGTCATTCCTACAGACGGCAGACCAGACAGTCCTGTTCGGATCTTCCGGATAGGACGACCTTGTGGTAGCAAAATTCGACCCGATTGAAGGATGAGCGATACTCCAACGCTCGCTCAAAATCCGCCCGTAGTTTCTCCAACAAGAACTCAACAAAACCATGAGGGTTGGGTTGTGCTTATAAAGAAGAGGAAAAAGAAGCAGATTGTCTTAGCAGACATCGGAATATCTCGGAATCGAGAAAGAAAATCCAATCCGTTTGATAATATTATTGCTAATAGAATTAACCCTAACACTTTTTGTACGTAAAAATAAGGCCGCCTGCCCCACGGGGTAGAACGTAGATCGCCCATCTGCTCTGGAAAAGAAAGAATAAGCTCACCTTTAGACATCGGATTAAACATCCATAGCCCTGCTCATCTGATCTGTTTAGGACCTTGTTGGAGACGAGTGGATATACGACTCCAAGATGTAGTCTCATTACCCAATAGATGTTATGTAAGAGTTTCAAGTAGCTGTATGAATTTAGCCCGGCAGGCAGTATATGAACAAGGATGGCATCGTCTCTTTACTATCACGACAGCAAGCCAGTGACAAACCAAAATGACCCGAACAATCCACATCGCCGTTCTCGACGTCGACATCCCCCCTCGAACCCTCTACGAAACACACGGTCTCTGCAGCGCGCATTTCCGCAGCGCTCTTCAGGATGCAGCCATCCGCCTCAACGCCCTCTCGCCAGGAAGCGACGTCAGCATCGCAGTGACACCATACGATATCCGCGGCGGACACTACCCAGACTTCAGACACTTGCGCAAGACGCAGACACCATTATCCGAGCACAGCATCGATGCTATCCTGATCACGGGAGGCGCGCCGGGCGTCTACGAGATCGACAAAAGACCTTGGATGCAGAAACTGGCCAAGTTCCTTCAGACTGTGTTTCATGAGTATCCCGCCGTGAGGATCATGGGTACATGCTTCGGTCACCAGTTGATCGGACACGCGTTGGTCGACTCCGGGTCGGGGGATGTATATGTTGAGAAATGTCCGCTGGGGAGGGAAGTGGGCCTCCACACTGTCCAGATGAACCGGGACTTCGTCGATGCGTTTCCGCTTGCTCTTGGCGGTTTACCAAACGGCCAATTGAAGATTCAGATGTTCCATGGCGACCGGGTAATGGTGAAAGGGGGAAACGAGGGCGTGTTGCCAGAGACAGCGGCGGTATCGCTGCCCGCGCCGTGGATAAATATCGGGAGCACGCCTATCTGTCCGATCCAGGGAATGTATTACCCTGGTCGGGTACTTTCTGTTCAGGGACACTACGAGCTAGATGCGTGTGGGATGCAAAGTATGTGTCTTGAGTTCGCGCCGTTGCTGGGCTGGACGGATTCGAAGCTAGGGTTGTTCTTGGAGCAGGTGGGATTCGATTACGATGGGAGGCAGGATGATTCAGCGGCGTTTGCGTTGGCTGTGGTTTGCTTTTTGGCTGGAGAATAAAAGTTGCTGATTTAAACTAACTAGATATAATTAGACGGCGTTGGTCTGCAAACTCTTCTTCCTTACTCCCATCACCGCCTTCATGTCCATCCATAGTCCTCTAGAAATGTCTTTCAGCGCGCCGGCACTCTCAACGACCGGGTATACGACGCAGATGATGACACTAGCCCATATCCAGATGAGGGACACGACCACCCAGCCGGTGAAGAACTGCTTGCTGTACACGTAGCTAGTTCCAAAGAGAGTGAACGGCACGAGGATCACGGCGATGAGGATAAAGACGATACTCGCTCCCTGCGCCAGCCGTTCTGCCTTTTGAACCAGAATTGGATCCAGAGGCTCGATCTGCTTGTCTTGAAGGAACTCGACGATCTCATTCTTTGCTGGCACCGGCGTCTCTTTCTCACTACTGTCGACAGCTTTGGATGGCTGCACCGTGTCCTCCTGAGACATCGGAGCCACACCCTCAATTCCCGGTGCAACCTGAGCATCCACGCACGGATACTTCTTCGGAAAAAGATAGCTCAGAGCCACAGCAGACACGATACCAACCCCAAAGGAAGCAAGATTCCCCGCAACGGCATTGGTTCCATCCCCCGTCGTCTCGATGTTAATCGCCCCAGACCGTTTCATTGCGGTAACGAACCACACCATTATACCACAAACAAAACCGAGCCACGGTGCGACGATCGCAGCAACTGTTGACATCCGTCCCCAGAGCAGAATAAGCCCAACAGGCACTGCGGCTCCACCGACAATGACACCCAGCACGGTAAGCACCCAGGTGAGACTCAGTCCTACTGCGTTGAGGATGCTGCAGAAGGCGGAGAGAACAAGCGCATACAGCGCGATGGCCCAGTGACTAACCCGGACCAGGGTGGCCGAGTCAGTGTGCGGGCGGAAATACGTTTTGTAGACGTCGAAGGTTAGAAGGGACGATACGGCGATGAGTTCAGCGGAGGTGGAGCTCGTGACGGCCATGAAGAGGAGGACGAGCATGAGGACTGCACCTCCCTTGCCGAGGAGGGTTATAGCCGTAGCCGGGGCGGAGAGTCCGGCTGCCACCTGTTCAGATGACAGTGGATGGGGATAAGTAGGGAAGGCTGGATTGTTGGTCAGGGCTGCGCACCCAAGACCCATGGCTGTTGCAAAGCCAAAGGGGATGCCTGCATATATTAGCCACAAACGTCTCGCCACGAGGATGAAAAACCTACCATACCACGCGATCCCACCCAGGAGATACGCCTTGACAGAAGTCTCCGGCCGCGAGGCAATCGCCCGCTGCCAATACGCCTGATCCAACCACACCGTCGTGAACCCAGACACAAAAATATCAATCGCAAAGATCAATCCACCAACCGACCGGAACGCCAGGTATGAACCATCGGTATTCCGCTCGATCGGCATCTCCCTCGACGCCTCCTGCAGCAACTCATACAACCTCCCGGGACTGCCAATCAAATCACTGCTCGCCGCAACCAGGAACCCAAACACCAGAATCGCCACAAACAGGATAACCGTGTGCGTATAATCCGCAATGAAGGTCGACCGCAGGCCCCCGGCAATCACATAGGCCGCGACAACTGCCGGAATCAGAAACGTCGCCGCGTACACGTTCATTCCCGTCAGCGCGGACACGACCTGCGCCCCGCCAAGGACCAGACACGCCCCGACGAGCATATTCGTCGCGAGCCCGTTGTACAGGTACGTCAGGTGAGCGATGGTCCCGTGCCGGGCGCGCACGATCTCCGGCATGGTGTGTGCGCCGGGCGCGTGGGCCTTGATCTTGATGGCGATGAGCCCGAAGAGGAGGATCTGAAGGGTGCCCATTGCAGCGTACCACATTGGGCCGCAGACGCCGTAGCTGTAGGCGAAGGTGGAGCTTGTGAGGAGCGTGGCCGACCAGGTCCAGGAGGAGACAATGCCGGCGGAGATCAACCCAGGCTTGACTGATCGGGAAGCCGTGTTGAACTCTTCGGCTTGCTGGGTGGAGAAGGTTGTGTAGCGGTTCTGGAGCCAGGTGAGACCCAGCATGAAGAGGGCGAAGATGCCCCCGATGCCGATGACGATGCCATAGCCGGCACTTGGGGGGAGGACCTGTAGGTCGTTGGATTGGGCCATCTTGTCTGTCTGGAAAAAAGTGCATCTCTGCTGTTGACCGTTGTTATATAGTCTATAGACTATAGAGTGGTATCGAGAAGCGATATAGACGACCCCACGGATGCTTATCTTTGGAGTATACCAATGGGTTGATAAGGGATTGATAGCCACAGAACGGTAGTTAACTTATCTCCAAGCGTTCAGAGTTCTGATAGTAGTTGGAGTAGCTGTTATCAAGCCAGTTATTGCACCAAGCCGGGAATTGGGGTCGGCATTTGGGTTTAATGGACAGGTTTGTTATCAGTATCGTCCATCATATGGTGATCACTTCACCTACTTACTCCAACTCATGAATCTAGGAACTAACTATCGATCCATATCCGGGTTCTTCTCCAATTCAGAAGGGAATATATGATATTTCCACAGGGTCAACTCTAAATCAGAGGGTCGATAAGCTAGTTTAGAGGATCCATGGCAAAGTCAAGGAACACTGGTGTCTACTAGGTGATGAAACAGTACTTTTCTTCGTTTCTGTGAACAATCTTTCCCCTGTTCCCGCTTTCCTCTTCCATCTTGCCCCCAAAACGACCCCGATGCCGTGGTCTGGCCGATAGCGCCTTGACGTTGTATGTTGCCAGTAAATATGGAGGCTTGAAGCCACCTTCTATACGTCTATCGTCCTGAGAATACAGGACTATTGCCCAGACAGCCCTAAATACTATCTTTAATTTTGACAGAGCCGTTCATATTATACTGGTCGTATTTATCCTGCAGACTATTTGTATAGTACTACAAGACATAGCGAAATTGCTTATTGTCAATCTCGGTTTGATCCTAGAAAGTCAGCCTGCGTCATATACTCCAAGCGACAAACTTACCAGCATCCCATTCTCAATGCCCCTATCCCCATCCGACTCCTCTATACTCATCCGATCCCTTCGCTTATTCTCCAAGTACATATACACATACAATGCCGTAATCGACACAAGCTTGACCATATACCCCACCAGCATCCTGCCCAGTCAGCATCACCAAAACAGCATGGAAAGAGGCTACTCACGCAATATAAGCACTGCGATACCCCGGCGCCTCGCTGTCCTTGAACGTCTGCGGCCCAATGATATTCCCCACACAGTATCCTGTAAACAGCAGCGCCGCGGTCACCTGCTTCTTGGTATACCCGGCGACATTCGAGCTCACCATCGTCAAGCTCATACTGAATCCGAGACCCTGGAAGTAGCACAGCCACAGCGCCACAAGCCGTCCCCATTTGTTTGTATCAGGCAGGCCAACGAGTAATGCAGAGCCAATTATACAGATGGTGTTAGCGACGATCATACACGCGCTGCGCGAGTGGAATTTATCCCCGTATTTCGTCGCGATCCAGCCACCCACCAGCAGCGCGAGGAATTGCACTGCGCCGCCGGGGATCTGGAGGTATTGCGTGCCGAGGGTATCGAAGCCGAAGGAGCCGACGATGATGGAGGTGAACTGTTGCGGTCAGAATAAAACATGGCTCAGAGTTATGGCTAGCAATGTAACTTGGAAGCAAAGCATACACTCGTCAACGCAGAGTTGGGCACCTGCGCCCCAATCGCCATCACGAAGAGAAGCCACGTCTTGGGATCCCGCGCAGCCTGCCAGACCTGCTCCCACTTGAAGTGGTGATTCTTGACGCCCTGCTGGTTCCTGGCGACGCGGTCGACGGCAATGGCTCGCTCCTTGGGGGTGAGGAATCGCGCGGTGGACGGGAGATCAGGAAGCAGAAGCAGGGAGAGGATCCCTGTCGCGACGGACACCGCACCGAAGATGAGGAAGACGTACATCCACCGCGGTAGACCGGAGGTAATATGTCCCACGGCGTAGCCGATCAATCTGTTTTATTCCATTCCGTTTAGCAGATTTCACAGGAGGACGAGGCATGAGGCGACGGGCTTACCCTCCGAACATCGTAGCGATGCCGTTAGTGCAGTAGTACGCCTCCAGGCGCAGCGGCTGCTCTTGTGCTGTGTACCACATGCTCATGAGGAGGACAAAACCAGGATTCACGACGGCCTCGACAAGCCCTAGGAGGAAGCGGTTGGCGGCGATGCCGGCGAAGTTGTGGCAGGCGGGCGTGGTCATGAGCAGTGCGCCCCATACTATGAGTTTGTTAATATTGATCTAGATAATTTCTAAGGGATGGTATACTGATGGTAGTGATGGACAGGACTTTTCCCATTGGAAGTCGCTGCAGGGCATATCMGGCCGGATACTGGGCGATCAAATAACCAAAGTAGAAGATTGAGCCGAGCCAAGAGTAGTCCTGTCCATGGAGTTTCGTGCCTTGTTTGAGGCCGTACACCGAGGCGAAGTTTAGGCTGTTTTTGTCCAGATACTACGCAATTAGCAGCGATAATCAATGCAACGGGGAATACGCACCTGGAGCATGTATATCACAAAGAGGAGCGGAATCAAGCGAGTGTCGATCTTGCGGAGGACCTTTTTCGCCTCTCCTGGCGTGTATTCCAGTCCTCGAGTCTGCGTGTAGACATCGTAACTGTCGTCTTTATCGGCCGAGGGGTGAGAGGATAGAGATGAGTGTACATGTGCCTCGACTTTGTCTTGGTCGAATGAGGGCATTTTCTATGAGTTGGGCCGCATAGCGCAATACTGCAGACACTGTGCCATATATTTATAATTTCTTAGGAAGTCTTCTGAGTACATGAATCATGAGGACCCACTCCCCTTAAAAGCCTTTCCTTAAGTTAGGATAAACGTGCAGGACCCGCCGCTCTGATATTATAGCCAGCCAATACAGCAACATTAAACAAGGGCAATTTCTTCAAGAAACGTGCGCGAGTCCAGCAGGGGGGTTGATACCTGCCTTAATAGACGAACTAGACGGTCAGTACGGATGTCATCCGCGACTATAATCACGACATCGGGGCGGCGATGGCGTCTTAGTGGGATTAGTTTCCGCCATTGACAACAAATCAAGGCAATTAAACAGTGATACACAGCCGTCAGACTAGATATATGAATAAGTGTATAACCGACGTCCTCAATCGATTCTTGAATCCTCTAAGCACACATGAGAAAAGAATCCTTCAGCAACGTAATCAGAACGCCCGAAAATGCCGCACACTGAAGTGTAACGTTCCCATGCTCACATTCACAAACGCAGCCTCCTGGCCAGTAAACACAGACATCCATACACAAGAAAATAGTACGAGATCCCGCAAATTGATATGATCTTTGAGTCACTTCCCACTGCAATGAGGGGCCAAGCTGTCGCTGGCTTGAACACTCCGGAACCCTAAAATCAAAATTCTTGCAGTAATGACAAAGCAGCCAAGGCTGAAGTAGTTACATTGATTGGGCGAGTCTATCTGCAAGGAAGTACGCTCGCTTGTAGGATACGTTCGCACGCGGGGATGACGTGAGATTTGGACCCTTCGCCCATCAACTTCAATCTTGCCAATACTCAAAAACGATGGAATCATCACGTCAATATTCTGTACAAAATGCCCGCTATCTCAGACTTTCCACGACTCCCTCTGTGCGAAGCATGCTCTTGCCTCTTGACGGACTACAAGAACGAGCGCGCCCGCTTTGCCATGTGGTACGAGCAAGACGGATACGGGTATACCAGGCTTCGACGCGATCTCGAACGCGCAGCGGTATTGGGATGCGTCTTCTGCAAGAGCGTGGCGGCACATGATCGTAAGTATCAACAAGACCAGAATGATGATGGAAATGCAGAGAATCCATCCTTTGATCCGCGTCCGAGTTGGTATCCGCCATTGGACGAGGTGCTAAAGTTGCGAATCCGTTAAAACTGGGTCCAGAACATGCTGTGGATCTGGTCAACTGCAGGAGTCCGCTGGCGTGGCGGGGATTTGTCATGGGGTCTATTCACAACTCCAGGTGGGTGAGTTGCACCTGGTAGATGGACGTCACTGACACTGCGCAGAGGATCCTGCCGCTTCTGCCGTCCATAAACATACTGTGCTCAGAGATCTAGGGTCGGAGCAAAGCTTCAACGAGGCACGCGAGTGGATGCAGGAGTGTCTCCATACTCATGCGAGCTGTCCTTCTGACGAGAGGGGTGGATCTTCCACGGAGACTCATTTATGTATCTCCGCTGGGCGAGTCCAGAGTATTTGCTCGAATCTGCGAAACGGGCGGACAGCAGGGACAGTACTGCGCGCTGAGTTACTGCTGGGGTGGCGACCAGATATATAAAACCGTCCGTGATTGCTACGAGCAATACAAGAAGGAATTGCCCTATCACAGTCTCCCCCAAACCATTCAGGATGCGCTTCACGTCACCCGCAGCATGGGTCTGCAGTATATCTGGATCGATTCAATGTGCATCATCCAGGACGATGAAGAGGACAAGCAGAGGGAAATGGGAAAGATGATGGACATCTACCAGAACACACTGTTCACTATATCCGCCGCAAGTGCAGCGGCAGCCAGTGAAGGATTTCTGAGACCGGACCTCCATGACTCTCGTAACGAGGTATGGTACCACCCCCTGCGCGTGGATGAGCATACTATGGGAGCCGTACTCGTCAGCGACAGTTCGACATCCTTCGAAAGCCTCGGAGCCCGTCCGCAACCCATCAACACGCGGGGCTGGACCCTCCAGGAGACCATCCTGACATCCCGACTTCTGATTTTCGCTGGCATCCACATGGTCTGGAAGTGCCAGAGTGGGTTCCTCCCGGACGTCCCCGCGAGCGCACGGGATAGGTATGGGAAGTGTCCCTGGGACTTCTGGTTCCCGCAGTGCGACTATACCGTGCTATCGCTGCGGGAGCTGGACGGAGCGTCAACGCCGGAGGGTCCCCAAAGAGGAAGGCCTTTCGACTCCCCTGCCATATATCGAGAATGGAAGAAAATTGCGCAAAAGTACGCGAGTAAGGGGCTCACGGAAGAGCGGGACCGCCTCCCTGCTATTTCAGCAGTCGCGCAAAAGTTTGCCGCGCGTTTCAAGACCGAGTACTATGCGGGACTGTGGGGGAAATTCCTCGTCTACGATCTCATGTGGACGAATTGGCTAGGACGATCTGAGTCTAGCACACGGAGACCAGGACCGCCCTCTTGGTCGTGGGCCAAGCTGAAGGGCGAGCATTCTTATGAGTACGGGATTGTGCAAGCAGAAGTTATTTCGTGCATGACTACTCCTGTGTCCGAGAATAATCCATTCGGTGAGGTTACCGGCGGCGAGCTCGTAATCCGCGGGCCCCTGGGACCTACGTGGCTTCACACAGACAGCGGGACGCTCACCAATGATGACGGGATTGTAATGCCACGTACACGCTACACTAGCGACCGGGGGCACAGAGACCGAATCCGGGATTATTTAATGGTATGGTGCCTTGTACTTGCGTATGGCTCTGGCCCCACCTTGCATCAAGATTATCCAGTATGTGCACGGATGGATTTTTGTGCAGAGTGCAAAAGGGGGAAAGAGTGGCAGATGATGGTGCTGATTGAGAGCCCCGATAAGGATGGCTGTTACGAGCGCATCGGGATCGCCCAGGCAGAGACCTATCGCAGGCCCTACTGGTATGACTGGGAGTGGGAAACCGTGACAGTAATCTGAGATGCGCTAGTTATCGAATGCTCAAGTTCTGCACCGCATGTAGTTAGGTCTCCGGAGGTTACAGTACTATTTTCACCTCTGAGACCCCCTCGGCTCGATTCGTTGATTGAGGGCTCTTATATTCTCTGGGTATCTTGCGTTCTCAATTCGGACTGCAGCAGCTTAGGGACACCGTTCAGACACTGTGCATCATGGCCTGTGAAAGAAAAGACAAGTGACTTGCACAATGAATGGCTTTTAAATATCTCACATAATATGGGATTACTGTGCGGAGTTTCAGCGCTACTCTGACACGGTGGGATTTGGCAATAAGATACTCCTAAGGCAGCGTTAGATCACCGAGGATGGCAGGGTAGCACTGACAGAGGGTCATGGTTGATTTTGTTTGGAGAGGAGAATTCACGAATCGATCGACAGAATCCCAAGAGGAACCTATACTCCACAAGCCATCGCTTCATTTACAGGTATTGAGATATTCCTGCAAAGGAGGGGATTATCATTGGAAGCCTGGCGTACGTCACCAAGAGGACCAAGCCCTGGCGGATAAGAGAAGTGATCCTCTCGCTGTCAGCATACTTGTGTCTGCCTGACGTGGAGGAACAAAGCGTAGATGGGGCGTTGCGTAACGAGAATTTGATAGTTGAAACGAATTTTGTAATGGGTTAAAAGAAGCTATATCAAAGGCAGGAGTAGCCTGCACATGTTTTGCTCTTTCAGCCCTGCAACCAGAGGAACGAATCGCACCTGGCTGCGCTGCAAAAGGGTCGTCGCAGTCATAGCAGGGCCCTAGGTCCAGAGAAAGGGGCAAATGAGAGGCAGTGGTCGCTGGTGGCTGAATAGTAAGTGTTTGCAACATGTTGATGGAAGGGTTGAAAGAAGCCGTATTGAAGGCAGGAATTTCCTGCACAGGTTTTACTATTCCACATCTCTATATCATCCGCGTTATCAAAATGAAGAAGCCATTTCGCCGCGCCTTCTTGGCTGGGATAGTCCTTGACTTGTCCTTTGACATCTGCCAGCCTTGTGTTAGTCATTTCTGGCCTTAATGCGATGGTCATATAGGCCTGCTCTATACTCTTATAGCTATATACAGAAGATAGAGTGGTAAGAGGACTAAATATAAGATTTGACCTGGATTCAAAGCCAAACTAATTATGGCATAACGCAGGAGGAGCATAAGTGAGTAGTGTTACAGTTAGTGATATTTGACAGAGCATAATAGTAAGATAAGTGCAGTAGGACAGGAAACAGAACAATCACAAAAGAGAAATCATGCATATAAAGCCGTAGAAACCTAATGCAAGGGAAAGCTTGACCTACAGAGAAAAGTGGAGAAAAACTATCCTACACAATCAAACGCAAGTACTTTCTTTTGGAGACGCGCGCAGGCGTGTTTACTGCTATCCCTTGCTCTCACCACACTCGTTTCAGGGTATACCTTAATATCTGTTTCCATATGATACCTGTGTAAAAGATACAACAGCCAAGGACTAGAAGCCTGGATGACCGGAACCTTCCAGATCGGACGTAGAAGGTCGATGCAAACGCAGTAACCAAAGCGACCGCCGAATTTGGCAATGTATCAACACCTCTGTATCTCGCAGTTGCCTCCTGCGTAGAGCCTGGCGCTTTCCCGGGGTTCCATCTATTGCCCAGTTGATAGGCAATGCTAGGCAGGAAGGCTTGTGTAACCTCCACCAGTGTGTATCCCCATGCTAAGCTTCCGGATCATTGGACACCAGTGCTAACCCCTCAGTTCTTGTGTTTAGGCTTCCCCTTGCCCAAAGATATGCACCCATCAACCCCACACGGTCGACCCATGGGAGATGAGCAGACCCCACATAGCTTATCTGGGTTCCACTGAAGTCGATGAACCTTGGGCGCGAATATAGCGAACTTAGTTCTGTCCTCGAAACGATTGCGGCCGCTTGGCTGACAGGTCAAGACAGCGTGCTATCCACCCGCTCTATTCTGAATGAGCCATGCGAAGCGTAAGTCGATCCTACATGGCGCTTGAAGGGGTGAACAGTCATTGAGTCAGGATCATTAGGGTTAATTTACCTGATTCCAGGTTAACCAGCTTCTCCCGTGGCATAAGCCGATAAGTATTGCTTTATTTTATGCGATTTGTCGTTTTATTGCAAAAGCTTATAACAATCTGATGTTAAGTGGCAGTGCATAAGCGGGATCTCAGCTGAGAGGAGGGGTAAGCGGGATCAATCCATATGGAGAACAGTACGTTAGCTGTGCATTACTAGCGTCTTTGGTACCTTTCGCGTAGATATTTTCCCGAAGTTTCCCCCATTCTGATTTCTCTACTTTGAATAATCACTGACAGATCCAGTACTGCGACGCTCATTCTGCCACAAAAATCGACGTCCTTACATTATATGCCTATTGAGAGATGCTCGGGAGGATCAAGAGCAAGCTTTCCGGCCACAGACGCCGACAGGCTGCTCCAGTAGTTCCCGTGAGTGACAGAAATGGAATTGCCTCTTTTTTCTTCGACGACCCTAACGTCGTTCTGTTTGAAGACCGAGCCCAAACCGGATAATGGGGGAGCGTCATCCTCCCCAGGCTCCGGAAAACCAGTTGTCTCGGTAGAGTCTGTCGAGAAGTCACCCCATACGCAGTCGGGTCCTCCTGCAAGGGACCTATGGCAGGATGCTCTCAAACAGCTGTCTGAGGCCAGGCAGGAGAAGCTGAAGTGTATGGGTTTTGGTCAGCTAAATTCCGGATCTGTTGAAGCTAGTATCTATGATCTAGTGGGCGAGGTCAACAAGAAGCAGGAACAGTGCGAACAGAAGTTCTGGCGTGTATCCGTCGGGGATCATGACTTTGTGCTTCGAAACTATACAACAAAGATCGTCGGTTGGCTGGAGAAGGCTGGTGATATTGCCGTACAATTCGCGCCACCCCAGGCTAGTGTCCCTTGGACAGTCCTTAAATCCGTCATGCAGGTGAGTGTACTGAATTTGCTCTAAATCCATCCCAAGTGTAATGCTCACAGTGAATTTTAGATTCCCGTGATCGATGGTGAACAAATGGCGGCGTTGCTTGCAGTCACCGAGAAGGTTGTTCGCATTGTCAGTCGCGGCCAGGTGTATGAGCAGGTCTACCTGATAGACACCTCCGGTACACCCGAGGATAAGCTGTCAAAGAGTCTCCAGGACGCTMTGGTGAAGATCTACAGTACCTCATTGGAGCTTTTGGCGGATTCGGCAGACCTTTTCTCTACAAACACAGCTAGGCGCACACTTAAAGCAATTTTGAATCCGGGCCACGTTTCTGGTGGACTGTCAGCCCTTGCCGAACAAGAAGATGAGCTTCTCCGCGATGTCCAGGCATGCGAGAGTAGACGCAGTGCGCAGGCCGACGATCGGATGATTGGAATGCTAGATCGGTTAAACGCGCCATTGACCCGTGTGGACGAGAACGTTCAAAGCCTTCTTGGACAGATAAGCCAATCTCGTCGTACCATGTTGTTAGAATGGATTTCGCCGATAAAGTTTGGCGAGCATCACTATAACGTGAAAGAGAAAAGAACGCCCGGCACGGGTGAGTGGCTGTTGCAAAATGAGAGGTTCCGTGATTGGGAGAAAACCTGTTCATCCGGTATTTTCTGGCTTCAAGGTTCTCGTAAGTTGCCAACTATGTCTGCTTCTCCCTTGCTGTTGTTCTAACCTAGGCTAGCTGGTACYGGCAAGACATACCTCACATCGAGGGTCATCGATCTTGTTCAGGACATGCTCAACGACCTCCCAAAGGATGAGGGCTTTGCATTCTTCTACTGTGACAAGACCGAASCAARTCGTGGGCAGGCAAAGGCTATTTTCCAAAGCTATGTGCGCCAGCTTTCTACCCCCGCAAGCAATCCCGAATCTATTCAGACTCRACTTAAGGAGATGTGCCAGAAAGCTCGAGATGCCGGGTCAACTCTCAGATTTGACGCATGCAAGAAGCAGATCTTAGAGTCCTTGAATCTCTACTCGAAGACTACGCTAGTTCTTGATGCCTTAGATGAATGCGACCCGGAATCGCGCGAAGAATTGATTGATGCGCTGAAATCTCTCCTACTTGAGTCTAAGAATACCGTCAAGGTATTTATCTCAAGCCGGCCTGATCCAGACATCCAAAGCMAATTGGAAGGGTGTACCAGCGTAWGTATCGAAGCAAGCGACAATCAAACCGATATCCAAAATTTCCTTGAAAAAGAACTGGAAAAGCTTGCAAAAACGACCGCGTGTATTAGACGCTTGAAAACCAATATTGTGGATAAACTGCTTGAGCGTTGTCAGGGGATGTTCCAGTGGGCAGCKCTGCAGATCCACCAGATTCGCACATGTAAAACTGAAAATAGTATCTGGAAACGCCTTGACACTCTTCCAGATGGCCTCCAGGAAGCATACGACGAGGTCTGGAGCGAGATCGAAAAATTGGAGGAGCCGGACCAGTCCCTCACGAAACGCGCCCTTTTATGGGCAATGTCTGCATGCAAGCCAATGACCAGCGATGAGCTCCTATGCGCTATTCGTGTGAAGCCGACGGAAGACCTGCTCTTGTCGTTGGACGAAGAAATTGACGAGCAAGGCTTGCTGTCACTTTGTAAGAATCTCCTTGTTATTGACTCTCAGTTGAATGTGTGGCGGTTTGCACATCTATCGGTCCGTGAATACCTCGAGACCAAAGTGAAATGGACCATTGAACGGGCACATTTTCACGCTGCCAGGGTTTCGCTGCTGTTCCTCAACCACACCTTCGAGAAAATTAACCCTGGCCTTGTATGGGATGACCTTGTATTGGACCCATCAGATCGGTCCACCACGGAACCCGACGACTTCTTCAATCTCCGTCACCCATTTCAGATCTACACAAGGCATCATTGGGCTCTTCATGTCCAACGGGTACGCGATCCTGAGCAGATCTTGCTAGCGCCACTTTTGAAGACTTTCCTCGGGTCCCCTGAAGATAGTAGTTTACAATATCGGAGATGGTATTGTCAGATTAGTTTAGACGGTATACAGGGGCCATCAACATCTGCGTTTCAAGGGAACTGGTCAGTGGACGAGATTGCCCCAGGAGACTTCGCCATCTTCGCAATGTGTTACTTCTCGTTCGATACCATTCTGTGGGACTGGTGGGAAGGCACAGAGATCACACTCTCACTTGTGAACGAGCGATGCCACAACCTCCTTGCAATTGCCGCTGCGGCTGGTTCCAAACCAATATGCAAGAACCTAGTGGAAAGGGGTTTAGAAGTGGATTTGCAACTTCCAGGTTCCGAATATGGCAGCGCCCTCGCAGCAGCAGCTAGAATGGGACAACTTGAAATTGTCAAGTTCCTTGTTACGGAAGCAGGGGCTAATGTCAACATGCCACTACGGGCACGGCCAGTGCTAGGGGGGCAATTCGGTAGCGCCCTCGCAACAGCAGCATTTTGGGGACAGATTGAGGTTATTAAATATCTGGTCCAAGAAGCAGGGGCTGATGTTAATATGCCTTTTACGCCTAGGTCTCCAGGATTTCACGCGTTCAGCAGTGCCCTCGAAGCAGCAGTATATGCGGGTCGAATGGATGTGGTCAAGTTCCTAGTACGGGAAGCAGGGGCTGATCTCAATGTGCAACTTCCAAGTGGAAAGTATGGCAGTGCCCTCGCAGTAGCAGCGACGGCAGACATTGAAATTGTCAAATTCCTAGTGCAGGAAGCAGGGGCTGATGTCGACGCGCTGCTTCAAAGCGGAGAGTATGGTAGTGCTCTCGCAGCAGCAGCGGGAAACATTGAGATTGTCAAATTCCTAGTTCAGGAAGCAGGGGCTGATGTAAACATGCTACTTCAATGTGGAGAATGTGGCAGTGCCCTCGCAGCTGCAGCCCGGTGGGGAGACGTTGAGCAAGTCAAGTTCCTAGTGCAGGAAGGAGGGGCTGATGTCAATGTGMTACTTCCAAGTGGAGAGTATGGTAGTGCTCTCGCAGCAGCATCAATGCGAGACATTGAGACTCTCAAGTTCCTCGTGCAGGAAGCAGGGGCTGATGCCAACCAGCAACTTACAAGTGGATACTATGGCAGTGCCCTCGCAGCTGCAGCCCAGAACGGAGACATTGAGATTGTCAAGTTCCTAGTGCAAGAAGCAGGGGCTGATGTCAACATGCCACTTAAAAGTGGAATATATGGCAGTGTCCTCGCAGCAGCATCAACGGAAGCGGTTGATGTTGTCAAGTACCTGGTAGAGGAAGCCGGGATGGACGTGAACATGCCACTGCAGATTGGATATTTCGGCAGCGCCCTCGCAGCAGCAGCAGTGGCAGGGAATCTCAAAGCCGTGAGATATCTCATCGGGGCCAAAGCAGATGTTAATCAATGCCTTCCAAATGGAAAATATGGAAGTGCGCTCGCTGCCGCCTCTGCCCTCGGTCGAAAAGATTGTGCTGAGCTTTTGATAGAGGCTGGAGCGGAGGTGAATCTTAGGTTAGAAGGCGTGCCCTTTAACAACGCTTTGCAGGCCGCACAGGCGACTGTCTCAAAGGAAGATCTGATGTGGTTGGACATATATGAAACGCTCGACGAAGAATCTCTGAGACAGCATAAAGATGAGGTGGCGGAGTTACTCCAATATCATGGAGCAACCGTTTGATACTCCATAGCTGTTTGTTGATCATTTTTTTACGGGCGTCTTAGCTGTTGCATACTTATACCTTCCTATTTTCCTGAGAACCCCTGCGTATGCCTGAGAAGATACTACGTACCTCGTAGTGAATCATGATTTGCTTCCAGGAACTGCCGTGTATTGACTGAGCGGGTGACTCTTGTTCCTGGTTATAAATTATTACCATTCAGCGCCTTGGAACATCTCTTTTTATATCGGAATAACCATGTGGAGTAGCATATCGCGTGACTATGGTTTGAAAGAGCGCGTGGAAGGCAATAATGCTCGCGAATATACAATTGTTGAACAGAATCCAGTGAAAGTTCATTGTTTCATTTAAATTATAGTACATGTGGCATTGCCAGAATCCATCATTTATCATCACTCAAGGTCGTCACTCGTATCGACTGATTTATTCCTCAGGGTAATCGGCAGCACCACCGGTGGCGCGGCCACCTTTGCGACCAGCCTCACGGGCACGCTCCTCACCGGGCTGGAAGCTACCGCTGGAGGCTTGGCCGCCCTTGGAAGCGATGTCTCTCTGGAAGAAAGTTAGTTGATATTGTAGAAGCATAAAAGTATAAAGAGTGTTCTGAAGACGTACCTGCTTCTGGGGATCCATGCTGGCGAAACCACCCTGGTGGCTGGCCTGGCCTCCCTTGCGAGCAATGTTCTCGACCTCCTCGTGGGGGCGGTTGGCGAAGTTTCCGGGGTTCTGGTTGGAGGACATTTTGATGGTAGATTGAAGTGGTGGATTGATTTGAGAGACTGCTCAATAGGTGCTTGATTGTTCTAGTGTTTTGATTTTTCTGTCTGATCTGATGATTTCGAACGGATCAGGGCGAGGGAAACGCAGGTATTTATGCTTGAGGGAGGAGCTGCTGACTACATGATGATGTATCTGCCAGTCTCTCGCTGATTCAGTTGGTATTTCCAGTTGGGAAACGTTGATTGACCTGTTGTCTCCACTCTGATGCCATTTGAGTGACTGCAGTCGACATCATCAGTGGAGCCCCTTGTGTTGGGATGTCAGTAGCAGCCATTGAGGAGGTACTCTTGAGGCAATGGCAGTGAATTGCTGGGATGCTTGACTCTCAGAACGGAAGTAGTTGTGCGTTTACCTTAGAGGCTGCTGACTGATGGAAGATCCGCGGGCCTGGGCCCAGAACTCATGAAACAAGAAAGCTAGTGGACTCTGGGGTACGTATTAGGGCCGATTTCTTGTTGCTTGACCAGAGATTGCATGTTTCAGACATATAAACCTCACTATGACAACATCCGATCATATCACCATGTATTATCCATTGTGCTTGCTTGAGGTTGCTTTCTGACGCCACAGAAATGGGTCTCCGAGGAGACCAGTCGACACATCACATTGATCAACTAGGATACGAGGCATTGACCAGTCATTCCTAGGTGGTTGCATATCATCATAAGTCTTTCAATCATTATTACCTCACTCGGGCTGTCTGATGGGTCGAGCTTGGGGATGCCGCTAGTCCCGAAATGGTAACATTGCATACAGTGCAATGTCAGCCCCACCGAAGCTCGCTTTTGTTGTACTGTGTATGATGACATGACATTATTCGGTATCTTGCTGGAGGATGTTTCCAGAACCAGCATTGTGTGAATTCTTCCTGTTCTTAGCAATTATCGACGGCATACTGCTTCTGGTTGCTGTCCACTAATGCTCGGCATATGACAACGCTGTGTCGATCACGTGATTTCCCAATATGGACTAGTGGCTGGGTAAGCTCCTCGGCTTTCGTTTTCGATTGCCTGAGGCCACTATTGCACACTTGTTCTATGAAGATTCATTCTGTCGCCCTCTCCTTTAACTGTGAGTTTAGCCAGAGTGCCAGGCACTCTGATAGGCATGGTTGTTACTAGTCTGCTTTTATGGAGGCTGACTCTCATTGCTGCTGCATACTTTTCCGATCTATCAAGGATTCCCACTATTTCGAAAGCATATATAGCAGACTTCTAACCACTAAAACCGCAAATCCCATCCAATCTGAGGCCCTATTTTGGGCAACTCATCGATCACGCTCTGCACGTCTTTATCTCCACGGCCACTCAAGCATAACACGAGATCTTTGCCGGGTCCCAGCTGCTTCGCTGTCTCGACTGCGCCCCAGACCGCGTGAGAGGTCTCCAACGCGGGAATGATACCTTCCAGCTGGCTCAGAAGTCGGAAGCCCTGCAGGGCTTCGGCATCAGTAGCTGAAAGGAATGTCGCCCGGTTGCACTCCTTCCAGTGGGCCAATTCCGGTCCCACACCGGGATAATCCAGTCCCGCTGAGACCGAGTGAGTATTGGAGATCTGTCCATCCTGGTTCTGCAGCACATAGGTCCGAACGCCATGCAAAACTCCGACAGAGCCTCGACTCAAGGTAGCTGAATGCCGTTCCGTGTCCAAGCCATCGCCTGCGGCTTCCACCCCAACCAGTTGGACGGAGGCGTCCTCAGAGAATGGATAGAACATGCCGACAGCGTTGGAGCCGCCCCCGACACAGGCAACCACTGCATCCGGGCTCTTGCCCAGGGTTCGCAGCTGGGCCTTGGTCTCCTCACCAATCACACTTTGGAACGTGCGAACCATGGTCGGAAAGGGATGGGGCCCGATCGCAGACCCGATAATATAATGCGTCGTATCCAGGCGCGCAATCCACGCACGGAAGGCTTCATTCACCGCATCCCGTAGCGTACGCGATCCCGATTCGACTGGGACAACCGTAGCCCCCAACAAGCGAATCCGGAACACATTTAAGGCCTGGCGACGGACGTCCTCTGCACCCATGTAAATAGTGCATTTCATACCGAATTTGGCACAGACTGTCGCGGTCGCAACCCCGTGCTGGCCTGCACCCGTCTCGGCGATGATCTCCGTCTTTCCCAGCCGACGGGCAACTAGAATCTGGCCCAGGGCGTTGTTGATCTTGTGGGATCCTGTGTGGTTGAGGTCCTCCCGCTTCAGCCAGATATTCGCGCCGCCTGCGTGCTCGGACAGGCGCGGAGCCAGGTGAAGGCTGGAGGGACGTCCCATGTATGGATAGTACGATCGGTATTCCTCCCAGAAGGTGGGATCATTCCGAGCGGCCTCGAACCCGGCTTCGAGTTCGGCCAGACAGGTGGTCAGGGCCTCTGGGGCGTATTGACCACCGAAGACACCGAACCGCCCTGATAGGTCAGTCGCCGGAGCTGCCTCTCCCTCGACAACAGGCTCGACGACCGCATTGGTTTCCATCGCGGCAGAGGGCCCACCGGTAACCTTTCTTTGTGTGATCTGCGAGCAATAGTCCTCAACTGCCCGGGCGGCCTGTCCGGCGGGGGCGCTATCAAGGATCGTAATCACCTGACTGCCGATTACAGCGCCGTCAGCGATGGAGGTCACGCTCAGGAAATGCTCGCGCGTGCTGATTCCAAACCCGACGGCCACTAGGATATTGCCAGAGAGCTCTTTGACGCGCTGGATGAGAGCGGGAAGGTCTGAATTGAGGGTCCCGGTGGCGCCGGTGACGCCCATACGGGAGACGAGATAAATGAAGGAATCGGCCATCTTGCAGAGGACCTTCATGCGGTCTTCGGTAGTGGAGGGGGCTATCAAAGGGACGTACGAGAGACTGTCCATGAATCAATTAGTTCACTCGTCCATTGTTAGGGTTGTGTGTGGCCCTACCCGGTCTTCGTGCAACCATTGCGGAATCGAACCGCTTCCTCCGGAGGCAGATCAACAATAATGAAGCCGTTGACCCCGGCCTCAACGCAATCAGCCAAAAGCTTTGACTCTCCATACTGCAGTATAGGATTATAGTAACCCATAAACAGCACCGGAGCCTTTAACCCTTTTCTCCGCGCGTCCGTCCGAACCATCTCCAACATCGAGGTCATTGTGACCCCATTTTCGAGGGCCTTCAAATTCGACTTTTGGATGGTCGGACCGTCTGCAATGGGATCCGTAAAGGGGAGGCCCAATTCAATAATATCTACACAATTCTATCAGGATCAATTCACACTGTAGACCAAAGGACTCACCTGTTCCTCCGGCCTGCATGCCCAGCATGATGTCCGGGGTTTCCTCCGCCGTAGGGAATCCGGCCGTCACGTATGTGACCATCGCTGGACGGCCTTCCTCATGGCATTGGGCAAATATTTGTTTAAGATGCTCCATGATGGGTCAAGATTGTGGGGGATGGAAACATAGAAACCACGAGAGGGCGTGGTTTATTCTAAAATTGATTGTCCATTGACGGGATGAGTCACGGCGAGTGGATAGCACAAGCGGACGGAACGGGCCACCTATCTATCTACTTTCCTGCATACCTAGCGAGAACTAGGACTAGATGCGTGACTAGCGGGTTTTATGATTGCCCTAGAGGAATAGAATTTCCCTAATCAGCATGAGTATGACAGATTGTTATTAGTTTGGACAGGAAATCACCCCAGCGATGGAGACTTTCGCATCGCGAAATAAATCCATAGTGATCTTTCAACCTCTCATTGCGGCGACCATTCCAGATATATTTCTCACGACGTGAACCGACCAGGCTTCGAGAAATTTGTAGTGAGCTGAGAGAATGTGGGACATGGACGAAGTTACGTTAGTAGTCTATATAAATTGCACCACGACGGAGATTTTATCTTTTAATAACATTGCATTATCATACAACGCAAGCAAAACAATATATTCTGCAACTTGACAATTATTTAATCACTATCTTGAAATGTCTTGTCCAATTTTCCGACCATTTGTGGCGGGATTTGTTGTCGACTGAGTTGCATGTGTGGCCGCGTTGTGGCATGGATTGATATCTTTGTGTCGGATGCTCCCATTAGTCGGCGGCGAGGGCTGCTTCGGTTGGAATGGCTTCGGAAGCTGTTCTGTAGACCTGATGGTATGTAGATCAGGCGAGGGTCTTGAACATCAACCCCAGCGAGACGCCTAGAAACCGGTTAACAAATATAGTGAAATACAATACGTGCATAGGCGGCGGTCATAATAAGCGTCAGCAGATTGCTACAACACCGATGCAGCAGATGGAACTCAATGAAGAGTGAATAGACTGGGGATATCAGGAGGTGAATCAAACGTTGTGAGGGTGAAGAGCTACGCAATGTATTTATAGCGAGGCTACATGACTTCGTTACGATTAGAGCCTACCAGTATAGAGCGGACAGCAATGCGGCCAAATGCGATAAGCATGCAGACCCAGGCTGAGAGGGAAGTCTTCGTTGAACTGTCGACGTATCGCTTATACTTATGAGCCAATCGTCAACTGATCAATAGACCTGGCCCTGGCGCCATGACAGGCCAAAAAGCAATCCGAATGAGGGGTACTGCGCCTTGTGATATTAAGCGATTCGCCAGCACATCACAAACCAGAGAAGGCTGCGACGACGAACGAGGCTGAGTCCAAGGCCTTAAAAGACAGACCAGCTCCTCCTTAGTGAATCAGGGGATCTCGACTTGCTTGAAAGAAGTCAAGGGATTTCACAAAAAGCAGATTCCGTTGGCCTTTCACACTCCCACAAGCTTTCCGGTCCCTCGAGCTTTGACGGGAGCACTTGAGAAATCTCCTAAGGCCCTCCACACAGGATGGATAACACAGAAACACCAGACATCAATAGTTTCATTCAGTCGGTTCCCGAGGTCCAAAAACTTAGGTCCGACAACCATGACTATAAACTGCAGCAGGACGATGTCTTCCAAGGCATACGGCGGGAACTTGAAAAGCGCCTAGACCGCCCGGATGATGAGAAAGAAGAATGGCTTTTGCAGTTGGCAGAGTTGGACTTGACAGACGAGCATGCGGACGATAATGAGATCAATACCCTCGCTTCCCTTCTCACGAACTATGTCGTCGATTACCCTTGGATTTATGACCACAGTACTGTGATCCAGCTTGGGAATGGCTCGGAACCAGTCAGTAGTACGATTGAGAAAATCAAACATTCGGACTATACTTTAGGGTTGGCAGGCATGTTCCCTCATATCCGAGAGTCTGCAAGCAATGAGAATGATCAATCGACACCCACGCCGTCCAACAATGCAGAAAGGAAAGGAGAATTTATATCTCAATTTCGTGACCATGTCACCATCTCAGACAACGACACAAGGAAATGCGCCACAATCAATTTTCTTTTAAGATCAGAGGAATACAGTGAGCGAGTACTAAAGAATCTCCTGTCGCATATCGAAAAGGATGGTCATATCAAGATTCCATACCTGCGCCTAAATCCGGCATGGAATGGAAGCTTAGAGGACGACAAGTATATTGTGATGGCTGCAATCAAGTTGGACACTATCAGGGATCTCATCACCACCTGTTACAGATTGACTGAGAGCACATTATTACGGTAAGCTCTTCAGAGCTGAAATTTTAATCAACTTCGCCCCAGGGAGTCAGGATTGTTAATGAATATTCGTTACTAGCTCTATCCCATTTGTGCTTGGAGCTCTCGGCGGGTTGCTTCTAGGTGCAAGAATTTGGTCTGAGCTGAACAGTCGAGACAGCCTGTCACAGGTAATGGAAGCTCTCAGACGGGTATTCGACGATATTGGAGTGAAAATTCCGATCGAAAATGAGCAGGAGGAGTTGTCTATCGACAAAATCCGGAGCATGATTGCTTTGGCAACCCAGTTCCTCTGTCTGGTGCTTCAGTCATACGTAAGAGGGTCTATGACACCATTTCATTTTGATTTTCTAGTCTGCAGGGTCTCGGACTTTGTTCTGCAAGGCGACCATGCTTTGCCTGACCTACCAAGCATTTACGCAAGTTCACAGAAGCTTTCGTGTTTGGGAGATATGCTTCGACAAGAGGTGCTGGTTTTTGGACTACGTGAACCATTTCAAGAACGGATTGATATCGTTGCAACACCAAGCCAATTAGTTGACATGTGGGGTCCGGGAGAACTGATAGTCAAGAAAGCTAACCCATCTAACGAGTCCGGTGATTCGTCCATAGTGGGCATCAAAATATGGGGAGGCGTTATTTTGTCAACAGGAAAAAGTATCCAAGGGATACAGATGTGGCACTGGCTGCCGCAGCGTCACATAGATATCGATAGGCTAAACTTGAGCACATATACAGAGACTGGTCTGAATACACCAATCCGTATCGGGGCGACAAGCCTCGTCGAAGTGAACCCAATTGGGCCGGCTCGTTTGAACAAGGGATGTCCTCGCACTGGTGACTGTACAACACAATTCGAGACGACATTCTCGTCGAGTTTGAAAGTCATTGGGACGAAAGATTCGAGGATAGCAACCCAGTCCATACAGGCGGGGTTGCAGGCCGGTCAGTTTGTGAATATAATTGCAAATAGCACACTCATCCGGAAGCCGGGAAGAACCGCCAAAGAGCAGATCCTCAATGCAACTGGTTTGTTCGAAGTTCGACTGGCTGATTTTGATCGAATATGGGGCCTGTTTCTCAGCCCCTGCACTGGTATTATGTGTCGTGCGAGACTTCGTGAGTTGGTGGCATTCTTTTGCCTGCGATGCTCACCCAAGCAAATACCTCCATCACCAATTGCAGCGCGTGAAGAGTCAATGCATGAATTTGCAAAAGCAATGTGTGGTGAGGCAAGCCTGAACGACTGGTTCGAGTCACTTATCCCGGATGACAAAAGCGACGACTTCAGCTTTAGAGAAGGACTGCAACATCGCATCATATCCCTCTTCAACGGCGTCTTGGACATGATCAAAGAAACTGGAATTTTGGAAAACGGAGACTTAGCTGTTGCCTGGCTGTCTTCCGGCAACGCCCTAAATACATTGACATTGTCTGCCCGCCAGCATCCATGGATCAAGGTCCTCAGTGACTCGTCATTGACAGCGACTTTTGCTTGCATCTCTCCCCATTGTTTCCAAACCATGGATTGCTCATGTCAAAACGACGAATGGCGACTACCAAGTGAGTTTCGACTGTCGACAAAAATAGACATGTTCGGACAGTACCTTCAGCCAGAGTCTCCCAGAAGATATGCGCTGCGGATACAGAAATCGTACCCGATCAACTCGTCCACATTGAATATTCTCGCAAAGATCAACGGCGTCATAGTGCGTGCTGACACAGATCCGTGCTACTATATCACGATCAAAAAAAGCGTTCTACCTCTTGACTTGATCCGATACACGCGATACCTCCCTTTTCTTCGCGAAAACAACTCCCCGAATGCTGTCAATGTTGTCATCAGTAGTGGTTCGAAATATGTACACCATCTTGAAGAATTGCGACAGCAAGGAAAACTGAAGATCCAACAATGATTGGAATTATCCTGTTCAAATGTGCCCACAATGTAATAATTCAACTCCGCTCTCGTGCTTCCTCCACTGCACGGTATAGCTCATTACCAATTCCAGCACTACTATCAAGCCAGTTGAGCTTTAAGTAGCTCAAAACATTGGAGATGTTCGTCAGTTATATGAGCGGCTCTACGTCTAAGCCCCGGTAATCTTGAATGCCATGTTCGAGGAAATTGGTTTGAAGCCCGTCTTTTACCCATCTCATAAAAAAGAACAACCTCGTCTGTCATGACTCTTGAAGGGTACAGTGACTTGCTGCAGGAGAAAGGTCGAACAAGTAGGCTTATTGGGCAGAAGCTCTGGTCTGCGGACAACAACGTCCGAGACAAGCACTTCTTGATGACGTTCATAGAGAGCGCAAAACACTATTTTTCCTTCCCATTGCAAGCTGCGCACTATCCTAGATGCTAGGGACACTGCCAAATTTGGTACCAGCCATTCTATTTCAGTTTTAAGGTAGTCTATATAAGCTTCATACGCAATCCTATCCACGTCCCTTTGGCAGTTCAATCTGTGATCCACTGATTATCCTTCGTTTCAGCCTAAGGTAGCTTGCAATTTCACCCTGTTAAACAACGCCAAAGTCGCGGCCTCGACCGTTCTTACGAACGCCTGCTCCTTCTACCAGGGTGGCTCGGTGGAGGCCTGATCCGAGATATGTCTTTCGATCGAGCCAATAACCGTGGGTTATGAAGATCGTGTACAGCTGAGCTGCAAGCCTGGCTTGGCTGCTACTGATTGGCGAAATAGTTATCATCAGTCACATCTCATCATCCCATAGTGGGGCCATTGATGTGGCTGGCGGAACGATCTGCAAGATGTTGCGAGTAAGCATTGCACTGTTATCCACTATCGATTAGTTCCTGCTCTTCGGAAGTAACCCTTGACAGTGGAAATGGACATGGTGGGGTGAAGGGTAGATGATCTCGAGCTATAAATTGTACATGCTTCTCTGCTCAGAGCCCAAATTCCCTGATCATTCACACCCATAAGCTCTTTCAAACATTGCTTCAGTTGTCATCGCGGGACTGCTCCAACCAGCAAAAATGGGTGAGACATTCAACATTGATGGTATGCAAGGATTTCTTTTGTTTCATTTTTCTACATGCATGGAATCTAACCATTGCGGACTACAGCTGCTTACGTCGACCTGACTTCCCCGGACGACGGCGATAATGAGTGGAGTGCCGAACAGACTGAGGCAGCGGCCGAGCTCTCTGTCCCTGATGATGCCGTGGAATTCAACTGGTCCTTTGGCCCGATTTCCGCAAGTCAACGTCCAACAGCACTTCCAAAGAGTCCGCTGCTAACAGCTTTTGTCTCTAGTTCAACGGATTTGTAGATACCAGCAGCTATGACATGACCTGTACTCCCGCAATCGGGGGCATATATGTCGGGATCGTTAATGGAAACTTAAAAGACGGCGTCGGTCTCAGGATCAACCTATACAACTTTAAGGGTGCGCTCCGGTGGTACCTCAAAAATGGAAACGAATTGTGGATCCATCACGACGTTAAGGTCATCTTTGACGGGTACTTCGAGGGTGATAGAAAGATTATCACATTCTGATAGCCTACATGGACGAGTATCCTGACATGTGAACTCTTGGACAAATATGTTTTGGCTCTGGTCATAATTTATTTCTTGAGCTGTATTGACCACGCTGCTTTATTATCTGATATGACTTGTAACAGGCTGTAGCCTTCTTTTCTAATGGCATCTGTCAGAATGTCATTGGTCTATTTCCTTTGTCAACCCCAGGTTGTTATATTAGTGGACGGGCCGGCCCATAATACATGTTTAGTATTTAGTGCACTTTATGTAAGGTGGTTTTTCAGGATGCGTTAACACGATCAAAGCAGAGACCCTATCAGATGGCATCTCCAGCCCCGCCCTTCATAGAGAAACAAAGACAGAAGTTTCATGATATCCGTCTGACCTTGAGAATAGAAAATCGCTATTTAAAAATCGAGCCGCCATATATCGCCTAGGCGTTCGTTTGACTCGGCAAGTCCGCCATGGACAACAATACTGGGACGCAAATTGTCTGAGATCACGTCCGCATCGAACCATCCACGCGCTGGAGGAGCGTGTTCGGCATCCACCTGGATTTCCGTCCATTTCTGAGACTCCAGATCGAAGAGCCATACGTCTGCAAGCATTTTGCCGGCTCCCTGGTGACCCAGGCTACTGGGATCGTGCTCGCCGAACATGGTGACTAGACAGGGCTTGTCAGAAACCTTGAGCGATAGGAGGCAGCTCACGCTTCGTGGACTCGGCCCAGTGATTCCATCTGCTTGGTAGGTAATGGTGCTCCACTCATTACTCTCGAGGTCGAACACGTCCAACGCCCCTCCTTGTTCCTTTTGGCCGTCGAAGCCGTTCATGCGGAAAATCTTCCCCTTTGCGTATGCAATGGACGCACCGCCTCTTTCTGGTCGGGGAGCTGGGGACAATTCTCTCCACTGGCGAGTGAAAATGTTGAACGCCCATAGGTCGCCCAGTCGGCCTTTTTCAGGGCACCCGGCGTGCAGAAAAATCGTGTCTTTGCCGTCGTTGGTGAGAGTATGATAGCTGCGTCCAACTGGGTAAGGGAGCTGAGAGTCTGCGGGTTTGACTTCGATCCAGGCACTACTAACGGGGTCGAAAACCCAGAATGCACCTGCTTCCTCTATCGGAGCCATGGCAAGCCCACCACGGCCTGAAAACATGTACACCTTCCCATCGATTACGGTAGATGCAGCCCCAACTCTTGGTTGAGGAGTGACGGACGTGCTGGCAATCACGGATATTGCATTCGAAGACATCCCGTCTGATCCAAATTAGTATTGATTTCTATCTCGCAACCGGACAACGCGGACTTACCGCCAACTACGGGTACGCGGTACACAGCTGAGTCCACCGGCTCTCGGGGCCGTAGCTCCCCGCCGTATATATATGCATTGTTGGCAATAACGGACAAGGTCTGCGACGACCTTTTGATGGAGGCATCTGAAAGTAGCTTCGTCCACACAGCGCGTGCCATCTTGTGTTTGGTTATTCACAGAGAAGAATAGTGTTTTTTGCTTGAAAACGGTCGGGAGGGAGGATGATTAAATAATTTAGACGTACCATATATCTCCTGTGACGAGGGAGGGGGCATACTAGGTACTTCATCCAGGCAATGATCGGAGCCAAGCCTTAGGTTGAGCACCAAAACCGTAATTTACCAGTCCTGGCGTAAGATTTCTCCAAAGAGGGTTAGCGTGAGATAATGTCCAATGGTGCCGTGGGGATGTTTTCCCTCAACGGTCTTCATATCACACTCCCCGAATTGAGGAATGAGCCCACAGTTTTCTCTTATCTTCTTTCCTCCATTTAGCTCGATGACGGCAATTACGGCCCAGCGCAGGCAGGATTTGGCCTGGTCTAGTCATGACTCCACCAGTTCAATTCACTAATGTGATATGCCAAGATATAGTCCGCGTGCTGTTGTATTACATACCAATACAAGAGTGAATGAAGGTTAATCTCAAGACTGGCCAATTTAGCGTCATCTCCAGTTCAGATTCTTATTTCTACTACGCAGCATCAAACCGCTCGCTTGAAGTTACCTGCAATGCTACTCGAACTTTCAACGCAATATGCCTATGCGATCGCCTTCCACGAACCATACCAAATCCAATATTCAGCGGAGGCACTCAGGTTGCCGGCCTTGCCGCAGGAGAGGCAAAAAGGTCAGTTATTTCCTGGTGCCATCAGTGGGGAGTGCGTTAATTCCATCAGTGTGATGAGACAAAACCTTATTGTCGAGCCTGCGCAAGGCTGTCCCTAGAATGCAGTTATGGTGTTGATTTTAGTTTTCGAAATCTGGACGGAGCGTGGTTCCAGCAGCATGCCACAGCTCAGAGGGCGTTGCCTCCATCAGGTACACGTTCAAACCCCCGTACACTGGATACTGCGAGGGGTGCAAGTTACAGCCCTGATGAGTTCACCTCTGTCGGCCAACTCTACAAGACACACCTGCCGGCTTCCCTAGGTTCCGGAGACAATCTGGAGATTGGCTACTTGGGTCATTTCCAGAGACATGTGCGCCATCTGCTTCCTACAGCTTCTTTACTATTTACGGATGAATCCCTACGATCGCCTTGTTTGCGGTTCGCTGTGCTTTGCATCTCAGCATCTAACCTCTCCATGCTGAATGCGCGAGTTCAGAGCCGCAGCATGGCTGGTGATCATCAAAGATCGGTCTTCAGCCCGCTTGTGAATAACTTGCATCACAGTCAAGCCCAGATGTATCACGACCAGGCGCTTCGGTATTGTCGCATGGCGGAGGCCGGCGAGGTGGAGTGCCAAGCGCCTGCAGTCCTTGCTGCGCATATTCTTCTCGCCTACTACCACCACGCATCGACCGATCATCTAAAATTTCGGCTGGCAGTTTGGGATTCCGTCCGGTTCGTTTTGCGAAACAGAGAGGCGATAATGGGATCTACAGACGGAGCCAATTCGCTGCAAATGTGGTACCGTCTCTGTATTTCGCATCGACTAGCAAAGCCACCTGCGTTGCTCCTCGAAGGGGAAGGGGCTAGTTCTTTCGGGCCCAATCGCTTTCCGGATATCATGGATCACATCTATCTCAGCTGTATCCGAGGAATGAGCGTGGACGATCTGATCTACGACATCCTTATCAAGAGCTTGGAAATACGGACAAGGTTGATAGTGTTTCGCTGTGTTGCAAGTCGCTGCCACATATCCGAGCTTTCAACTGAAATTGGCAGCATAGCCCATGAATCCTTGAGCAAAATGCTAGGAAGGGACTACACACTGGACGAGTGCGCGGAAGCCCGGGAAGGGTTTGTGCGAGGCCCGCATCTCCTGGAGTTGTTAGACGTCCAAAGGGAAAGACTGAAGGTGTGGAAGTCCAGACTCAAAGAGGATCAGCTGCCTGTCCAATACTTGTCGAGTATGCAAAGCCCAATAGGCCGAGCTGCCTCAACCCCGTCCATGTGTCAACCGTTTCCCACCCACCGAGACGCTATGAACGCCCTATATTGCATGATCTGTGAAATGATTTTCGAAGAGGCTTGTGGAGTTCCCTTATCCGATAGGGTAATTCCAGGCGGACGTCAGTATTTGACAACCCTGATGGACGATCTGGCTCTCAGTATGTGCCAAATCGTTGGTACGCTGGACTTCACTACATCAAATACATCCGATGTGTACACCTTCAGCCTGGCAGAATCTCTGCTCCAACTTGTTTTCCTATGGCGATCAGACGCAATCTTTCACTCTATCTTGGATGTTATATGGCCACGGCTTGAGACCACGGCTAGAGGATATGAGCACTCCCACTACCCCACACACCTTGTCAAGCGGATCATTAGACAAATTCGGGAATACTGGGCCCAAGGTCGAGTAGTAAACTTTGCCTTACCAGCAGTCGCGGAAAATGCGTCCAAGTTACAGCTGTTGGACATTTATCACCCTATAGATTTGGTGGTCTGCGGGTATAACAGGGACGGTAAACATTTCATTGAAAAATTACCACTCCCATAATATTGCCTATGTAGCCTTTGGTAGTTCAATTAATCAAATTTCTCTAACGCGGGAGAGCAAACTGTCTAACATTTACCGTAAGTTGATCAGCGAAGTTTGCGACGCCCTCAACCTCCGAAGACAAAGATCCCTGGGGCAGTTTGTTTCCAGTCCTTGTTGCAGCCTTGCTGGGATCTGATCTGCCGAGGCCTTTCCATGAAAAGTAGTCTAGAGCAGTCACAGATGAACTGAACACTAGCTCCCGAGCCTGTCTCTGCCGGATCATCTGCGTCCAGTATGGGTGGTGGGTCTGGTTCAACTTCGCCAAGCGATGGTACATTGTTGAAATTATGCGAGTAAAAATACCCTATTCGGATCCTATTTATAATCTTCATTCTAAGATCGGACGGGAGATAGGAGAGATCATTCCATGGACCGAAAACACCACTGTCATGGAAGAGTCCTAGTTATCTCGGTTCTTTCTTCCGTCCCTGTGTCACAAGATTGAGAGTCGACTCCAGCCATGTTATTCAAGGGGTTGGGGAGGAAATCAAAGCAGTGACGCGGCCGACTACGCATCCACCTGCGACGAACGACGGAGGATGCCGCGCAATCATTCGCAGAAGTCTGGATTTATCTTGCTCCACAGTGGCTTTGAAAGAGGAAGTGGGTCCGGGTGAATGAGCGATGGCCAATTACTTTAGCCACTTTGGTGCCTAGACCTGATAAGAATTTGCCGAAAGCTTGGCTTTGTGACTTGTGCAGGGAGATATATATAAATTTCTACGTGACAGAGCTGGTGTTAGCCAGATTCTGCTTTTGATAAAGAATTTACAGAAGTCTCTGGAATTCAGATTGCCAGGTATGGCAGCTTAGATTAACCTCCGGTTTGATATGTTTGCTACTTTGCTTCCATTTTATATCCTATTAGTACATTGGTTAACAGTTGGACAACCATCTGGGAACTGGGAAGTTGATGTTCATCATGTATGGCACTTATTTTCTATCGGACAATTACCTTCATTGTGACAGTGGGTGCCGGTCTGAATGATGTTTATATTCAAGCAGTTCATAGACCTTGAAGCGAAGGTGGACGGTACATTTATTTGTAGGATCTTGACAGGGCAGCCGGGCAAGTGCTAACCACCCAACTCTTTATAGAGTACCAGACGGTGACTTGGTGATATTCAAGTTTAATTGAGTATAATTATCAATCTATTGTTCAACACTTCCGCCTGAAAGCGGCCCGAATCCGATTCAATACGACAACGCTTATTCGACGCCATAGCCCCGTTAATGGAACCATCTCCACCATGCCACGCGTCTCAACCAGTAACCTTTCAAAGTGCCGTCCTTCGCGATTCTACCGAGCACTACTGAAAAGAATACTTTAGAATTGAGAATTTATGTCCGATGAAGAGTGCGTGTCATGCCAGACGAACGATGGCCCGTTCCACCTCGGGGTTAACGCTGGATTCGTCATGTGGCTGGTCGCTGCCCTACATCAATGACTGCTCCCTCGGTCTTCTAGTATAAACCAGTCGTTCCTTGACGTTTTACCCTTTCTTAAATGATACACTCGTTTGATCTTTAATTTTGGTGTCAATAGCCATCAGTCAACATGATACTGCAATTGCTGGCCATTTCGGCCTTTGTCTCCCTCGGTACCGCGCAGACCTATACCAGCTGCAATCCTACCAATAGTAAGCGAGCTCTAGGTAGTCAAAACCTCCCTGGCTAACAAGAGTAGCAACTTGTGACCCCGACACAGGCCTGAAACAATGGAGCCTGTCCACCGATTTCACCCAAGGCAGCTCCGATGAATGGACTGCCATATCGGGCAATGTCACCTACGGCAGCAATGGAGCCGAATTCACCATCAACAAGCGGTACGATGCGCCTACTCTCGAGACCAACTTTTACATTTTCTTCGGCGAGGTCGAGGTTGTCATGAGAGCAGCCAATGGCACCGGTATCGTTAGCTCCATCGTCATGGAGTCGGATGATCTGGACGAGGTTGACTGGGTGAGTACCCGCTCCTCTATAATATCAGAGAGATACTGACTATGACAGGAATGCACTGGAACCGACACCACTCAGATCGAAACCAACTACTTTGGCAAAGGCAACACGACCAGTTATGACCGCGCCATCTGGGAGACCGTCAGCACTCCCCAGGACGAATTCCACACGTACAAAGTCGTCTGGACCGCCGCCGCCATAACCTGGTACATTGACGGGACCTCCGTGCGCACACTCGAGTATGCTGATGCCCTCGACGGGAAGAACTACCCGCAAACACCCATGGTCGTGAAGCTGGGCATCTGGGCCGGAGGAGATCCGTCCAACGGCGAGGGAACGATCGAGTGGGCCGGCGGCGAGACGGATTACGACGATGTTCCCTTCACCATGTACGTCAAGTCGGTCAACATCATCAACTACAACCCCGCTGCTTCGTACAACTACACCGACCAGACGGGTTCGTATACCAGTATTGTGGCCTCGAACTCGACTACCGGCAGCGGTATCCATAGCTCGAACTCGGTCAGTGTGTCCGCTTCTTCGTCCTCTACTTCCACCTCTACGTCCTCCATCTCCACCTCTACGTCTTCTAAAGCATTGATTGCTGAGGCGAGTACTTACCCAGCCTCTGTGCAGACCTCGAGCAGTGGTGTTGTCAGCTCGTCCTCGTCGTCTGCTTCCTCTTCTTCCTCAACTGCTGCTGCATCCAGCTCAGCTAGTTCTTCGGCCGTGTTCACCGGTGCTGCTGTGACCAATCTGCCTTGCTTCTTTTTTACTGCTTTCTTCGCACTGGCTATCGCACTTGCTTTCTAAGGTCGCATCTGTACTAGACTCTGAATTTCAATAGAGAATAGCATAACCAGTAACCAATATCTATCTACACCTCAATCCCCCCCGCAAGAACATCAACAACCTTCTCCTGAAAGTCCACCGCCAACGCCGGCCCCTCACTCCCCCTAAACTCCCCCCTCAAACAAGCCAGCACAGCCCTCGTATACCCCACTCCCATCTCCTTCGGCAAACCCTGCTGCGCCAACGCAACCAAATCCTCCTGCACCTTCTTCGCCCTCGGCAGCCGCCCGTTCATCTCCGCCTCCCGGATCTTCCCCTCCATCAACCGCGACAGCGTCACCCACAGCCCGATCTCAAGTAGTACCACCCCAAGCGCATGGATATCATGCTCGCGGCTGAATTGCTGCGTGGGGCGGCCCTGCCGGCTCGGATGCCGGTAGAGGTTCGGCTCGACCTCGAAGTCGGAGCGCATGTCTGTACCTTGTTGTACTGAGCGTGCGTAGCCCCAGTCGCTTAGGTAGGAGACGATTTTGGTATTTGCATTCGGAGAAGGCGCAAGGCGGTGCGCATAGAGGCCGGATGCGCTGGTTCCGGTGGGTGTCTCAAGAAAGAGGAGGATGCCTCTGCTCCAGATGTTCTTGTGGAGCCAGGCTGAGGCGTGGAGGTTGGAGATGGTCAGGGCGAGGCTGTGCGCCATGCTGAAGCGGTCGTTGAGGGAGGGTTTCTTCAGTGGACGTTTGGTTTGGCTGTCGACTGCGTTGATGAACGCGTGGAGAGTTGTGAGGGTTGCGTCTGCGGTGGGTTCGGAGGGCGGCAATTTGTAGAGAAAGACGCTGCGCTCTTCGGTGGGTTGGTCGATGAAGCCGAGGCATTCCAGGGCGTAGATCTTGGGCTGGTCGAGGGAGTCGAACGAGGTGCCGGTGAAGGTGGTGTTCTGCAGCAGCCAGGCGAGATTGCGGATCGGTTCTTTCAGTTCTTCGATCTCGTCCGGCTCCAGGTCGTCGCGTCTGAGCGTGCTCTCGTACTCGTGGTACTCGACAATCACCGTCATCGCTTCAGATCCCGAGGCTGACCACTTCCCCAGTCGGAAGCCCCCCGTCGTCTTGCCTTCTTCAACGACTGTGCCAGCTAAACTCTGGAACTCGGCCGGCGCCTTGGCTGCGGCCAGCGTCCGGCGCTTCATCACCGGCTCCAGACCACTACTCTTCAATCCCTGGTGATCGCTCTCCGCCATCCTAGCCAGCGTATCCTGCGACATGTGCTGCATGAGATTGCGCAGGTCCGCGGACCACTTTGTATACTCCTCCAGGATGCGGTTCAGCTTCTTCTTGTCAAAGAGCGACCAGTCGTAGCCCTTGAGTTTGAGCGATCGGGCCTTGTTCTTTGCGCGCTCCAGCAGTGACTCCTGTGTCTTGGCTGGCTTCTCAGGCTCAATGGTCAGATCCTCGTCCACGAGTCCGTATTTTGCCGCTACGAGCTCGTACTCGGCGAGTGTCTTTCGCATCTGCACCAGGAGCCCTTGGACCGTGTCGGCGATGAAAGGGTCCACTTTTCCCGGAAGCAGGAGGCCATGCTCGGGGTGGAAGAAGATGCGTTTGAAGAAGAGCAACGTCGAGAGTTGGACATTGAGCTTCAGCTGGATCTCCGCCCGGTCGTCGTCAAAGGCCTTGATGTCGGAGATGACGCCTTTGATGAAGATGGTTACTTGGTAGACTTGCGTGATGGCCGTCACTGCTGTACCGTAGATGTCCATTTTGCTTGTTCTTTGCTTGACGACGAGAGGAGAATATCCGACGGAGTCGAGAGGGGTTGGGTCGTGAGGCTGACTGTCAGCACTAACGGCGCTGAGTGGTATTTATAGACGACCCCGCAGAAGTGATCATAACCGTCTTCTATCACTTTACATACTGTATAATTTTAAAATGACCGACCTCTCTTCCTATGACGAAATCCTTAATTCCCTAGAGGAAGACAGCTACTACGCCATCAACAGCAGCGATCTCTCTCCTTCGATCCAAGCCTGGTCCCACTCCACAGACAGCAATGAGCCCGACCTTAGCGGCCTCAACCTCTCGTCCGCCTCATCATCATGGGTCGACCCCCTAGAATCCGCCATAACAGCCACCCGCAACGGCTCCTCGCCAGTCCTCAGCACCCTCTCCCAATTCACCGCCCTCCTCGCCCAAACAGGAATCCACGGCCCCCGCATCTTAAAAGCCTTCAACCTGTCCACCCGAGGAACCAAAATCGGCGCAGGCAACCAGTTCACCGTCTTCACCGACCCCATCTACGAAGGCCAAGTCATCAAGCGCGTCATTGTCCCGCTGCCCAGTAAAGCTGAGCAGCGCTTCGCAGCTAGCAAAGAGTACCGCCTCCAGCTGCGCACACTGGGACTCGAGGTTCTCTCGCTATGTAATCCCGTGCTTCGCGCACACCCCAACATCACCAGTCTTCTAGCGTGGGGGTTCGATTTCCCCTTTGCGGATATGGCGGTGCCGGTGCTATTCATGGAGGCTGCAATGATGCCTTTATCCGATTTTCTGGGCACGGAGAAGCGCGCCGTGGAGGTGCGGTATCAGCTCTCGCTGGATGTCGCGAATGGGCTGGAGTCGCTGCATCATCTGAGGATCGTGCATGGGGACGTGAAGCCGGAAAATGTGCTTGTGTTTGCGGGTCCGAGTGAGCGCGTGCCCTTCCGGGCGAAGTTGAGTGATTTTGGGGTCTGTGTGGATTTGGAGGCGCCCGATGCGAAGTTCACGTTGAGTGATTACCGGGGCACGCAGGCGTGGCTGGCGCCGGAGGTGGAGGATGGGGATCTGGGGAGGTTTGGGGGGTTTTCGTCGGAGTTGATGTTTAGATTTGACGCGTACAGCTTTGGGTTGGTGCTGCTGTCTATCTTTACGGGGAACGGCGAGGCGCCTATTCTGGATGAGAATCCGGAGAATGTTCCTGGTCAACTTTTTGAGCTGCTCTATAGCCAGGAGGATATTCCGTCTAATATACGCGGGGAGCTGCGCAAAGCGATATCAAAGCTCCTGTCCGAAGATCCGCGGAAGCGCCCACTTCCTGGTCCGGGTTTGATCAAAACTGACAGCCCTACATACGCTGCTTGGTAAGTGACGTGATCCACTGTATTAACGAAATAAGCTGACGATTAGGCTCTCCTCTATCCAATTGACACCTACAAACAAGCACGTCGGGATCATTGACCCGATCTATAATAAGGGTCCCTTGTTCTGGTACCGGCTTGATGAAACCGTCCGGACAGAGCTGGAAGAGCAATATGCCCTGATGAAAGAGGGCAACGCGCCGCCCTTCCCCGGCGATGTGTTGTTTGGGCTGGCACAGACGGTTACCGGCGCGAAGCCCTCGTACCTCGATCGGTTGCTAAMGTATCTAACCGAGGCAGCCAGGGCGGGATACTCACCTGCAAGGGCGGTATATGCGCAGATCATGGCGGCGCATAGTCAAAATCCGGAGTTTGCGGACGATGTGTTGGAGGAGTGGATGTTGCAGGCGATTTCTGAGGGGTATTTCTTTGCAAGTCCTAGTTGCTCGAAGGAGAAGATCGACGAAGCACATGAACGGTTCAGGGCCAATGGAGGGTTCTGTTCAGATCCATTTCTCGGGAAGAAAGATGTTGTCGAGGCTGCGAGGGACAGGGACAGAGCGCTGAAATGGGAGAGGAAGAATGGAAGTATTGTTGATCGGCAAGGAAATACGATCCTACACGCTGCGGCTGCATTGGGAGCTATTCATGCCGTTCAGGGATTACTAGATGAGGGCCAAGTCTCCGTCAACGTGGAGAATGAGAAGGGAGAGACGCCGCTATACAAAGCATTCCAAGCTGGTCATGCGAAAATAATTGAATTATTGCTTGACAAGGGCGCCGACGCCTCCACTGTGACTCTGCAGGAGAAGGTTAGTCCGATGCACTGGCTGTTTATGATTCCGGGCTCTTCTATTGTTGGAATCGCGAGGAGAATGATCGAGGGAGGCGCGAATATCAACGCAACCATCGAGCCTGTTGTCAAGGAGAACAGTGGTGGATTCCCAGAAAAGATCCAGATTATTCACTAGTACGTTCTCCATCTTCTTCTCGAGGGTCATCTAACAGTGACAGTCCCTTCGAGCTCCCCCACGGCACACCTCTGCACTGGGCTTGCCTCTTCCGCAACATGACAGCCGTCGAAGCCCTGCTTTCTCTTGGTGCCAATGTCAACGCAAGCTATCATGCCTCAGATACATCCACCACTCCCCTTTTCTTGACCGCGTACTTTGGTGAACCATCTCTAGCCAGGTACCTGATATCTCAGGGTGCCGATGCCAGCCGGGTGGACTCCATGGGGCGCAACACGCTGCATGGGATAACCAAGTACTTTCCCGAGCGACATGGCTATCTTCCTCACCATTGGCATTACTGGATCCGCCACGGCAGCTTGGAGCAACATCTGGCCCGAATGACGGAATTGGTCAGGATACTCGTGGACGCAGGTGCAGATATCAATGCCAAAGACAAGGGATATCCACCACTGACTCCCCTCGCGGCGGCTGCCGATCTAGGAGTCTGGGACGGAGGGGTAATCTGTGCACTGATAGATGCAGGGGCAGACTTGAGTGAATCTGTCTTGTCGGCAGGAGATACAGTTCTACACTCGTGGGCATCCATAGTTGGACCACGTCTAGCTTATCCCGAATCCTACCTGTCGACGATGAAGAAAATCGTCAACGCCATGCCGGATATTGACATCCCAAACATGTTTGAAAAGGATACTCCACTGCATTCGTTAGCCACCATCTACCACCCCGAGGAGGAATTTGAAGCCGCATGCGAGATTTTCCTCGTCCACTCTCCTCCAGCAGACATCAACGCAAAGACCCGTCGCGGCGCGACTCCGTTGACCATCGCCCTCGAGACGGATCTTGACCCGTCACGACGAGGCCTCTTCCTCCTGAGCAAGGGAGCCGACACGCTTGTCCTCAACGACCGGGGAAGGGACATCTTCTTCTCGATCGTCAGAAACACCGCCCTTACGGACCAGGCCTCGCATGACCTGATCCGAACATTCCTCCGTCATCTGAACCCTGATATCCAGCAAGCATATACAAAACACTATCTACCCAATGCCAACAGCTACGAAACCCTTTTCGCGGCCGCAGAACGCGGAAAACCACTCACACTAACCCTTCTCCTCTCCCTGGGCCTAGCCACTCGTATCAACGAACTCGAGCAGAGTAAAACCCCACCATGGACAGTCTTAGATCAAGCCCTTCACTGGGCAGAGATCAGCCGCCGCGCACACATGCGCCGACTGGCGGACCACAAGTCCGGAGCTAGTAGGAACAAAGCTCTCGAGCAGAACCTCGTGTATGATGAATCGCAGGGTCCGCCCGCTCGAGCTGCGGAGGCCTACCGGAGCTTTCCCGCGGTGATCCGCGTTCTGAGAGATGCGGGAGGGAAGCGAGCGTGCGAGTTGGAAGGTGATTCGAGCACAGGGGAGTATATCGAGCAGCCTTGGGAGTGGGATTTTACCGAGATATACCACTATGGATTTACGCCGAGAACGCAGCCGAATTTGGAACAGTGGAATGGGCTGTATGGGATGGCGAGATATTCTGAGCGGTGGCAAAAGGACAGGCTGAATGCTTGGAAGGAGGAGTACGAAGAAGGAAGGTGGAGGCCGGATGTTAGAATGCTGGAGGAGGAGGAGCAATCATTTGTGAAGCAGCTAGTCCGTTGTCTGGCAGGAGAGGGGAGGGTCACGCTGGAGGCTGTAGATGGCCAGAAAAGGCAATGGCAGGTCGAGATGGAGGGGGGGAAGATTGTGAATAGACAGATCAAGAGGTGACTATGACTCTATTGAATATGAATGGCACCAACAATGTCTCTGCGTCACCATAAACAAGCAAAGATAAGACTTGGCTAGGCTGTCCTTGGCCACGCGTGCATTGTATCTCATTCATGCAGATCACTGGATAACACCTTCCCGTATGGAACAATAGTGGGCTACACATGTCATGGTGCAGATTCTCCAACACGCTAAGGCCGCCACAGCATCACGTCCCGCTGGTGAGGGGTAGACTAGACCAGCAAGGCATTTAAAACGAGCATCTTGCAACTCGACCATCAATCTACAATTACCCTCACACACCAAAATGACGATTCCAATGGCCACAAAGATCAAGCTCATCCCCAACCCCCACTACCGCAAGTCGGGGACCAAGTCCTATGTCCACCTCATGCGCAAGTACCGCTTCACCCCAACAAAAGGCGGGCCATACTTTTTCAGCAGCACACTCCACCAGACGGGCCGGCAGTATACAAACCTGCCTGTCGGTGGGAAGGCTCGCATTCAGCACGTCTTGAGCAAGAGAATAGCGAATACAGACCAGACAGGCGAAGTCGGCGCCGACGACGTCCAGAATGATGCCATGTACCTGGCGCCAGTGAGTATCGGTACTCCGGCGCAGACGTTTAATCTGGATTTTGACACGGGATCCGCGGACTTATGGGTGAGACACCACATATCTTGTTAATAAAAGCAAAATACTAAGTAATAGGTCTGGTCAACCAACCTCCCCTCGGCGACCATCTCCCAGCACAAGTCCGGTACACTCTTCGACCCGAGCAAGTCGAGCACATTCAAAGAACAGTCCGGCTCGACATGGAAGATCTCCTACGGTGATGGCTCCTCTGCCTCCGGTACTGTAGGCACCGATACAATCACGCTCGGCGGATTGAAGGTCCAGAGTCAGGCAATCGAACTGGCCGATACACTCTCCGCACAGTTCCAGCAGGAATCTGGCGATGGTTTGCTCGGTCTGGCCTTTAGCAATATCAACACGGTCAAGCCGCAGGCTGTCCGCACTCCTGTAGAGAATATGATCTCTCAAGAGGACATCCCGAAATCGGCGGAACTGTTCACGGCGAAGTTGGGTTCCTGGAAAGACGCGGATGAGCCGGATAAGGGGGAGTCATTCTACACATTTGGGTTCATTGATCAGGCTACCGTGACAGCGTCGGGTGAGGATGTGTACTACACATCCATCGACAACAGCCAAGGATTCTGGCTTTTTGACTCTACGTCGGCGACTGTGAATGGCAAGACAATTGCGCGGTCGGGAAACAAGGCAATAGCTGATACTGGGACGACATTGGCGCTGGTCGATGATGCGACGTGTCAGGCAATTTATGATGCTATCCCGGGGGCGTATTACGATCAGGATAGCCAAGGGTATATTTATCCGTCCAACACGACAGAAGACAAACTTCCTGTTGTCTCGTTTGCCGTGGGGGACAAGCAATTTGTCGTGCAAAAGGAGGATCTGGGCTTCGCCGAGGCTAAATCGGGCTATGTCTACGGAGGTATCCAGAGCAGAGGCAGTATGACAATGGATATCCTTGGTGACACATTCCTCAAGGGAATTTACGCAGTACGTTCTTGCCCGTTTGTAAAAGACATCTTGCTAACGGTGGTAGATATTCGATGTCGGCAATCTTCGTTTCGGAGCTGTCCAGCGCAAGGAGCTGCATCAGAATCTGTCTGTTCCTCAGTAACTTGTTGTCTCTGTTTGAGACATGGGCAGAATGAATCGCATTGTTAATCATTGCAGAGAACAATGCCTTTGCTTGGTCGTCTCGTCTGTTTTGTAGACATATTGTTAATAACAAAGGATTGTATCACAGTCTGTTGCTTTGTCCTCCTTTATAGCAACCAAGACATATTCAAGACACCATTGCCTACCCTCCGTAGTGTTCGAAACATCCTTTTTTTATATCAAGACACTCACACAGACTCAATATAAATATCCCAATGACACCATGAAGTCCGTCTTCTCATCATCATCAATCACCTCTCCTCCAACATCTCCTCATTTCGACTCCCACTGTGACAACTGTCCCCGCAGATTCCTTTATCCAATTCATAAGAGATCCACAATGGTTTGTCAAAATCCCAACCCTTTGCAAGAAGAAATGCTAACTCATATCCAGCACCTCCCGCTTGAAGTGCGCGAGAAACTTGCGCTCCTCCCCGAGTCTCCCTCCCGCGAAGAGCTATATGTGGTCTGGACCCACCTCTTACAGAGGTATTTCCCCTTCCCCCTCCCTGGTTCTCTGCCCAACCTTCCCGATCTTCCTGACGAGACCGAGGTAAAGTACGCTCTAGGCAACCATCAGGAATCCGAGGCCCCTCACATCTCCCTCACCGTCGGCCGCGAATACAGCCCCTTTGATCGCCTGAACTTCCTGCATCTCTTCTGCCAGGCTGCGCCGAAGGAAGAATGGCACGTCGCAGAACTGCAGACTAAGTTGAAGGAGGAGATGATGAAGTCGTCTCACTGTCACATTGCACGGGGCCGCGGGATGACAATACACGGCGCGATTGTCGTTGGTCGTGAGGTCCAGTTTTACAAGCTGAAGCGCGACGGCTTGTTCGAATGCATGACGTGGCTGGTCCAGGGAAAGCAGAGTCTACATATCCTCCAGGATATGCGGATTATTACCGCCCACCTCATGCAGATAAGCTATGAGGTGAGGATCTGCGATTGATTTGGTGTGGCTTGGTCTGATTTACTTGTTATAGCGCGATGAGGATACTTCAGTTGTTTTGAATGCGTTCTGCTTCTATGTTTTCTGATTTCTTCAGCTTCGAGCTTTGATTGACTGGTGTTGCATGCTTGGTTGACTTTGCCCGGGTGAGTTATGTAACTGTCCTGCATTTTTGGCATTTGGCTCGTTGTCTGACATGAATCATCGATATATATATTAATGTCTGGAAGTGCTTACACGATTTACTATCGTTCGAACAATCATACCTTCCGTCTTTACTCTTCTGCTCTAATTCGTAGCTACAACTGTTGCCTGATCGATGTAACTGCTGCCACCTTGGGTAGGTTTGGCATAACTTAGTCCACAGCCGATTCTTGAAGGACTGTATGAAGTCTGGGACTGACAGTCCCTTACACTTGCGGGCTCAGTCGCTGTAGACTCTTCACGGAGCTTTCCTGCTCCCATAGCCTCCACTCCTGAAGAGCGGAAACCACAATCATCAAACCTAGGAGGAGAAGCTCCATTGACCCGGAAGTAGGTAAGTCATTTGACTCAAAATATCATAGCCTAAGTTGTTGAGATAGCCCAACATGTCCGTCTTTTCCCCGTAATGTGTCATGTGCAGCCTGACACGGAATCACGGTCCGATCCCTTAATCCCTCGAGCGTGATTTACGCAAATTCCTCAGGGCGCAAATCCGGCTAAATAAGGTAATTTGGCCGTATCCAATCGGGAGGGATCTCCCGCATCCTAACCTTTATGCAAGGTTTAAATAGATTAGAGTGTGCAGTTTTGCCGTTTCGGCTTATGCTGGTCTTACTTGGCTGAATGCTGCAGACATGGGATTTGCGGGGTAGATATGCCTCTCCGTGCTTCATAAGGAAGGTAACTAGGATATAAATATAAGACAAATTTCTTCCAAAGGCAAGGCTTCCACCCGGTGGATCAAGCTTTGACGGAATGATGCTTCTCGTTGGTATATTTCTAGCCCGGCTTGCGGTGGCTGCCGCGCAGAGCAGCTGCGTCACGGCTTGGTGAGTCTTCCTCTGGTCAGAGTTTGCATTCGACTAAGAATCAGGGGTCAATGCGGTGGCATTTCTTACACCGGGTCTACCTGCTGTCAAAGTGGGAATACCTGCGCCGAGATCAATTCGTACTACTACCAGTGCACGCCAGCCACAGTGGTGAGTGTATCACCATCGATCTCTCCGTACTAGCCATAACGCAGAGTAGACTTCAACTGCCACTGGGACTTCTTCTGGCTCTGGTTCATCGTCTGTCAACACTTCAGGCTATACAACGACCACTGTTCTTCCCAGTCCTACAGCTACACAGAACCCTTATCCAGCGGCCAATGCCAGCTCTTGTGGATCGTGGGCTCTCGTTGATAACGTTTGCTGCCCATACTACTGTCTCTCGAATAATGAATCCGAGTCCTGCACGAGCAGCTGTACCGGCGGCTGCGGCAGTCCTGATTCCTCCATGTGCAAGTCCGGGACAATGTGTATGTGTCCTTCTTCGACCTGTGAGCATGGCTGATACAACCACAGGGGGAGAGCAACTTACCGTTACCTCCAACGAGGCCTGGCATTACAGCGTGAGCATACTGCATCATCCCTCAAATCCATATTGACAACAACAGCGCTCAACACACTTTGGTCTGACCAGCGGCGGAGCCTGCGGTTTCGGCTTGTACGGCCTCTGCACCAAGAACAGCGTCACAGCAAGCTGGACAGACCCCATGCTGGGCACTACCTGCGACGCGTTCTGCACCGCGTATCCGCTGCTCTGCAAAGACCCCGGTAACGTCACGCTCCGCGGGAACTTTGCCGCTCCGAACGGAGACTACTACACTCAGGTGAGTACGCACAAACTCTGAAGTGATAACTGCTAAGTAAATAGTTCTGGCCATCCCTGGCTGCATCCGGAAATCCCGACAACTACCTCTCCTGCGGCGAGTGTTTCGAGCTCATCCGTACCAAGGCCGACGGGACGGACTACGCCGTTGGTGAGAGCGGATATACCGATCCCATCGTCCTCGAGGTAGTAGACAGCTGCCCCTGCGACGCAAATTCAAAATGGTGCTGTAAGTGGACCTCTTCCCTCAATATGACACAGAAATCTCACAAAACCAGGCGGAAGCGGCGCCGACCACTGCGGCGAAATTGACTTCAAGTACGGCTGTCCTTTGCCGGAAGGGTCCCATCACATGGATCTCTCCGATATCGCTATGGGCCGTCTCCAAGGAAACGGCAGTCTCACCGACGGCGTGATTCCCATCCGTTACCGGCGAGTGCCCTGTCCCAAGCCAGGGAATATCTACATCTGGCTTCATGACGGAGCTGGGCCGTACTATTTCGCGCTGAGCGCGGTGAATACCAACGGCCCGGGGTCTGTAATTAGTATCGAGGTACAGTCTGGTGGCTCTGGGCCCTGGGTTGCACTCGAGCACGATCCGAATTACACGAGTAGTCGGCCGCAAGAGCGGTATGGCTCTTGGGTCCTCCCGCAGGGCCAGGGACCCATTACTGTGCCTGTTGCGATGAGGCTGACGGCGCCGGATGGGCAGCAGGTGGTAAAGGAAGGGGCGATTACAAGCTTTACCCCGCCGGCGACTGCGGTCACTGGGTTCTGGTATATTGATCTTGGGGTGCAGTTTACCTAGGTAGATAGGACGCAACCAGTGCCAGTGGTGATTGGCTATGCTCAAAGAAATAGTTGAATAGTGATGCAGTGATTCAAATATACTGGAGGTTGGAATCAGTTCCCACTGCTCTGCAGTCACCACCTTAACTGGGATACACTCCGTAAACGTGAACATTTAGGGCAAGCGTCCCACATCGGAAGCTTAGAATGATAGTGCGTCTTGAGATCCGAATCAAGGTCAGATCGCTGGTGCCTAAATAGACTAGTCTAAAAACATCCCGCCTAAACCACATCAAATCCATTGAACACTCACAAGTCTCGAGGGGTGTACACTGATTCTCGAAATCGCCTTGACCAACAAACATTGATGATTATTTTTCTGACCCGCTGCCAAGACCTTAATCTGAATAGTTTATAGAGCCATCATCTCATAAATGAGGGCCACTGTAATTTTTCTTTTGTACAGAACATAGGATATACTCATCAAAATTACACAGTGAATAATCTCATTTATCTCTACGTGCCATGAAACTGCGCTTATACAAATTTAGTCTTAGAAACTTTTTTTTCCGAGTTAACGATCTACATATACGAGCCTGCAGAGTATGGGTGATCTCCATCCTACCACCCTTTTAAGGTATAAGATTAATAATATCTAGAAAACTCAGTTTACCATTAAGACGGTGAGACTAGCTGTTCACCTGCTTAAAAAAGTAGTTCGCCCTTTCAGGACAAGAGATTTTGAGTAACCGCACCAGGCGAGCTCGTGTCCCCCCCCAAAAGAAGGGCCACACAACCGGCGAAAAACATTGGCTGTAACCCCATCCTTAGGACCTCCCCAGGCCTCGTTGATGAGACAGAATAATCCAGATCGACTCACAAGTAAAATAAAGACTAGGCATCAAACAGCAAATCAAACTGCAGTGTGTTGATCTATACGTTATCAATTCCACTGTTTACTCCACGGGCCTCAGACGCAGGAATAGAAGGAACATTGTGCCTTTCTTCTTCCTCTGTGTCGTCAAAGGAATATGAAGAAAATGGAGATAAGGGGCTTCCTTCAAAGAGAGAGAGAGCTAGTGTAGAGATGCTATAAATGCGTAAGTCAGGGTGAACGATGCTTTGGACGGATAATGCTTACAATGTTATAAACATGAACGACTCATTCGCCCTTTTTATAGCGCAGGGAACTCCTATGGGTGAACTTATTCTGCAGTTGTGTAAGTTATAGTCCTGCGCTGCGAAAATGAATGTTGTTAACCACCTATTAAGATGGTTAGTATGCAGATTGAATATTCATAGCAATGTGCAATTTGGAGATGACATACAAGTAAGAAAACGCAAAATCAACTGCGAAAATCACATAGTATGCCCACGAATATTGTTTCATATTTCGAAACAAGAGATAGGACAAGATACTCGCAAGGAAAAACACCACCACAGATATGACCGACTGCAAAATCAGTATACATCCTAATCAAAAGTCATTCCGTGGGTTGACCCAACAAGTATTTCCCAATAAAGGGCATGCTGATCGCGTGGTCCTTTTGCAATGAAGTAGGACGAGATGCCCATCACGATCGCTGCACTTGACCACTGCAGAATCCTTGCGGAAACAAACAAGAGCGCAACCGTTTTTTCTGAAAGCGATTTCATATTGGGTCTCTCCGGCAAGTACTGGAGAGCAGCTGAAGTGTTGAAGTCCTTCTGCAGAATACAAAATATTCAGGAATTTCTTTGGACACGATGAGTAGGCTGATGACCTAGCTTGACTTTGTCAGGACCCGAATATATTGGCGTTCACCAACACCTAAATGCCATTACTCCTGAATTTATGGGTAGAGATATGTCTCCCCAGACATTGAAACGTCATCGATTGAACAAATCCTATCGGTCACTACCTGTAAAACCTCTGACAAGGGCGATCTGAAGCTGGGTAATGACATCATACACTAAAAGAAGATTGCATTCATCCATTTCGAGTGAATCTACACCTATATTACCAAGCAGCATTTTAGCCGTTGAAGTTGCACAATTCTCAGCTATTGGCAGCCAATCTCAGATCGGGCTAAATGTAGACCTCTAGGCCATGATGGCTGGTGTCCTGACCACAATATAAGTACGCTCGCCACAACACAGCTGCACTAGCCAGGGCGGATGTGACCGGCAGAAACAAATGGAATCGTTACTCACCAATCAAACCCCGGAGCGATCCCCTGAGCGTTTCAGAATAATACCTATTCTGAATGGGTTTTCGCAGAAATTCTGTTTATAGCTGATAAGTGGACAATCACTAAAACCACAATAACACGTGACATGATGGTATATGAATGTTATGCTAAGACAACCTGATTGAAGTATACAATATACCACTTCTATATTAAAGATATATTAACATATCTATCAGCCGGAGGAACGATGGATATATAAGGACACTTTACTATTATTGTATTCTACACTCTTAGTTTAGTTCCTTGCGTTTAATATTAATATCTTACTTAACCATAAGTTCACTAGTCTGATTCATCAGTTACTCTCTCACTATTGTATATGTACTCAGTAGGCCTTGCTTCTATCTCTACTACTATTGTTCTTGTGTTATCTTCAAACTGTCCCTGATCCTGTTTGGACCATCATAGCAATGTGATTGTATACCTGGTCGGTATACTAGGCAAGTATAAGTCTATAGACCTGTTCGGCCACAACAGCGCCAGCTCTCAAAGTTAGTGACTAGAGGAGCCAGAGATGGTTACATTTCATGTTTCGTGTTAAGAAAGTTACAGCCGCCCTGATTCAAAGTGGTGGGTTCAATATAAATTCAAACTAAGTTCTTGGCAGTGGGGCTTGAAAACAATCGTGTCCGAAGGTCAGACCGTCAGACCAATTTCGAGGATCATTGTACAGTGCCAGCAAGCCCGAAGCAGAGATATTCAGACCGTGTTACACAGTTTTATGTTTGATGACAAATTGAATCATGACAGCGGAGCTGTGTGTACGACCAAGCAGAATCAGTAGACGTACGATCGGGCCTCTGGACAAACGCAAAAACACAACGCGCTGTCAGCCATGTGCGAACCGACGGGTAAAGGTTGGAGCAACCAGCACTTTGTTTCAATGAGAGCACTCGAACTTACACAGTGAACAGTGTGATGGGGGGCACCCCTGCGAAAGATGCGTCCAAACAAAGAAAATCTGTGCGCCGCAGCGGCTAGAGCAGACAGGAGTGAAATTCGTCAATGCTTTGGGACATGTGTTCTCTTGTACAATTCCCATGCACGTGCAGAAGCATGATGATGCTATATATCTAGATCATTTCGCATCCTTCCTTCAGCGATGCCACTTTAGCAAAGGCTTTGCTGCCACAAATGCAGACATAGTCAGTATCATTGGCAGATACCCTCTGCTTTCGCACATTGCTATCGCAATCGGGGCTTTGGACGCCAGTAGGAAGGGCTCTATCAGATCATTTGGCGCGCTTGAGTCTCCTCAGCATATTGCGTTCCGGGCTTGCGGTAGATCACTGCAAGTTTTGCATTCGGCAATCTCGACAGCAAATCCAGTGTTTAGAGATGACGTGCTTTGGAGCACATTTCTCCATGGTCTTTTTGAGGTATGATTATATTTATAAAATCGCAAAATTCCACTAACCACCCAGACAGCTGATGGCTGAAAAATCCGGCAATTCATTCGCAAACCACTTGGTTTTCGGTACTTCCAAAATGCTTCTCCTTTTGGAACCTGCAAATCCGCATTCATTACCCACGAAGAGCTTGATTGATGCATTTTGGATCCTTGAGGCCAACAGAGCCATTCTTTATGGTGACAATATTACGCTTCCTCCAGACAGATGGCAGTGGAGTTCGACGCGAGAAAGCTGGCCAGATTCTATGAAGGAAATCCTCATGCTCATGATGCAAACTTCGACATTTGCTAAAAGGCAAGTCAATTTTACTAACTTGATTGGCGGATGCAGCTAAACTTTTTAGGCTCTTTGACACAATTGAGAGTATTCCTCCAGAATTGAGACCCTTTGATCCCAGGTTGGACGCTCTTGCCCTAGAAGGTCTCGAGATTAAGCAAAGTCTTCTCAGTTGGCAAGAAGGAAGTCGTTTGGAAAGGTTGCCGGTAGAGCCTTTTACCCAATCGGCCGTCACCGTTTACCACGCTCTTCTTTTATATCATTGCAGGAATTTTACTTTTTATTCATGCTGGATAACACGGACAATTCCTCATCTTAACCAAAGTGAAGTCGACAAACATGTCGCCGCAATTTTGGATCTGTCTGAAAGTCTTCTCTCGGATACATATACCCCGGGAGTTCTCTTGTTATTCCCTCTGCGAATGGCCGGAGCCCACGCTCGTGAGGCTCACGCACAGGAGAAAGTATTGATCACTATTCGCAAGATACGGCAAAAAGGCTTCATCGTTTCAGATAGAATCGAAGTCGATTTGCAGGAGTTTTGGTAGGCAATAGAAAATGGGGAAATTGATTAAACCGAATCAAATATCAGTATAAGTTACCACGAGCCTGAGAGGGCAGGGTGGGCTTAATCCTTTAATCCTTTAGAATTGCAGGTCTACAATTCCATCGTGCAGCACAAAGGCTTCGATAGTATCCTAGCGTAGGGGCATATGGCGGATCGCATGGCATCTTGGGTCCCCGAGAGTTGTAGTCATCGGGATACAGGCTGCCGCTCAAATCTACACACGATCAAAGTCCTGGAGGTCTGCCAACGAAAGTGGGCGGAACCCACGGCGGGTAGACGGCCGAGAAGATGGGAGGCTTGAATGAGAATTAGTCCTAAGAGGTAGCAAGAAAACTCATCGTGACTGATAGAAATCAATTTGCAATACTCAACGAGAGGACGGCGGGTAGGTTGACGACACCTTTCTGTCCAAGACAAGATAGTTCTTGAATAAAATGAAATTTGTTCTATCAGACTTGACGATTGAGAGTTGTTCTTTGTCACGATTGAGACTAACTAACTAATTTTTATTGTTATATCATTGAGAAGGCGAGATTTGCAATCAATTGATTGTCACGATATGAGCATACATAGTAGTTTGGTTTTTGGTCGTCGATCAAACGTTGTGACCCCCCGGGCAGTTGGTGTAATGCACTCCGTTTGACTACATCAATGATAGAGAGACTCCACCCCAGCGGTTTGGCCGTGTATGGCTCAACCATGATCCCATGATGTAGAAGCAGCTTAGGCTTGGATGTTGAAGTATTCAGTGATGACTCTGGTACGTAATCCAGAAGAAAAATAGTCGTACCCGACCATGACATTGCAGTTGCTCATGTAGACTGTGACAGGAATAGCTCCCTGGTACATAATATTCCACTGAGGAGATATATTTTAGCTTCAGTACTGTGCCTAACATTAAGTTGAACTCGGAAAGTGTTACTTACAGCTGCCACAAGGTCCTTGTTGAACTGTCGCCGGACCAGTCCGCTGAAAACAGCACCACTTTGGACTAGTATGTCTTCAGGGAACAAAGGGAAGTTCGAGTTGACGTATCCCCTCCATATAGTTGGCTCATTGGATTCGTGACCAAAGGTGGTCAAAGTGTTGTCCACCAAACCTTCCTTGGTAGTGTTGGTGTAATTGAAGAAGGACGAGGCCAGACCACCCTCGAAGGCTTCATCGACCCGAACGAAATTCTGGGATGGCGAGTTATTGATGAAACCAGTCGTGATGTGCGACAGGTTTTGGTTCCTGTTGCTCTGTTAATTTGACGACAGAAGTAGGGCGGGCATCAGTATTTGTCGCCTACCACTTGTGTTGGATAAAGTTGGTCTCATATTCAGCCTTTACCATAGGAGGATCTGGCTGTTTGAATTCAGAAGAGAATTCGACCATCGAAGAAGGGAACGGAGGGCAGCTCGAAGCTCTCACTGGCAGCACGCCAGCGGCAAGCGAGACGGAGAGTAGTTGAAGGAAGCGCATGATTCGAGAGTGGAAACTGACGATTGATGAAAAGTAGGAAATTCTTGGAAAGAAAAAAGCTGGTAGCTGTGAAATAATGTCCCTGACACTGCCGGTCACTTTATACTTCTGCAAAGCACACATGGGTATGCATGTGAGGGCCTTTCACCTCCAGGAACCAACCTTGCGTCTCCTCTGAGGCGCGCCCAATAGATACTGTTTTAGGACACCGAGGCTTAGGCAACGATCTTGGGGTAAGTACGGCGATGTCACCAGAGTCATGAGCTACTAACCATATCCTGACGGCGCGTTCAGTTATTGCCTGATTTAGTGCATTGCCGGCCCGTCCAATGGAGACGAAATCCCTCTATGCATAGAATGCTACGACTTTCCCGACGCCAAGCTTTTTGTGGGCATGTATCAAGAGGGCACTTGGCGGTTTTGGGAAATATTCGAGCGTGGACGGCTCCTAACGATCTCACGAAAGAGCCAATCACAACATGCCCTAGTCTACTTGTTCCACACATCTGGAGCTCTTAGCATGACAGCGATAGGCAGGAGAAATATGTCACTGCCTCAGAACCGGCGTATGAGTCCCCCTAAACCCGTCCGCCAACATGGTGCACAACGGCCCATAGGGCCAAGAACTAATTATGTATAAGGATGCCCGAGGCATTCAATGAGTCGGTGAATGACGGGAAAACAATCCCTGTTTATTCCATTATCTCACTTAGATTGGTTGAACTTGAACTCTTCATACGGCCTGAGTCCCCAGCAGGAGCTCGCAGTCAGTTGTCTATGACAGTGACATTCGAAACGAAGAGCTGAATGTTGACATTGTCTAACGAATATCCTAGACCGTCTCAGCGCACACAAACCGAAATTCAAGCGATTTTCCGGATCGCTCGCCCTACGCCAAAATTTTCACTTTGCCTTGCTCCGAAGAGGCTTCTTCAAATCCAACAACTCTCTCAGAATCACCGACCGGTACCAGTAGTGGAAATATGGCCGCTTGCCATTAAGATAGGGTGTGTGGAAGTGCAACTGTATATAGCCTCAGTAGCAGTCATTTTCAGCATTAATCTCACCAGTCCTCACATTCTATATGTAAATGGTTGACCAATATGCATCCGATTAAATTAGGGGAGTGTATGGGGAGGGGACCCGTCCGAGAGGCTAAGTCCAAGCACGCTACCTTTCGGGTAAGTCTCCTGTAAACTTTTGGAGGCTACAATGGCGCTAGTAGATCGACAGAACGAAGTACGGAGTAGTACAGGCTGTGGTCCGGCTAAACAAATGTGAAAACATAATTGCCATATCGGCATGACCCGGCTGCCTTTTGCGGTCTGGGAAGCACAACTACACACTCCTCCAGACATCGAGGACGCCTCATATGCCAGCTGCATTGCCTAGATCTACAAAAAATAATGGTCAGAAAGGCCTTGAACCCTTCTAGTCTCAAGGCAGAGTATGTCGCTGGGCAGGCTGGAAGACGCGCAGCCAACTTGCAAAATGGTAATGCATAACTTTACGTAACATTTAAGGGTGTCGAAGAGATTTACTGGGAGGGAACGATCCCGGATATTGATGGATCTGACTTGAAGAATACGAAATAGGCAAACAAAGAGGATGAAGTATCTGGTTTTCCATGCCTTATCCGAACAACAAGCCAATATGTCTACAGGGAAGTCTGCTGCTGTAGCTACTCTCAGTGCTGCTGTTAGCGTGACATCGACCTTGGTCTACACAAGGGCCATTACAGGCTAATACACGATGATTCTATGTTCAACCTTAAAAATAATAAGTAGAGCATAATCACATACCAGCAGATGGAATCTTAGGGCTAAGTCTATATTACATGATTGCATCCTAGTATCATTATTCATGGCGGACTTGCTGAGTTTAATATATATCTGGGCTATATATGGTGGTTTAATTTTTAATATACTGCCTTTTCTACTCTCAAAGTTAAATAGAAAGTATAAAGTTCTTTTTTTTTTCGCAGTTCTATAAAGGGTGGGTTGCCTAGTAAAAAGCTAGAGACATCATCTATCAGGGTATTCTGGTTTAGTTATAGCTAATCAAATTTTATCCCTCAGGATTATAAACTAAGCCTAAATTACAAATCTACTAGCTAAGATGGAAATACAAGGAGCAGCTGACTATCTTAAAACTTAGTGACTGCCTTAGTGCCATTACTGAAAAGATGGCAGAGGAAGAGCTGTTTGCATATTTTTAACTTGACAAGCTCATCTTGTCCCTTCTCTATACTACCGGGTACATCTATATCACTCCTGCTGTAAACAGAAGCCAGAAGACGTCCAAAATCAAGGCTTTTGGCTTGTCGCTCAACATGTCCGTTCATCAATACTTTGCTGGTGTGCATTTTTAGATTCCCTTTTAGGTGCTGAGAGAATTCTAATTGGGCCATCCCAATGCCCATATATGTGGCTGGCTGGAGGTACGATACGTCCTTACCTATCCCTGTCACACTGACAAATAGTAGTTTCCGCTCAGCGGTGCCAAGACAGGCCTGCTTCTTGCAATTGCTGCATTGGATGGCCTTGCCAACAAGGGTGCTTAACCGACCACAGGAACATGTAAACTCAGATATGCAGGATGCATAGGATCCGCTGGTATAATATTGACTGGCCAATGCAAGCATATGCGATGGTCTGTAGTACTGCAGGGTGGCATTGAAGTTGTCATTGCAAGCCACTATAGTTACTCACAGCTCACTGTAAAGGATAGGAGTTTGGACACTAAGCATGCAAGCAAGTAAACGCTGAATTTCCATGCCTGAAGCAGAGGAGATAGGCGCAGTGCTGCACTATTAAAAAGCAATCATTGACATCATTTGGAATTAACACAAGCCTCATATATCGCCAAACTCTCAGGGCTAGGGTATGAATTCACCACCACCACAACCGCCTTATAGGAATTGGCTATATACGGTTTGTCTTTAATACAGTCTACTTTTCATACCAAAACAATTTGCAAAAATATGTACTGGTGGGAACCATACCCAGAACAAAAAAGGTATTGCCTAAGGACTTCAAACTTCTGTGCCCTCAATTTGTAGATCAATTCATTTGATTCTTTATCATTCTCGTCTCCTGCATCGTCCATCACATACTAGTTCGAGAGTCTTACCTCGACGAAAGGAAAGTTCAGTTACTTTAACCTAATCCGGCTGAAAGCTTCATACATTCACTCTGACGCTCGAACCTTAAGTCTGGAAGCTAAAAAAGTTACGACTACTGTTGGCTAGAATTAATGCGCTTGGATAGGAGCCTAGCCATAGTCAGAATGGTTCAGGATTTGGTTCCCGCAAATAGGGTTTGGAAATAATTCAAATATAACCAATATGGAACGAGATTTCGAGCGCGACTGTGCGCGACTGTCATATTTGAAATCATTCTTCACTGAGCCTGAGAATGTAACCTGCCATTTGCGAGATCCACTCGGAGTCTGGTTGTTAGCATGCCGAACAGAAGTTACCCCCTACATACAGTAGAATTCCTGAAGAAGCAAAGAAAGACTCCCCTCTACAAATACTATAAATTTGGCCGTTAACTTGCTGTCTGATATGAGCACCTATTCGAGGCCTAGTATCTTAATCATTCAATCAAAATTTCTCTTTCTTCTTGCCCAAACTCCATAATTGTACCTAGGTATCATTATGGGCTGTACGCCGTACTTTCCTCTTGTTCTTGTACTCGGGCTCCTCTATGTGCTTGTTGCAGAGGCTGTTCCTCTTCTGCCAAGTGAGGACCCTTTCTACATCCCGGACGATGACTCTTGGTCACAATTGCCCCCCGGAACCATTCTGAATTCCCGCAACGTGACAATCGCCTCACTGCTCCCTGGCTTCCCAAGTAAAGCCAAGGCATTTCAAGTGCTGTATGTCACCCGGGACGTGCATGAGCAGCCAGCGCACACAGTCACGACGATAGTTGTCCCTCAACGCCCAAAGTTCGACCGGCTCCTCTCCTTCCAGATCGCCTACGACTCGCCTGATATCAATTGCTCTCCCTCATACGGGATCCAGTTTGGTGTGGACGGTACCGCTGCTACCTGGAACCGGAATCAGCTAAGCTATTTGCTTCCCTACTTACAACAGGGTCCGATTGTGAATATACCGGACTACGAGGGCTCCAATGCCGCGTTTACCGTGGGCCCGCAAAGCGCCTACCAGACTCTGGATTCCATCCGTGCGGCACTGAACTCGGCACACCTCACCGGCCTCAGCCCTGAGGCCAAAACGATCATGTTCGGCTACTCTGGAGGCGGCTACGCAACAGAGTGGGCTTCTGAATTCCATCCCAGCTACTCACCGGAACTTAAAATCGCCGGGGCTGTGATCGGCGGTCCTCCTACTAATATTACAAAGACCTATCTATCCGTCAACGGGGGACCAGCCGCAGGGTTAAACGCCTGGGCCATGCTGGGGGTAATGAACGCATTTCCTGCCCTCAAGGCCTACATGCTCGACCACCTTCTACCTGAGTACCGTGATGCCTTTCTCGGTCCTCTGAAACGCTGCACTCCCCGGACTGGGGACGAAAGCGACCCTCCGCCGCTCAGTAACATGAATATTTCATCCTTCTTCGACAATGGTGACCAGTTCCTATATGAGTTCAAAGATCTTCTCGATGAAATCGGCGTGATGGGAAGACATGGATTCCCCAAGTTTCCGTTGTACATCTACAAAGGCACGAATGATGATATTGCACCCACAATTGAAGATACAACTGCTCTGGTGCGGAAGTTCTGTGAGGCAGGCACTAATGTGAGGTATCTTCCGTACGCGGGGCTAGACCATACCACTGCCTTGATTTTCGGTATGCTTCCAGGCTGGGCATGGATGACAAATATCTTCAACGGGATTGAGCTACCAGGCTGCCACCAGAATGACCTTAATCTTGATGCGGATGGAGGTGAAGGAGAGATATTGGAGTATCCTTTCCCTGATCAGGAAATTTTCCAATCCTCTCACTTGGACGAATTGAAGTAAGACACCACATGCCATAAGAGTAGTCTAGTTGTGGATATTTGAATTGAAAGAATTCGGGTATTCCCTAAACAATATATCTATATCCTTATACACTTCATCAGCACCGGTTCGATCTCCTTGTGGAGTCCACTTAAATATATTCATAAAAAAAGACTGTAGATTCCGAGGCAAAATGACCCCACCATCTCAATGAAACCTAACATCTCAATGATAAAGCCATTTTCCTATACTGAACTGGATATCCAAGCGTTCATTTATCCCACCAAACATAGTTAGAATGATCTAAAATTAAGTTACGGGTTATTCTAAGGCATGGAAGCTGACACTCCGCACCACGACGGTCTACATCGAGCTTCCCAACTGCGCGAATGGCCAAGTCTCTGGGCCATTGATGAAGAAATTCAGTATGGCAGGAGCCCGAGATATGTCGCCCCTCGGCATCTAGACAACGATACAGCATGGACAACGCTCAACGCTAGTCTGCGTTGGTTCGGTAGTAACGCACGCTCTGCTTTGCGCTGTTGTCATGATGTTGGCTCGGATTGATTATGAGAAGACGTGCAGCGTAATGAGGTTGTACATATCTTGCGTAGAATAGACCCAAGGCAGACACGTAAGACAAGAGCTATAAATTTTGGACTTTTTCTAAAGAACAAAATGTGTAACTTTGAGAGACACTTCCATGTCATTGCAGCTCACACAAACGCCCTCGATCCATCGACTCATTCGAGCCACGAAGAAGCATCGGATGGGTCTATCTTCTACTCTTTGCGGAAACGATGCCCATTGTCCACTCTAGTAGCAGTTGATTAGCAACGATGATGAATAGAAAACTGAGGACCATTTGGCATCAAGAGACTAAAGAGTGGTACTACAGCGTGGTTCGTCATTGGTTGACTAATATCCATCAAAATTATAGGGAGCGTGAAGTCCTATACCTACATCGAGGTGCATGTTGAAGGTATAACATGGATAGACTCACTTGTATATGCTTCTCATGATTGAACCTGCCAAGAGCCTAGACCCAGAAATAAGCTTTCATATTTTTAGCCAGGCTGTTTCCCGTTCTGTTGTAGTTGACATGATCTAATACCCGCCCCCTTGGTTCGCGTGGAAAGTCAAAACAATGTTATGACATCACGACCTTCTTTTACGCCCTGTGATTCTGACTATACCCGATACCTACTGCATTTCTGAATTGATAATGGTCAGATGACCATAGTTTTGCTTATGAATCGGATGATTCAAATGGTTTCTCTTCATATACCGTCCCGCAAATCCATGGAGATGACGATACGATCAACGTAACCCGCATCCTGACCACCTGAATTATGAGTGACACTACTATAACCAGATGTGACGACCTTCCAGAGCCAAAAGAGCTCGCCGAAGCCTACGAGCTCGAACTACAATCCCAAAATGGCCAGCCGATCCGGTTCGGCGAGCTAGTCGCCGGGAAAGGAGGCCAGATCACAACCATTGTGATTTTCAGTATGTCTCTTACTCACGCTGCCTACCTAGCCTTCCCATATGCTGACCATCTTCAAGTCCGCCACTTCTTCTGCGCCTACGATCAGGAATACGTTCGCGTAGCCTCGCGCCGTCTCACCGACTCCGTCCTATCGACCCTCCCCAACCCCACCGGCCCATCACAGCTCATCATAATCGGCTGCGGTGACTCTCAGCGCATCGTCCCTTATGTGTCGGAGACAGAAGCCGCGTTCCCCATTTACACGGACCCCACAGGGACGATCTACGAGAAGCTGCACATGAAGAGGACGAGGTCACACATGACTCAATCGCCCTCTTATGCGCAGATCCCTTTCTTCAGTGCGCTTGGAAAGACATTCAAGCAAATGTTTCGGAGTGGGTGGCAGGCGTTTCGAGGGGGCAGCTGGGCACAGAACGGCGGCGAATGGGTATTTCGCGGGGGCAAGTGTGTTTATGTCCATCGGATGGAGCATGTCTCGGATCACTTGACGGCGGATCAATTGCTTGAGGTACTCAGCCATGATGAGCCAGCTGAAACGAAGTAGGAAATGGCCGAGATATGGATGTTGGACTATAGTTTGGCCGAGTGCATATAGTCCTGAGGAGGGCATTTACCAGTTGACCTGCCATTTCTAGTGCGATACCCTGATTGAGAGGTTTTCAATATTTCTTATTATGTTCCCCATTTGAATTTGTATTTCTGTTCGCGGAAGCTTACATCCTAGTCTCCTATGAATGATGGAATGGCCAACATAGAGGAACTACGGGGCATAAAAGAAGTGCTTGCTATTTCAGGTCTGGCGTATTTTGTTCTCGTGTCACATGGGCGCGGGGTATGTAAAGTGATGAGATGCCTAATCTATGCCCTACACTCGATCTCATGTTTTTGGAACCCAGCGAAAAGGCCCGGTTAGGAGTGCAAGATGGGCAAGATGGGCAAGAAACTCTCGATACTTTGTTTTGGGGACTCCCTTACAGCCGGATACTACCATTTTGGATGCGACTATTATCCATACGCCTTGACACTGAAAGAAAAACTGCAAGCAGCCTTTCCCACCACCACATTCATCATCGACGAGGACGGCCTTCCAGGTGATTTGGTCATTGGCCCTGCCGGAGAATTTCTGCCTCGAATTCAAGCAAAATGTGTGTTGATTCCATTTTTTTTTTTCAGTGCTGAGTCTGACAATTACAGTTGACAGATCCAATTATGACTGGGTTATCATTCTCGGGGGAACCAAGTATGCTTGCTTCCTTCTTTACCCCTGGAGGATCCCGATGCTAATATCAGCAGTGATCTCGGGACAGGCTATCAAGCTTCGAAGATATACCCTGCTCTGCAAGAGGTGTGGGAGGTAGCTCTCCACAACGGCGCAAATGTTCTCGCCCTGACTATTCCTGAATGTGCTGTTGTCAGTACAACGCTTGACACGAGGAGGAATGAAGTGAATTCGTCCATACTCGCTTATAAAGCCGAGGGATTGTGAGTTTAATCAAGATGGGAAAAGTGCAGACCGGCTAATCTTCTAATAGCCACGCATTTGACCTGCACGGCAAACTTCCGTATCACAACGCCACAGAGGAGTCCAGGGAGAAGATCTGGGATGATGGGCTGCATTTAACTGCCGAGGGGTATAAGCTCGTGGGTGAGGTAGTCGCTAAGCATTTAATTGCGCTGCTAAAGGACAAAGGTTTATAAGGAGAGTTGCCAGAGGGCTCTGTACCTTTGCTAGACCTATGTTGGAGAGAGAAGCGGTACTGGTATCATAGATTTTAGTATAGTTGCCGTAGAGCCTGTTTACAGAACTCACTGATCCAACAACGGCTTTCTCCTTATCTCCACAGCAGGCCTCCCTGCCGCAAGACCAACTACAGTAGGATCCCTTGCCTGACAGCAAAGATGGCATCGCAGCGGGCATAAACCAGACCATCTACCACGATATTGTGGGACCAAGTATATGGCTACAGGTTCCCGTTCTTGAGGAACTACTCCATGGGAACAAAGCCTTAGAGGCCAGGAAACAGCTAAGAGTGGGAATATCAATGCCCGGAGCGTGAGATAGTGGACCGTTGAGTATTGAGATCGGGCTCGTTATAACATCATAAGATGAAAAGCAAGACGATGGCCGGTACAAAGCACTAGTTACTGTAACTCTGGAAGAAAGCTGCGGTTTGGAGCCGACTGACTGAGTACATGACAACCACCCCCAAATGCTTCTCTACCAACTGCTACCATGAGCTGAGCTCCCAGTCATTTGAGCATTGCCACCCGTCCACCTGCGATGGCAAGTCCATGCATCTCTTACGGGCCAGCCATACACTTGGTGCTCTTCAACATGTACCTCCTGGTCAATACAAGAGATGTTGAGATGCATCAGCCAGACCTCTTCTACGCCGTCTCAAAATGCCTTCCTAGCACAGATTCAAGGTTTAGCGGACCACACGTTCCAGGGTCCACTAAATATTCCAGGAACCACATATCGACATGTTTATAGCCCCAGCAGACATGAGAAGGAAACGCATCCCCCAGATCCTTACTAAGCTTAATCAGAGATAGGGTTCGCATTCCTCATCTCTGTCGTGCCGCTTTTCATAGACGCGGCCACGGCGTTCTTCTCCGAAGATCGAAATCCCACTTAACTTCATTACACAAATCATCTAGACAAGAGAATTCCAATAGTTGCGTCTAAATAAGTAGTTTCTCCATAATATATGCCACGCTGTCATCCTAGACTCCGCCCAGGTCAAATATGAATTCCATGGGATTAACGTCCTGCAGCGATGTCTGGAATCTGAGGACTCTCTCCACCGTGACTCTGTATACCGTTTATCGCGGCTGGTATTCGTCAATCAAATAATAACAAAAATAGGATACAAAAGGGCTTACTGTCTATCATCTGCCAGTCGACACTGGAAGCAGGTGTCGTGAACGGAAAGCCTTCAATGTCATCATTTACCATAGACCAATTAGCCAACGCAGTCGCATCAAAAACGGGGAATTGAATGTTGAAACGGGCGCGACTCCCTGAACATACAATTGTGAGGCCTTAGACTAAAGTCAAGTATGGAAGCTATGCTGCACTTACCTTCCGAGTCCGGACAAATGGGATCATCATGAAATGATGCCGGTGGAATCTGCAAAAGTAAAGGGTTTGTCTCGTCACTTGCACTGTTGCTACTGAAGCAATTGCGGTTTCCGAGAATGACCCTCAGAGCTCTCGCTGCCTTCTGTGCCTCTTTCGAAGAACTGCTGGAATGGACCCAAATGTTGTATGTTTTTTGGAGTGACGTCCAGATGGTCTCCCCGGTCACAGCGCCTGCGCCTCCTTTACTTTGCGCACCAGCTCGCTGTAGGTAGGAGCACAGGATGCTAGTCGCGAGCAGAAAATTATCGTTAACCAGAGAATGGACGCGCCATCGCTCCTGGTACAATCGGCAGAACGGCTGCGTCTCTTCTTGGAGGGCGTGCTGGTAGTCGAGAAGCTTGAGCGCAGCATCTAGACACGCCTGCTGGGAGTAATCATTCTGCGTGTCTGCTTGCCAGCTATGCAGGTTTCTCTGGTGCAACACAATTCGCGCACGGTGGAACATAATCTCCAGGAACACCTTTTGCATGATTACCTGCGGTGAATCCATGATGCAATTGGCCATAGAAACCCACTGGAGACATTGTGGGATTGCACTATGCACATCTTCAAGCATGCTATCCATCTTCATTATCTCCGCGTAGGGACATGGCCTTGTGTCTGTCACAAGATCCCACACAAAGCCGATTGTTGTCGTCATTCTTGCCTTGACAAGACGGAAGAGCATGGGTGTGAGTTCGGTCTCGGGACGCGAAGACGGCATAGCAACCGTGTCTCGATCAAAATCCTTGTCGTGAAGGTTCGACGGCTCTCCTGTATCAGTTTGCCAATGCTTAATCAGTCGAGGGAGGCCCATTTGAGTAGAGATTCCAATGTCGAGCTCGACGACCGTAGCCCAGACGCGCTTGCGCATCTCCGCGGTAAAGGGAGACATGCTGGGGAAGCGATGCGGGTCCCGGTGGTAGCCCATATGCATTGCCAGCTGTACTATCGTTCCCAGGAGAATCCATATGCCAATTTCAGCGTCACTCCGGAGGACTACCTCCACGGCAATATACAACATAAGCGTCTCGAGCACATATGGGGGCCCTTTGGCATACTCTCCCAGTATAAGGCATTGCACGATCTTCTGACGGAAAGCCTCAATCTTGCATTGAAGGTCATGCTCTCGTAACGAGGATGCGGGCGTCTTGATGCCCGGATCTAACCTAAATTTCTGGAACTGCGTTGCAAGGCACATTATAGTGAACAGGAGGCCCAGCCATATAACTGGCGTTTCTGATGGGCTTTGCCAGAATCTTTCATACTGGATTAAGCCGTTAGTCGTAAGCACGTTAGTTGGGAAGAGGTTCCAATACCTCCTTCAAAAACTCGACACTGTGCAGTACCGCTTGATATTTCATCAGGCCAAAGTATATCAGTTATGTCGGGAGTGTGCTAACCTGGGGACATATCGAAAGAGTTGAAATAGCCTGAAATCAATCGATCAACAACCGGCCGCTCTGGAATTGCCGCCAGGATCTCTTCCTTCGTCAGAAGACTTGTACACCCGTAAAGAAGCTGAGGACCGCCCCGCTGTGCAAAAGAGGGCTCATCCAGCTGGGTATTCTCTTGCACTTCTTCCTCGTCGAGTAGAATTTTCAGATCAGCGATCCCATCAAGGATAGCGGCCCAATGAGCGCTGTTGACATAGTTGGTACTCGATTGAGTCAGCTGCAAGCTGCCGCAATCAGATGCTGGCGAGTTCCCTTTGGAGAGGTCTGCGTACGGGGAAGCAGAAAATGATCGATCCCTCGAAGTCATGGGAGAATCATGATGTGCCGAAGTAGCCGGAGGGGGTTGACTGGAGTTACTCGTTGACCCGCTTTGCATCAGGCTGACCACCAGACTTTCTAATTGCTGAATCCTCTCTTGGACATTCGGTCGTCGCTGGTGAGCCTCAATTGGCTTTGAGATGTAAGTACAAGAAAGACTTAAACCTCGGTCTGCGCAATTCCCGCACGGCTGCTGTCGGTCACATCGGATCCTGCGAACGGACAAGAATAAGATGTTGCTTTCAAGCCAAAAGATTGCTTTTGAAAATGGAAACTCACTTCCTTTGTCTGCAGAGATTGCAGGAAAGCGGTGGTCGTTCTCGACGCCTGCTAGATGGTAGACGTGCTCTGCCCCTTGCTGTTTTGCCTGGACCCCATTCCGGAAGTTGAGGTTCTTCGTGATCTGCCATGTTTTTGATGGAGCCAATCAAACATTAAGATAAATCCGGGTGACTATTGCCAGAAGCCACGGGTCAGTAGCTTGATTTGACGGGCCAGATATGGTCAAGCTGGCTTGAAGTTGCTTGGTCAGGAAGTGAGTGAAAATGTTCAGACAGTTCAGGCTAACCCCGCGTCTAGGTGACAACCCCTGTGTCTTACCCAAGTTTTCTTGGCTATTAGCGTGGCCTGGTGTACTATGATTTTACTGTCGCCCGTTCCGATGGCCCGCCCCGATACTCCGCTCCGATGATCCGCGCCAACAGTCCAGCAATGCGTCCGTCATGACGGAGCAGACGCAGGGCTTTATCCTGGCAGAAGGACTCAAACACGCTAATGCTAGTAGTTCTTCTGCTAAGTGTCCTTTCCGGATGCGGAACGAGTCTACCCATTGTCTTTATATAAATTGGAACTATATCCAGATCGGATCTTCTGAATTCACTGCAAGTCTCATCAAGGCTATCCGGCATCAGAGCAGAGAAGTGAAAAAGAGCATCCAACCTGTCACAAACGAAATGGACAATGAATCTGCGGAACCCGAGACAACTGGCTGGGACAGTCCCAATGACCCCGAGAATCCGCTCAACTGGTCGTCTTACAAAAGAAACCTGCACATCATAATCGTGAGCCTCTTGACGCTTAATGCGTAAGTATCACAGCCATCGCCCGAAGCTTATGACCGTAAGTTGTCGCTAATTCCTTGTTCAAGAAACCTGGCTGCCACCATGTTTGCTCCCGGGGCAGAACAACTGGCCAAAGAGTTCGGAGTCACTGATTCAACTATTAAGGCTATGACGGTTAGCCTCTACGTGCTCGGGTTTGCCTTTGGCCCTCTCCTCTTCGCGCCTCTGTCCGAGCTATACGGGCGCCTCATTCTGTACCACCTTTGCAACACTGTGTATTTTGCATCTACAGCAGGCTGCGCCTTCAGCACTAATGTCGCCATGTTCCTGGTTTTCCGGTTTATATGCGGTTGTGCCGCATCAGGGCCTATGAGTATCGGAGGTGGCACGGTTGCGGACGTCACCCCTCCCCGGAAACGAGGAAAGGCTATGGGGTTATTTGCCATGGGCCCAATCTTAGGACCCGTACGTGATCGCACCTTGAATAGCTCCAACTGGTAATCCGCATGCTGACAGGAACTTCTGGAGCCTAGGTGCTGGGACCAATCATTGGAGGGTTTGTCTCTCAATACGCAGGCTGGCGCTGGACACTCCGGATCATTCTGATATTGGTAAGGTGAATTGTCTCTATGTATGATATACGTCCTAACCAAGTTTACCGCCAGTCCGGAGCCCTTGGTATCGCCACCGGTGTCTGTATGCGGGAGACGAGCGCCGTTGTCTTGCTGAATCGAAAAGCAGACCGGACGCTCAGAGGAGCTGGAAACGCCAGGATAGCCGATCCCAAAACAAAACAACAGGAGTCACCCCGCCAGATGCTGTTGCATGCCCTTACACGTCCCGTGAAGTTGTTGATCTTCTCGCCGATCGTCTTACTTATCTCGCTATATACTGGCATTATGTTCGGCCTCATCTTCTTACTTTTCACCACCTTCCCTTCAGTATTTCAAGGGGTGTACGGATTCGACGCTGGAACTGCCGGATCGGCCTATCTCGGCCTAGGGCTCGGCATGTTCTTCGGTCTGGTTCTCTTCTCCATCCTTAGCGACAAGCTTCTGGGACAGACGCAAAGCAGAGTCGCGGCCAAGCCTGAACAACGCCTTATCTTGATGAAGTGGCTTGGTCCGATCGCCCCATTGGGGTGCTTCATGTATGGCTGGAGCGCACAGAATCATACACACTGGATAGTGCCAATAATCGGGACTTTCATTATTGGCTTTGGATCGTTATTTGTCGTTATCCCAGGCCAGATCTATCTTGTCGATGCCTTTGGGGCGGCAGCGGCGGCGTCCGCCCTCGCGGCTAATCTCCTCATCCGATCCCCTTTTGGTGCTTTCCTGGATCTTGCTGCCGCGCCTCTGTATGATAATCTGGGACTGGGCTGGGGAAATAGTGTGCTGGGGTTTATTACGCTGTCATTCATGCCAGTGCCGTGGTTGCTTTACCGCTATGGTGAAGCTTTGAGGACTCGTTTTGCGGTTGACAAGTACGTGTAGTGAGAAAGTTGACTCTCCTTTGGCGAACTGATTCAGATAGAGAATCTCACGGGGCTTCTTGTCCTTGGGTGTCTCAGAGTTGTGAAATAACATTGTCAACGTCGCAGGACTGGTTGCCTTCGTCCTCCTATGCACTGACTTGCGCGGATTGCACAAATATTCTAGAATTACGCAGTCCCCGTCGAAGGCTATCTTTACTTTATTACACTGGCAGACAACGTTCCACATTCGCCGCCCATTATCCTCCTAGCCAAGAGGGTATTCCCGGTTGTCGATAGGGTCCGAACAACACAGACTGGGTATACCAGGTACAAAGTGTCTTGCCAGGAAGACGCATGAAATAAAGTAGACCCCATCCCATTGGCCAAGCTTTATCTGCATTTGCGTTGTGCCTCAAACTATCTCTTGGAGATAGGGATAGCCAGTTGGCAATGTAGGTCATGGATTAGTGCCAGTGGGGTCCCGTGTTCGTTTTGTTTTACCACTTTTGGACGCCGACTGGTGGGAATTTTGGGTTAGAGTTTCAATTGTTGATTAATTACTATCCATCTAGATTTATGATGATAATTTCCATGCATATATAAACAGTGGACATTACTGACGGTCGAGCTCTTCGTAAAGCAAGATTGCCTATCGAAAAAGAAACAACCGCTATGGATACTATCCTTTCAAAGTACTACAACAAGGACCCTAGACCATTTCACGCCGGTGCACTGACCGCGTACAATGCTCAAGGAGATGTAATTTGTTCCAGCATTCAGGGCACCCAGACTGCGGACCCTGCGGGCCCTGCAGTCACCGAAGATTCAACCTTCTGGGTTTCGTCCTTGACCAAAGTCGTCACGGCCGTCGCTGTGATGATTGTCGTTGAGCGAGGCTTGATTTCACTCGACGATGATGTGGGCCAGTTTGTGCCGGAGTTGGCGACGCCAGAGGTCCTGTCTGGGATCGATGAAGATGGTATTGTCCTGACGGGAATTCCCGTTGTCTGATGGAATCGCCATTGCTGACAATCTTCCTCCTAGGAAAACCCATCGTGTATCGGACGGAGAAGAAGCTCACGTTGCGTCATCTCCTGACGCATACAAGCGGCTTCACCTTTAATGTGATGAGCCCGAATCTGCAGAAATGGGCAGCGTATCATGGGAGGAATATCGACCATACGCAGGGAACTTATGTACTCAGCTCCTTTTCTGCAAATTCCGCTGATAAGCGATCTGACCAAAACCACCTTTTTGCTGTAGGAGTCAATGACCTACCCTCTTGTCTTCGAACCCGGCGAAGATTGGAGATACGGGCCCGGAGTCGACTGGGCAGGGCGAGTGGTAGGTCTCTAGCCGCAACACTGAATTCAGTACCGCATCTAACCAGGTGCACATGCAGGTCGAAGTCCTCTCCGGGAAGAGACTCGGGGAATTCGTTAGTGAGAACATCTGCGGACCACTGAATCTCCAATCTACCACCTTCCACCCGGAGATACTGCCCGACTTCGAGAAGAGAAAAGTGGAGATAGCCCTCCGCAACGGAGACGGATCCCTAACTCCAACCAAAGAGATATTCCCCCTTCCTACGCCGGATGACCTCGGCGGTGGGTCACTGTATTCCACACCGCGCGAGTTCACCAAGTTTCTGTCAGCTCTTCTGGCAGGAGGTCGAGGAGTCATCAAACCGGAAAGCGTGGATGAGATCTTTCGGCCTCAGCTGCCGGAAGCTGTGAGGATAAGGTTGAACCAGCAGATTAATATGCCAGAAGCGCGAGCAATGAAATGGTCGTTCACGACAGGTGATCAAGTCGACTTCGGGCTGGCCGTCGCAGTAACGGTCGGTGATGTTCCAGATGGTCGTGCGCATGGGACGGTCTCGTGGGGAGGGCATACCAATGTTCATTTTGTAAGTGACTTTCTGGTCTGCTGGTCGAAAGAACGATGAACACTGATGGGACGGATAATACCAGTGGGTCGATCGGACGACGGGAATATGTGCGACGAGCTTCTTCCAGCACCTTCCTCCGTCGGATTCCCAGGTGATTGCGCTCCGCGACGAGTTTGAGACGCAGCTGTATAAGCAGATACGCTATACAAACCCGTGAGCTAGGGACGCCAGGTTACTACGACGGCTCATCTCGATAGGGCCGCATTGGGTCTTAAGCATGGCTACAGTGGGTTACTTATGTGGAAGCATGTTTAGAGATGACGCTGCTTATAAAATAGAAACCTTTTATATGAGTCTGTGAGCTTGAAGGCCCATCTACAATACGTCATCTCTTTGAGCCAGTTGATTTATGCCTGGGTAGCCCAAACACCCTTACGCATATAGCTCCTAGTGCATATATAGCTTCATGCCTCTAAGGTGCAATATACTTCCTGGTACTAGTGACTGCCCTCTGAAGGCCCGGCACAAGACTGGTTGACTCAGTTGATATGAGATGGAATTGACGGAGCGTATCTGCACGGCAGCATAATGAGCCTTTTAAGTCCATGATCATGCCATGGCTATGTGGTCGCTGTTAGATCTGCTCGCGGATAGCATTGCTGCGACTAAACATATAACCAGGATCGGAGACTGATCGTGGTCTTTTATCGAAAATATTTATATTCGGTCCGAAGGACGTTACGACGAGTGGCAACCGGTCCTTAGTAGGCATATCACTTACAGGTAACCGGGCAACTAGTCCAATAAATAGATCAACAAGCACACATTCTTTTAAAGACTCGACTCCCGAGCCTGCGGTGAAGATGGTGTTGAACTCGACGGGATTCATAGATAGCCAATATCGATCATTTCGGCGTTCACCTTGTGGATAAAGAAATTCAATGCGAGATCCCCACTGCAGTCCAGCCATGTCGGGGTGATAGACAAATCGTTACTTATCCCAGAAATAGCACTCTCTAGAAGCTGGAATTGTCTCCGGATTCCCTTCAGGGTTCTAGTGATGATGCCTCTGCGATTTGCAGCAGTGTGTCCACTTTCCCTCTCGGTGGTTGTATTGCTCACATGGTAATGTAAAGCCAAGTCTGACTAGCTTGTTGATACTTGAAGAAATATTAAGCATATTCTCAGACCAGGATATCCAACTAGCAGTATTCGCATGATTGGTGCTAATCTCCATCAATACGGGCATTACCCCGCTGCATGTGAGACATCCTAGCATGAGACCTTAGTGGTCGCCGACAATTTCAACCTCCATCGTCTTCTCCATCCACCTCAATTGCTTCTACGGATTTATTCACAGACTGTTTGCATCCGAAAACTAGTATTATCCATGGCGTTCAGGCGCGGCATCTTTCCTCTCTATGCGAACATCCATCATGGAATAATAGCCCGCCAACACGGACTCCGCAGATGCCCTCAACCCATCGCATCCTTCTCGACCCAATTTGCTGTCGCAAACAAGCATGCCAACTCTTCAAAAGGCCAGTCGCAAGGTGCTCCTCCGCAGGATCCAGAAATCCCGTCGTTCAGTTTCGACTCTCTGGGTCTGAGCAAGACTACCAAGACCGTTGTCCTCGTCATTCTCGGTGTCTTTGGTACTATTGAAAGCTGGTTCTGGGTCCAGACAATTTGGCGCTGGTGGAAGAGCGACGCTGAAGAAACGAAGTAAAACCAATCAAGTCATGCTGGTAAATGGCTGCAGCACGTCGCGTTTTGTACGATAGAGAAGTCCTACCATATTATACATCTCCGCTCAATAGAGTACTGATTCGTCAATGATAACAACTTCGATATCAAACAAATTGGTCACTACTATGAGTCATCCTCACTTACAGCCAGATAATAACTTAAACTCAATGAACGATCTGCCGCTTGACTTCAAATACGAGTACGGCATGAGCTATCATCATATCCGCCAAGCCGGCGATTCCCTCCAATCAAGGACTATGAGTCACCATCGCCAATAAACACGTTATTCCCACATATTATAAGCAGTTGGATTTCCCATTGATCCTCCATCAGAATAACTGTTATCAGCTGGATCAAACACAAAAATGACCCAATTAACACCTCCTATCCCTACGCAAACATGGACCAAAGGCGCATACTTCATCTCGACGGACTCGTCGCTTATCCCCCTCGAAACCCTCAACGACTGGTTCGCTTCAGACGACATATACTGGACAAAGGCACTGCCCCTAGATATCCTAAAACAGTTACTTGAGAACTCTCTCTGCTTCGGCCTCTACTACACACCCGACCAGCCAGACAAGGCCAGCGCAGGTCCCGAGTTCATCGGCATCGCCCGCTTCGTCACAGATTATACGACCTTTGTCTACATCACCGACGTCTACGTGCACTCCAGCCACCAGGGCAAGGGGCTGGGCAGTTGGCTTGTAGAGTGTACTGGTGAGGTCATTGATGCGATGCCGTACCTGAGACGGAGTATGTTGTTTACGATGGACTGGGAGCGGTCGGTCCCGTTTTACAAGAAAATCCTGGGAATGAGCGTGCAGGAGAGTAAGAGTGGAGAGGGAATGGCCATGATGATGAAGAAGGGGAACGGATATCCGAAGTATGAAAATGGAGCTTGATTCGACTTTTTCCGGCCAGAACTTTTGAGGAGGGTTGGTAATTCGAAGTCGTTGATTATGAAGGGAAAGCGGTAATTATAGATCTAATTCAGTTCTTAATGGACGGTTAAAATCACTGTGGGGCCATTGAATGAGCCAAAAAAAAAAAAAAAAAAATGACCTACGCAGGATTCGAACCTGCAATCTCTTGATCCGTAGTCAAGCGCCTTACCATTGGGCCAGCAGGCCTTGTTGACGGATATCTGAACTTATTACATACATAGACTATTCTAGCCTTCCTCCTTGGTATTCTCTCCGGTTACCCGAAGACATGCGTTTCCGCATGAAATGTTTCGAAGAACAGAATATGACTTTTGAAAAATAATGCGTTTCTCAATAAACTCCATTGAAGGCTCCTTCTGAGCCAAGAAGTCTTAGAAGGAGTAGGGATTACTTTCACGTCAGGAATATATATTCTTCGCAGCTAAGCCCATCGACGCCCAGAATAAACAGCACGCTTATCGATGAAGACAAGCCATCGACCATACTTGAAAGAACGATACACATCATGACTGTCGAACATCAGTGTCTTGGAATGTTCTTTCACACGTGTCATATAGATAAGAATTGTTCTACCATTATAGATGGTGGTCGAGGATGGTTCAAAAGACATGTGTGGTTGCAGATAAGTAAAGAAGTCAGGTGTAGAACTACAGCTGCACCACTGCGCGGAACACCGTCGGACGCACCAACATTTGCATAACAGACCTCGGAGATATGACCAACAAACGGGTAGGAGTCACAGTATTGTGGGGCTAAATACAGACAGCATTCAGGCAAGATATCCAATAGCTGTGCCTCGTCTGGCGTTGTGCATTCTATCATCCTTCCTTGCCTCCTCCCGTGTCGACATCGGCAACGACGCTCGGCTTCTGGCGAAGTACCCATGACTCCCACCTGTCATATACCTCGTGCACACACTCCTGCCCGTTGAAAGCTCCCGTTGTTTCGAGCCGAACGGGAAGCAGTCTTCGGATAACTGGGCAGGTCTCCTCCAATCAAACATGGTGAACCAAATCTTCTCTCAACTCAATCCCAGTGTATAGGCCAGAGCGGAAGAAAAGATCAAAGTATATAGCATGGCTATAGTATCAGAAATGTCTAGCCGAGATAGGCTGAGTTTGCGCTTGCCCCAGAAGTGACAGTTATCCTGTCCTGTTCAGGATATACATCTTCTTGACTTTTGTGCATGTATGATCATTATGGTTAACATAGAATACAAAAACATTAGCAAACAATAATATAACAGTGATGTGTAGGTGACCTATGCCAATGTGCACTGCTACAAGTACCCACATCACCCTTACGTATCAGCATCCTTTGATAATAGAAGCCCTGATCTTTAGCAGCTTTACTGTTGACTGTGTTAACTGCCTGAACATTAGATCTGCATGAATGTGACAGAGGACCTGCTGTGCATAATCACATGTAATCTATGATCGTCGGCGCCCCCTTGCAGTTGATGCAGCAATACTCAACGCATCTCAAGTTGTGTTACGCTTTTATAGGTACCATACTAGAATCAAACCAATCATCGAGCACGTGGAAGGCAAGGCATAAAGTCCAGATAGGCAGCGATCTACGCAAAGGGAAAAAGGAGAAGCAATTGACTTCAGATGCAGCGACGCGATCCAATAATATAGAGGTCTTGAGCAGGATAGATCCTACGGAATCCCACTTATGGGCATCAAGGCTCCGCTGCAGGAGAACACGTCTTGTGCCGGGTAGTCTGTGAAGAGCAATATCTATAGAGGTTAACCTGTGATTAGTTGTATATTATGCATGGCCGCGTTAAGCTATCTGATAGGTTAATGTAAGAAGGGATTGAAGAGCAGAATCTCAAGATTCTCTTATTCAATTAAAATATCGGCCCGACTAGACCCCTGTTCGAACGTGTAGAATGTAACAGTAATTTCTGCGACGTCAGGTTTCAAGAATGCTGTCGAAACCAGAATGCACTTTCTAGCGCTTACTCTGCAGGCATAACATTAATCAAAACCCGAATCGGAGAGTATCCCTCCACTTCTGTATTCGTGATCTGCAAAGGAAGATCCACTCACACAATGACGTGTTTACTAGGTGAAGAGTCAAGATAACGGATAAAAGCGATGATGTTCTATCAGTGGAGACTACTGCAAATTGTCCCTGGTCTGGTCTCTTATCACTTCGAAATGTATTGGATAGTCTACCTCCCATTCTCAGTTTGGTCTGGATCTGCCACCTTTGGAGCGACGAAGGACTTCAACCTGATCTCCAACCGGGAATCAAGGTGACATCGAGTTTAAACATTTCCCGGGCCTGGACTTGGCTAGGCTTCATCCCTCCCCGAAACGGGCCCGCTTTCCACCAAATCCAAAGCGGAGTTTGGGTAGGGAAGCCGAAACCAAGGCAGTTTCCTAGGCTAGGGACGGACTCCACAACACGGCACCTTCGGTGTGGCCCGTGTGGCTCGTTATCCGATTGCTCCGTTTGGGTTACTATACAACGCTCAGAGTGACCAATCAGCTTGGAGCCTTGAGCACATGAAAACATGTTTGGCAACGGGTTCAGGAAAACTCGTAGAATTTCATCATCTAACTCCATCGTATCCTAGATTAGTTTGCAGATCGATGTTTCATAGGGTAGATCCCTGTCGATCATATCGGAGCAAGGGATGGAGCCCGTGCCGAATCATCCCAAATAGGCAGGCAGAAAATAGAATATATCAACAAACCAGCATTCCGGCAGTTTGCAGTTCTCTACCAAGACTTGGTCAGCCACTTCGTCCTCATCCAGTCTATCTCACACTCTCCCTTGGTTACCAGAGAAGATTAAAAATTATCAATTCTTTTTATCAACATCACTGTCATTAGCGAACGAGCACAAGTTGACAGCCATGTCTGAAGATAAATCTCCTAAGACATCGACTGAGCCAACTGCCTCTCCACAGCAGGGACAGGGACTGCCGTATCGTATTCTCTCCAAGAAGCAGAAATGGAACATTGTCATTTTTGTTTCCTTGGCGGGCTGCTTATCGCCTCTCTCATCGAACATCTATTTCCCCGCTATTAACACCATATCCACTGATCTGGGTGTGAATGCGTCCCTTGTTGCGCTGACAATTACCATCTACATGGTTGTACAGGGGATTGCTCCCTCAATCTTCAGCACCCTCTCAGACACCTGCGGACGCCGCCTCACATTCACCATATGCCTCACTATTTACATGGCTGCCAACCTGGCTCTCGCTTTTACGTCCAGTTATCCAATGCTGATGGTCCTGCGAGGCCTACAGGCCGCGGGCTCTGCAGCTACAATTAGCATCAGCACTGGTGTCATCGCCGACATTACATCCTTAAAGGAACGTGGTGGCTTCATGGGAGCGAACGCCGGAATGCGGTAGGTGCAGCGGATACCACATGGCCCTAGAAATAGTTCATATCACTGACGTCAGTAGTATGACGGGCCAGGCATTTGGACCTGTCATTGGGGGTGCTCTGAACAGTGCGTGGGGTTTCAGAAGCATTTTCTGGATGCTCTTTGTCTTGAGCGTGGTCATCCTCAGCGCCATCCTTATCTTTCTGCCGGAGACTCATCGCGGCATAACGGGCAACGGCACCATCCCTCTTTCGGGGTTTGGCAAACCCCTTATCTATATGCTCAAACCACCAATGGCATCGAAGGAGAGCCCTGAATCAAGTCGGTCATCGAGTCCTCGTCCACCGATGCCCTTGAAGAAGAAGAGAGCCTCCAGTCCTTTAGCCTACATCTTTGAAAAGGATATCGCAGCCCTTCTGGTCTGGGGCGCAGTGGCCTACACCGCATGGAGTATGGTGACATCCTCGACTACGACGATGTTGTTGTACGGCTTCCCCTATCTTACTGAGTGGCAGCTTGGCCTATGTTTCCTGCCCAATGGTTTTGGCTGCATCTGCGGCTCGCTCAGCTCAGGCTGGCTCCTGGACCAAAGCTTCAGACGTGTCCAGGAGCGGTACAGACGAGAGCACAACATTCCCTCCGAAGAAAAAATCGTCAGCAGGCGCGACTTTCCTCTTGTACGGGCCCGTCTCCGTTACATGCCTCTTTTCAGCATTGCACTTGTCATCTCGCTAGCGCTGTACGGACCAAGCTTTGAATTCAACGACTTGCGGCGGCAATTTGGTCCGAATCTAGCGGCGCCGCTTATCCTCCAGTTCTTGATCGCATTCGCGGCGATGGCTCTCTTCAACATCAACTCAACGTTGCTGATCGATTGCTTCCCTGAACGCCCTGCCAGCGCGACAGCCCTCAACAACCTGTGCCGTTGTCTGCTGGGCGCGGCCGGAGTCAGTGTCATCCAGCCACTAATTGATGCCGTAAGGGTGATGAAAGCTTTCTTCATTGTCACTGGCATTGTGCTTCTTTTTCAACCGCTCATTTTGGTTGAGTGGAAAATGGGGGAGAAGTGGAGGCGAGAGCGAGAGGACAAGCTGGCTGCTTGTGATGAAGCTTGAAGTGAATCCCAGCTTCTAACAAGCAAATGGTCTCCAAACTAATGTGCAACGAAATCTATTGAGGAACAAGTTTAACTGAGAGAGAGATAGACGCAGAATAAAATTAGAATAGAGAAGGTCTTAAGGTCCAGTTGATTGAATGGGGCTGCGCAGAATACAGAACGACCGTCTTTCCCATGTACAGTGGCCATTGGAACATATAGATAATGTCTCCTACAACTGTCAATACGAGCACTCAATTCAGCCCCAGAGCTCGATAGTTTAAGACGCTCTCCTCTGTATCGAAGGTTCACCAAACGCCGTCCATGTCGAGGTTAGAGAGGCACGACACGCAGTGATCTTTTGGTAGGAATTGAAGCGCCCAATAATACTCAATAAGTAACATGAAAAATGAGCTCACGTAATCTATGAAAGTCATGTGCGATGCTGAGATTATCATATGAGCTATGATCTCTCCCAGTGCTTCACGTGGACACTCTTCTGGGAGAGAAGGAGGGGAATACAACAATCAACCGCCATTTACCACTGCTCATAACGACAACTATAAGAGTGGATCCAGCGTAAACTACCAAAGTATACGAAGTTTCGACGTTCCTCGAAGACAGAGTGTAACTGTGTGTGGCTCATGTGGACCGACACTGTAGATTAGGTTGATCAACGGAAAGCCGACATACAGCTAGGCTTAAGCCACAATGAATAAAGTAACGTATCTAGTTACTGAACGGCCAAATACTAGCGGTACTTCTATGTCGCACTAGGTCTAGAATGAATAACCTGTCTTGGAGAGGCAGTGCGGGCCGAGGATATGATCATGTTCACTAATCTAGATAACTGAGCCGATTCATAGTTCTAAACCCGGAACAACAATAAAGTAACGGAGCAATAATCCTCCCGATTGCATCTGCGAGAAATTTCAAGAGCACTGATACCACTGCTCGTCGCTCCACCGTCTAAGCTGCCTAATTTCTCATGTACGGTTTTCTGTGTGCCACATCGGCAACCCTTATATTTACGAACGAGGTCGACGCTGGACGCAACTGTCGTGTGGAGCATAAACAAGGATCCGGCGGCCCTGGCCCAACGGCCCAAAGCCGCGCCTCAGCAAATGGCTCCTATTCATACACTTGGAATAGCTGGGTGTTTACTCTTGCTGTGGCAAGCCATCAAGTAGGTGCGCTTTTAGTGTAGTCAGCCCTTCATTACCAGGGCCATCAGTCACAGGATTATTTATCATCATGGTAGTTTCGTAAGTGCCTTATCGTAGCTACGTAGTAACTTACGGCTAGTCAAGGGTCTCTATTTGATACTAGGTTTGTTGTGATTGCCATTCAGTGAGTAGGTATGAAAACTCAAATAGCAGCCACAAGATATAGGTAGTACCCTTCTGCAATATATAATTGTTGCCATCAGAATTGACATACTATCAGACAATTCAGTCACATTATCGTATCATCGTCTACAAGTTGTCACTACATCTTCGTAGCGAATCAACCCATTAGTCTTCAAGAAAAAGCAGGGAAAAATGCCAAACATAGCCCGGTATATACATGTCGTCAATCATGAAGACAGAAGACAGAAAGAGCGGTAATCTCATTCAAGTTCCACGACGAGCTTGGTGCCCCTACCCTCTCCCTTTCGAAGCGTACTCAAGCCCTCGAAGACCTCCTTGAATCCACCTTGCGTTGTCGTGATGGGTGGCGGCCTCACAACATCCTGGCACAATTTTGGCAGACCAGCATAAAACTGACGAAGAGCCTGGCGGTCAGACGGGGCAACCGGAAACGAAGGGCCTAGTGGCGCCATCATGCTGAACTGCCGGCCAAAGACAGTGTAGACCATCAAAAACTTATACTCGATTTCTGGTTTATTCGGCTTTCCTTGGTCAAGTAACGTTACCACTTTGCCGGTCTTAAGCACATTGGCACAAAAGGTGGTGGAACTGCCCTCTGAGAAACAGTCCAAGGCTCTTGTAATATTTGGATAGGCTTTAGCGATTTCACCAGCAGCTGTTGGAGACCGGTAATCATAAACAGCATCTGCACCATATCGCTTCACAAGATCAAAAGAACGTGGAGAGGCGGTTGCAACAACCTTTAAACCTGCCCTCTTGGCTAGCTGGATAGCGAAGAGACCGACATTGGAACCGCCTGAATAGATGAGAATTGGTGATTGATCGGTGTGGAGGTCGCGCCCCTTCTCGATGTCTGCCCAGGGGATGTCAAGATATGCGAGTGCAAGCATCGCCGTAGCTGCTGGAACTCCGTAGGTGGCTGCTTCAGCGTAGCTCATCGTCTCGGGTACTTTCCAGGCGAGATCTCCGTCGACTTTGAGGTACTCGGCAAAGGAGCCAACGTCAGGGTACAACCCGCCATGGACAAAGCCAGCTATTCTGTCCCCAACCTTCCAACTATGTCCAGAATTCTTCCCAACCTTGGTCACCTGGCCGGCATAGTCACAGCCAGCAACACTATTCCGCGGTGAAATGAAATCGATGTCCTTGAAGTCTATTGGATTTAGCGCGACAGCGCATACTTTAACCAGGACCTCGTCGTCTGTGATTTCTGGGATTGGGATTTCTTTGACATGTGCGCCTTCCCCAAGTGGACTACCAAGAGCAAAGCTGAGTAACCGCTTGGGCAGAGAGCGTTTTGTGACTATTGCTTTCATCGTTATTGGAGAAGTATAGCTGAATGAACATGCGTGGATAGAGACTTGAATTAGGCTTGCAAAGAAGAGAATATATTGAGGAGATTGGAATTTGTCCAGAATACTAGAATCCAGGGACTGTGTAAATTTGTATAAGCACGCCAAGATCTAAGTATGATGGTGATATTACTGACGGGTCAGGGTTAACCCATTCCAACACCGGATGGATACAAGGCCGACGGGGTAAGAGAAAACCGACTCGGTATGCTGGCCAGATTGCGTTCGTAGGGGCGACGGCAAAAGGAGGACAGCACCCTCGAAAAGTGGTGGAGAATGCGGGATGATCAGTAATCAAGCTATCAAATCCATGGATACAGTGTTTCCAGAAACTGGCGACCCCACTTATACTCTTCCTTCGTTTCCGTAACCCTAGAGCTAAAATATGCTAAGCCACTTCAAAATGCACTTTCAGAATATTATAGTTAACCCGCATCGGTATCATAAAACACATGCAGGTATCATCAGGCAGTTACCCACTGCTCATCATGTAACCAATAACCAACAAATCTAGAGTTTAGAGTTAGAGTTCAACAGCCGCCAGCCAAGCCATTAAGCCATTAAGCCACATAAGCCTCTTATTTGGCAAAAATTACGTGGGGCCAGTTACTAGACGCTGGTTGTTTACATTGGGTGGGATTTTGTGGAGGGATACAGATCCTTAGCCTCAGCGAAGAATTCTCACGCGCGGGCAATGAGTTATTGGTTGGGGTGTACTGTACGACTTTGGTTATTTTGATCTGAGTCTTAGTTATGGTGCTTAGCGCTGTTAAGTTCCATGTAAGGGCAAATGTTGAACATATATAAGATGCGGAGTGCAAGTCCAGGGTAATTGCCGGCCTAAGTAAGCCCTAAACAGCCTTTTGTATCAGACAGGCATTGGATACGTACAGGGAAGGTAGACAATACCAAGGAGAAATACATATCCAACAGTGGTGAACCCCTGCTTAGGTTAGAAATGTTAATGACGTAGGGAGATGTATACTTGCCGCCTAAAGATTTGCCGTCCAATTACAGGAATTTATTACCTTAACTGCCTCCATCCTCGAAAGCACGTAGATTTTCTTCTAATGGGATCTTCAAATGAAGTTAGTAACTGCTTCCACAACTCTTTCTTAATGGACATACATGTCCTCCCCCACTGAATCTATTCAGTTTACTTTGAAACAATGCACGGGTTTGGTCAAGAGCAGCCTGGATTCTTTGGCAATAAACAATTTGACGCTCTGCTAAATCTGAAGGAATGGCCGCGCCGGCCGCAAGGGTACAAAAAAGGGCAATAGAGATGACCTTAAAGATTTGCATGTTGACGGCTTGGAGTCCTGATGCTTATCACTTGAATTCGGGGCAGATACCGACTATTTATGCTTCCCAACTGCATACTGTATCTCAGAGTAGCCATTCAAGTTCATAAACATCTACAGCGAGGCGCAATCCCTTCTTCAGTTCCGATTACCCTGCTGTGGCAGCGCTTACGATGAGAATGTAATTAAGCTGATCGGTCTCATACCTTTTGTGGCTAAGCGTGTCTTCTAAAGATAGAGTAGCCCCCAAGATACTCTATTAGTACAAGGCCGGACCCTCCTCGGACCCTGCTTGAACCCTGCCTTAGATCCTTCCTTGGCAAATTCGCACAATATTTCCTTTTTGGTCTGGTTTAGGGCCCAACGTTAGTCAATATATCACAAAGCCAAGTCCAACAAAAGCTACGAACGTGCATGCTTAGGTTCATTTCTAAGCTAACAGAGTCACTATTTTTGTTGTATTTCAGGCGTCCAATGTGGCGCCGGTATAGTGCCGCGCTGACGTTGGACCCTGGTCTCTTGGGAGTGGAGGGTATGTTAGTACTGAGCGGCAGAGTCATACACTCACATTAAAGGCTCACTAACTACATGCTGCGCTTAGTGGCAAACTGCCTTGTTGCTGTAGGGGAAAAAAGATAATAGATGAATGAACCGCCCGGGAGAGTTAAGAACAGTAAGCATTTGTATGAATAGAAAATATTGAGCTTGGGTTCCATCCCAGCTGTTCACAATCAAAATCAAAATCAAGAGCATCAATGTTGTTGAAGACTCTTCAGGAGACAAGTCCTTCTTAGAAACAACTAGACTCTATAAAAAATACACTAAAAAAGGGGAAAAACGAGACTCGTTGCTTCGCGACAATTAAGTATTCATGGGGTGGTTAGTTCAAAGTGTCTACGTTAGTTCAAAGTGTCTACCTTTCGGCGATCCTGTTCCTTCTCTGCGGTGCGGATCTTGTCCGTTATAGCTGGCAAGTGAATGACACGAGGGAGTAACAAATCCTGCGTCAAGTCAACAAAGTAGCACTTTTCTTGTGGATGAGGGAATGATCATACCCAAATGGTTGACCAACCGAAAGTCGAAGCCAACCAGGTCAGAAGAGCTCCTCCTCCAATCCAGAGGTGCTTTTTAGGGCTAGATCTTGTTACGCTCTTGACAACGGCCTCAGCATAGGAATTGACATCCATGGCATTTTTCTCCACCTCGGTTCCGGCCAATGTTGGCTCAATCACATCCTTAGCAGGATAGTACAGGGAACTCTCGGGTAGGACTGGGGTGTTCGGAAGGTTATCGAAAAACTTCGTCCTGATTGCACCGGTATTGACGAGGATGGCTTTAATCCCCCAAGGAGAGAGCTCAATGCGCATTTGGTCGGTGATGAGAGCAAGCGCAGCTTTACTTGCATTGTAGTATCCTTGCCATGGGAGTGGCATTTTGCCAAGAATAGACCCGATGTTGATAATTGTCCCTTTTGATGCAATGAGAAGAGGTGCAAACGCTTGAGTCACCGTAACGACACTAAAGACGTTCACATCAAACATCTTCTTCGCTACTGACACGTCCGAGTCCAACAGGGGCATACTGTATCCTGTCGAATAGTCAGCTTTGACACGAGGAAAACAATTGAATGCTCGAGATCTTGACACCTACCTAAACCCGAGTTATTGACCAGGAAATCCAGTGTTCCCCCAGTTGCCGTCTTGACAGCCTCCACCGCTTGTCTGATGGACTCTTCATCAGCCACGTCTAGTCGTATGATGTCAAGACCGATGTCCTTGAGATGTTGGACTTTAGCGAGATTGCGAGCACTTGCAAAAACTCGCATGCCCTTTTTATGGAAGGTTTTAGCTAGAGCATCGCCTATTCCGCCTTCGCTGCAACCTGTGATGAAGACCGTCTTCTGAGCCATAGTGCGATTGATGTTGTAAATAGCCCCGTGGAAGCCAGAAAAAGTATTATCGCTTTTTAGCCCAACAATCATATAATAGTATTTCCGAGTGAGCAATTTATATATGGAAATCCACACAAGGCTGTTCGCCACCGTCTTCGGGATGTTGATAGATCATTGGTCATTACATTCATATTTTGATAACCCTCTGGAAATCCTAAAAGCCTACCCAGCTTGATACCAACTTAAAATCGGGACATCAGTGGCAGACCCAAACAATAGATCTGATGATGTGTGGCTTCGGGATGATTACAAAACACTCCGTGTTTAACTTCATCCGAATTCCGAAAGACCAAATTCCGCTTAGCGCCATAATAACCCATAATAAGAATATACCCGCACGCAGATCTACGAACAGTAGCGCCGAGCACGGTGATGACTTCAACGGGTAGCAAATATTTCTTTGCTTTCCCCAGTGTCTCTCCGCCGAACTCTAACCTTTCAGCAAAGTCCAACATTAGTAAGTGTGGCTGCTCAATTTCTCTCACACTGCTCTGCCGCTGGTTACTAATTACTGGCAAAGATGGCAGTATTCTGTTTGTATGCCGACTGTTCAAGCCACACTAGTCTATGAGGAAAGAACGACTGCTGCCTATTATCGGAAAAGCACTCTCACCAGGATCAATGGACTTCGGACACGTCTTAGTACTGAGGTGCATCCAAGATTTGATCCTGTTATAGATGAAATAACGTATTTGATGCAACAGCAGATCAAGGATGCTGGGAAAGAGGCTGACAAAGATCTCATTACTGTATACTCGAGTGGTCGATCTCAAACACTCCACATGGCCATATCAGCAGAATCAGTCAAAACCCTCCCCCTGGGATGGGTGCGTGAGATACTTTTTCCCTCCATGAAGACCATCAGTCACTCCGGTAATCACATTCTCATAATAATACTGTCCGTGCATTGGGATACCCAGCGTCTTTCCCACGCCGCCTTTTCTCGTAGGTCCGAAAGTATCGCTTGTGCTCCTTCGACTGTCCACTCTCTCGCCGACCAGCCATTTTTCGTCTATTGTTCCAAGGAACAAATCGATCTCCGGATTTTTCTCCGACCTCCACAACAGCGAACTCCCACACTTTGAGCAGAATCCCCTCAGGCAGTTCTCTGACGAGCGGTATTCTGTGTAGGTCGGAGATGCGGAGATTGCTGGTCTTATCTGTTCTGGTGAGAGGGAAAGAAATTGAGGAAGTAGACTAGCAGTCCACTTGCGGCACATTGTGCATTGACAGGAACCTGACTGTTTGAAAGCAGGTTTTCAGTTAGCAGATAGGACCCAGATTTCAGGACGACGCAGTACCTTTGGCGGCCACTTATGTACTTCGTCGAAGTGGACAGTGTACCGGATACTTGCACATAGGCAGCCACCGGTTATCTCAGAAGGATGTCCCGCGTCACTTGTCATCTTGGTACAGCTGATTTCAACTCGGTATGAAAGAGGGACTAACGGGCTGGACAGCGGGAGATGCCTTGGTCTTAAGTCTCGGAGGTTGTAGGCAGCTCGTATTAAAAGTAGGCGGGGTCTGAAATGACGTATACAGCGGCCTGTGCCGGCTTAGAAGGTGTGAAGCAATAGGTTGAGTATCCCGAACACGAGCTCCGACGCGTATCACTAGTGATGGCACATACTTGGCATATTGACCGCGTTCAAGTCATTCGCTGGCTGGTTACGAGTTGGATGGTGACTCCCAGCAACTTCTGGCTGTTGTATATTTCTGATCTTTGTCCTTGATTATTCTTGGTCCCAGAGATGTAAATCACAGTCTGTGACGTTATGCCACAGACCAGTGGGTCCCAGCAATGGCTCAAACAGTAATGTATGCTATTCGGCCTACGCTAAGCTGTTATAAGCCCTCGCGAGAAGCATTTGGGCTATTTTACATGCCCCGAATGTACTACATAATCAAAGATCGTATTAAAGACTAGCACATACGACCATAGGGTGTGGAAAACAGGGCTTCCCATCCGCTCAGCCGTACTTAAGCCCATTATTAAACGCAGCGAATTCTTATAAAGCCTTTCTCCCCTGCAACAGTGACCTTAAGTTTTTAGTTTAGGTGCTAGTAATATAGGTGAGGACTTTATTACTCCTTATCACCCCTCTGGATAAGGAATCGCAAAGGGTGATAAGGCCCAATATGCTCCACAGCTCTGGTCTGTTGCTAACCTTTTCTGTGATTTCCCTAACAGTATTTACTTTATCTCTTGCGGCTTCAGCCTCTTAGATACTTCTTAATTAATACTCTGGGCTCTTGAAATGTTAATTATTCTGGAAATCTTATTTTAACCTTTAGGATTAAATTAAATATTTGTTCTTTGAGAAGGGCCTTTACCATGTGATAAATACTGTCAATATTATGCTCTTGGGTGTTCCTATAATGGATATTAGATCAGATTTAACCACAGCAAGCGTAATAATATAGGGTAAAGAATAAGAAAGGTTATGTGAATTTATCGAATATTATACCTCGTCGCCTGCAGGACATATTGTACTCTGATGGTTGATATACTTTAATCCGTAACTGTAGCAATAGCCACTATCGCTAGTCAAGAATTAGAATCATCTGCTTGCTGTACAATACTATATAAGTAATCCTCCATATAATCCGTCACCTCTACAGAATAGGATAGGTAACAAAGAGACCGTTCCGGTCAAGTTGTGCTATTGAAAGAGCAAGGCCAACAATTAGCTATCAATATATCTATAGACTATTATCTCCCCGTTCTATAACCATGTAAACATTGCAAACAGCAACCAACGATCAGCCAAACCCTCGAAAAACTCCAAAGGAGCGTAAATATTAACAGCTCAGTCGTTTCATCACTGATTTTCTTCCCTCCTTAGGACTCGGCCTTTTTGGTGGCCTTGGTCCGGAGTTTCATCATGAGGAATACGAGCCCGTAGATACCGATCACGAATACAACGACAATGCCCGCATTCCTCCATCCGTAGTATCGTTCTTGCAAGTTTAGCGTACGGAGGTAATCTCCGCCTTCAGTATACTGGCAAACGCGGCAGCCGAGGGTATCATCCGGGTTCAGAAGGTTCGTTGCTATGCCCACGCCACGTTGGTAGACATTGAGATATTCACCACACGTTAGATTGGGAGCCGGATCAAACACAGCTAGCTCCTCGGGCTTGCAGTGCACGGGCTTGTCCCAGGTAGTGAACACCAGCAGAGAACTCATGAGGTAGTTGAAGGGATCGATGTAGTACATCCTAAAGAAATTGGCGGTCATAATCTGCTCAAGCTACATCATGGTTCACCAGGGATGCCTTACCAGTATCGCCAGAATGCTACGATTTGGCTATATGGAACCATCACGCCACAGAAGGAGACGAGAGTGGTAATCACCAGAGGGTTGACCAGTGATGCAAACACGGCGTTCGGTGTATAAGCGGCAATCATCTGCCCTATGCCCGTGTAAAGGCACTCATACATTACCTGGGAAGGGGTTAGTTCTCGCATGCCGAAGGCAAGGGAATTAGCAGATAGGAGGGTGGGCTTACTGCAACGAAAAAGACGCTTCCAGCGTGGTCAGCGGAGGTAGGAAGGCCGCTGGTAAAGTACCAGCAAACGTAATACAGCAGCGCACAGATAAGCAAGTAAGGAAACTCCGAGACTATGAGACCCGTCACGAAGGGAGCCCAGTGGTACATTTTGCTTTTCTTCTCCCGCGCCTCGAAAATATCCCGGCGGTCGATGAAGAGCGGCTGCAGCTGGGAGATAACACCCGGCGCAACAAAAATGAAGTTGAACACAGTAAAGAGGTTCTGTTGTAGATCTGTAAGTGCATCTCCAATCTTCCAGAAGGTAAAGCCGTTTAGCAGCGCTAGGCTGATATGCATGGCGAATTTGTTATTGAGGTATTCGGTATTGCGGAAGAGAGAGACGTTCATACGATGCGTCACAAGCTTGATTTGCGTCCAGAGCGAAGCAGCAAATTCGTGCGGATCATCATTTGCTGCTGTTGGTCGGGCCGCCGCTTCAGCAACCATGATATCCAATTCCTTGGAGAGTTTGTCATGTTCCGGGGACTCCAGCCAGACCCGGTTCCAATCAAGGCTCTCGCCTGCCGACACAACATCAATAATATGCTCAGCAGGATTGGCTTCAGGTGGACAAGGTGCGCCGTGGCGACCAAAGTACTCCTTGACTGTGTTCGCATTCTGGCCAATATCTCCAAAGTACACCGTTTTCCCGCCGGCAGCCAGCAATAATAATTTATCGAATTGCGCAAACAACTGTGCCGACGGTTGATGGATAGTGACGAGGATAGCTTGGCCTGCTTCTGCAAGCTTGCGAAGGAAGCGAACAGTGTTATAGGCAGCTTGGCCATCAAGTCCTGAGGTGGGCTCATCAAGGAAACAGCTATCCACGCAACGCGCCTAGCCCACAATGGGGGCAGGCGCAATACACTTAGTCAGTAATTTGCCTGAGCCACAGTAATTTGCCTGAGGTCACAACTTACAGAATACTCGGCTTTGCGACTAGTTCAACACCAATAGTAAGACGCTTACGTTGCTCCACTGAGAGACCAGCGCCTGGCCGACCAATGAGGGTATGTTCAAGGTCATTCAGCTCGAGAAGATCAACAATGGTGTCCACGTATCGCAACTTTTCTTCGGTGGGTGTATCGCGAGATTGGCGCAATAGCGCCGAAAACTCGAGAGCCTCACGGACAGTTGCATAGGGCTCGTGAATATCCAGCTGTTCGACATAACCAGCGGAGCGTTGGAAAGAAACAGGAAGAGGACGCCCATCTACTAAGACGGATCCATGGATAGTGCCCGAGGTTTTGCGTTGTGCGAGAACGTCCAGCAGGGTCGTCTTGCCAGCACCAGAGGAGCCCATTAAAGCCCCAAGCATACCAGGTTTGACATATCCTTGAACGTTGTCAAGAAGGATACGGTCACCGTCAGCCGTTGGGATGGAATAAGTCAGGTTTTTCCAAG